ATACATTTGAACCAAAAAGTAATCATCAATTCTTTTTATTTTTAACATTATTAAAAATTATTATCTTATTTACAAACTTTCTCTTTCTTATAGTACTATTTATAAATTTCAATCTACCCAATTATATTTAATTAAAAAAATTTAATCAAAGATCCCTACTAATTTTTATTATTATAAGATAAATTATTTATTAAAAACAATAAAAATCATAAGAAGGAATATCAAACAAAGAAATTATATTTATTTTATATTTACATTTACGAGAAATCAATAATTCCTATCATATTTTAACTTCTCAATAAACTGCATCCACATTTCTAATTAAATTCATCTATAGTTAAACACAAAATTAAAATAAACAAAATAATATAAGTATTCAAGATGGATCTAATTTTAGAATTTATTTTTAAAAGAACCTCAAGTTAATATTATAAAAATCTAAAAAGTTACATATTATCAAAAAAATCTATATAAATTGTATATTTATGTATTTTGAATTAAAATTATACAATCAATATCAATTTTCTATCCTTTATAATAAGACGTTGAATTAAATAAATTAGCGAAATGATTAAAAAGAATCAATGGATTTTGATAAAAGATATTATCTATGTGACAGATAGCAAACACTTAGAGAAATAATATAGTGCTTGTTTAAAAAATAAAAAGAATTATAAATTTCTCTCCAAGATCTAATAAATAATAAAATTAGGAAATGCTTGATGTTTAACTTAATCTCATTATAAATTCATTATACGTTCACGATTTTATGAAAAAAATATGACATCGTTACATATAGCAACTAAAAAATAATCATTTATTATGATCAAAATATTACTATGATATGGTGCCAATACTTTGAGTAAAGATTTAAATGGAGAATCTGCATTATTAATTGCAATTCAAATAAATCAATAAGATATTGTTAAAGTATCAATCTGAATATTTTAATCTAGTTGATCTTGAGTATCTAAATTACACTCACAAAAAACAAGTAAATTAAACATTTGCTTAAGAAATAAGAGTTAGGAAATAAATATATATAATATTTTTAATAATTTTTTCCATTCAAATCATTGATTATTTCATGAACTCCTTTCCTTCATTCTCATGTCTTATTACAAGAAGTTAAACCTTTAAAAGCCTGAGAATTGAATTATTCAAATTTATTTCATTCTTTCTAATAAGATCTTTTAAATTTTATAATTCAGCCGATAGATTATAACCATTTATTAGAATTGTTTTTTCCTTTAACGTATAAAATTATAAATACTCTTTTTGGTAACAATAATTCAAAATAATTTAAAATATTTCTTGATTTTTACTCTGTTTTTTAAAAATTGCTTTGTGATTTCTTTAAATATTCTAACATATCAAGTTATATCTATTTATTAGAATTAATTAAAACTACTTCTTTTTCCTCCATAAGATTAATAAGATTCATTTTTATTGATAATAAAAATGAACACATTATTTAAATCAAAAGTTGTAGCCTTACCTAAAATGTGTCATAATTATGTTAGAAATTATCTAGATATTCAGAAAACTTTTACTATTCTTAAAATTAATAATTTTTATTTTTCTAAAAGTCAATCAGAAATTCTAGAAATAAATTATTATAAATCTCCTAAATCTTACAGTCAAAAGAAGAAATATAAGAATTAATTTACATTTCTAATTTTTTTAAGTCACCATTTTATATCAGTTAGATTGTAGCTCTATCTGTTTAGAACTAATTCTTATATACTTTTCTATATAAATTGTTATCACACATCATTTACAATTCAACTGTATTTGTTTGTTAATTTTCATCTAATAAAAAAATTTGTTTGATTAGTTAAATGTGATTTTTGCTTTTTATATTTGATTCGCATAAATTAAATGAAATATTTGACTACACTCGCGCATTACACATAATTTTTTCAATTAAAAATATCAACTCATTCAATTATTTTTCTTTTTTTTCTATAAAATTCTTAAGACTCTCTAATCTGCAATTTTTTTCAATAAAAATATTAAAATAAAAAATCCAACACCAATCATGAATAAAGAATACAAATTCGCCTAAGGTTTTTTTTTCAATTAATTTATGGAGATAACACAGAAAAAAATTGTTAGAAAAACTTATTTCCTTTGTTTTATAGTTATACATAAACGTAATCTAGTTCTTCTATTTTTTTATGTTAATTGATTTAATAATTTTATTATGATTTGTTCTCTGACATAACCAATTACTCTTAGAATTTGATTCTTGATCCAGACCTTTATAATCTTCTATTTTGATAAAACCTTAAAATTCATCAAATATATCTTGAACTATTAATTATGTTGATTCCTTATGATATTTTTCTTATTCGTTCCATTAATTTTCATAATCATAAAATTTTTAAAATGATTGAAACATTGAAATCAATTTTTATATAAAAAATTATGAAATATATATATACTCATAGAGTTAGTGGAAATTTAGTTCTTAAGTAAGTTTCTAATTCTTTGACATCAATGGGTTTAGTAAAATAATAATCCATACCTTGAGCAATAGCAAATTTTTTGGTTTCAAAATCACAATATCCAGTATTTGCTATACATAGTCCTCGAGGGATTAAACCATCATTAATTTTTTTTTTAATAATTCTAACAGTATCAATTCCATTCATAAGGGGCATGTTAATGTCTAAAAAAATAACAGCGTATCCAGCGCAACAACAAATTTTGCAGGGTTTAAGTTTTTTCTCCTCACATTTACGAATTGCTTCTATACCATTACAAGCTTTGTCACTTTTAACTGAGAATTTTGAGAGTATTAATTACATTGAAATGATATTAAAAACTTCATCGTCAACAATTAAAACTCTACTACAACATTTAGAACTTATGTTATATTATACAATTTAGGTTTTAAAGTTAGTTTCTAAACTAGGTATTACTATTAAAGATTGTTTATATAAACTTGGATCATTTTCATTTTCATCATCTTCTTCATCATCATTTTATTCAACATCTACACTATCTTTAATTTAATTGATATCTGTAATTCGATGTAAAAACTATTATTATGTTTCTCCTGAATGTTTCCTCATTGAAAAGCTCTTAATATTTTATTATCCTCTATTACCACTATTACTTTAACTATGTAAACTAGCTTCATATTTAGATGCTAACATTTATTTAATACTAGCTTCTGAAGGTTACTATTCAACATAGTAAGTTTAATTGACAATCTTTAAATATGTTTAACTATTTTGATATGCACTTTCATTATACAATTATTATGAATTTCTTATTGAAAATTAGAATTCAGTTCCTTTATTTTATGTTGACTTAAATTCTAATCCTTTTTTTCCGTGCATCTTCTATACAATTGCATTTGAAATACTTAATCCTAATCCACAACCAACTGAATTCTAAGAAACTCTTAACATTTTTTTATTGTCTTTTAACATTTCAGTAAGTTTTTAAGATTCTTAGATATTCATACCAATTCCAGTATCTGTAATTTTTGTTTTTAATTTATCTTAATTCATGATAACTTCAATTGAAATGATACCTTCAGAAGTGAATCTAGCAGAATTTGAAAGCAATTAATAAATTATTTGTTTATATCTCTCGGCATCATTATATACCTTTAAATCAATAGGACAATCAAGTTTTACTGTATTTGATCTGAAATTTAATTATTTATCCATGAGATCAATAATTTCCATAATAGTCTGATATGGACTAAATTCTTAAAGTTTTAATGTAAATTGTTGCAATAGGATAGAATTATAATCTCTTATGTTACGAAGAATATAATTTAATAACTATGAGTTAATTTAAATTGGATCAAAAAATACTTCTTTAATTTCTTTCTTAATATTGGGATTGTTTAAAGCTTCTCTGCTTACAGTCATAATACAATTTAAATATGTTCCAAATTCATGTGAAACAGATTAAAATATGTTATATAGTAAAGCACTAGATATAGTATTATTATCTGTAGTTTTAGAATTATTAGCACTTGAATGATTTTAATGAACACTAATGGTATGTAGAGATTTACTAAATTAATTTTTACGTTCTAATTATTATTCAATATGAAGAACTAGATAATTCTCATATATGGATAGATCATTCAATATTATAAAATTAATTTTTTAGTTCTATAATTTAAGGTATTTACTTTCGATTTCTCCAGCTGAATAATAATTATATATTGAATTGCCATTTTCTAAGAGTGTTTAACATATTAATTTTAAATCAGGTTTGAGAAAGGCTCTTTTTTTTGGTTAAGGACTCTAATATAGCAATATCTTTACCCTTATAATAATTTTAGTAATCCTGTAGATAATGAATCAAATTTACATTCTAGAAGATGTGTTACTAATTATGAATCACTCATTTCCTAATCTTCATCAGCAGAACTATCAAAAAACTATAATAATTATGCTTGTTCGTAAAGCATTATCATTTTATCATTAAAAACTATAAATTTTTATTCTGTCAGCCAAGGACTAATAATTTAATATATCTTTAATTATTACACTAATTCAAGAATGTGACTCTTTATATCAAATTTAATTGACATTTAAAGTTCTACCTTTGGAATTGGAGAAGCATCTCTAACTTTAAGTTTTTCTGGCCTCATTTTATATGCCAGAAGAACAAAAAGAATCATTATTATGATAGTTTTAACCAAATCATAAAGTTCTGATCCTGACTTAAAAAATTCTAATATCAAATAGTACAATCCAAGGAACATGCCAGGAATATAATATTAATATATATTCAATCCCCATCCACATTAAATAACTATTAAGACCTTCTATACATCAATATTTACTTGCATGAGATCTATTTTATTCTACCATTATATGCTTAATAATCCAATACTTATTGACTCACTGAATATTAATGCACTCCAATATTACCATTTCTATGATTCCAGATTTATTAAAATGCATTTGATCAAAAAATTTATATAATGTAGAACTAAAGCACTTATTATAAATCCTAGTTTATTATTCTCCATTCTTAAAATCAAATTCCAAATGATTTCAAACGATATGATAACTTCAAAGAAAATCAAAACTTTCATTATTTATAAAAATATATTATCCCTATAAGAATATTAAAACTACTTATCAATTCTTCAATAGGATTAAGTATTACAATATTATTATACTGTATTTAACTCAATTATAGATCAAGCTCAAATCTATAAAAGTTTGATTAATTAAAAATTACTGGAAAAGATTAACAGAAGTTGTTTATTTAGTGGTTAATAATGATCAAAATGATATAAAGTATTTAATATTAAAATTTAATGCTTTTTTTAATATTATCATTATCAACAATATTAGCAAAATCAATTAAAGCTAACCAACTAGCTTAAATAGAGAATTAGACTAATTTAAAACATGGTGGTGATCATCATCATAAATTTAAAATAAATGTACCTGGAACTGGGATTGTCCAATTAGAACCTTCAATAGGGACTGTTATTTTTGCAATTGAAATTTAAGATGAAAATGCAAGTGTAGCTTTAGATAGAGCAAATACTTTAGTAACAAAAGCAGTAGATGACATTAAATATAATTTATTTTAAGAAGACTATACAATATAGACTGGAATATTTTAATTATCTTTGAGATACGATTATACAACAGGAGTTTAACAATTAATTGGATATTCAGTTACTAATTAATTATATGTGACTACAAAAAATCTTAAATTGATTGGTAAAATTATAACTGTAGGTGTTAATGCAGGTTTAAATAGAATAGATGGAGTTAATTATTCAAATAATTAAGAAGAATTAGTTAATGCTAATGATGAGGCTATTAAATTGGCAATTTAAGATGCTTAAAGAAAAGCTAATAAAATAGCTGAATCATTAAATCTTAAATTTGCATAGATTCTTCACTTCAAATATTTGGATACTTATAATAATCCAACTACAGATGCATATTCACCAAAAGTAGCATAAGGTATGAGTACTAAAGAATCAGGAATTCCAACTCCTATTTTTGCAGCTAAAAATAATGTTAGGGTGGATATTGAATTGAAAGTATTATTAAAATGAGTAATAAATATATAATAAAAATGATTTTAATTCTCTTCTATGGATTCTTAGTAATTTCTTATTGTTAAGAATGTACAACCACTATTAAAGGGATATTTTCTAAATAAATCTATGAATTTGAAAGATCCATTAATTAAATAAGAAATGAAGTAGCCTAAGCAAGACAATAAAATCATTTAGGATAATTTGAATATGCTGCTAATATGTAAATTACTACATGGTCAATTGGCTTATCAAGAGGAGCATAAAATTGTGCTGAAAGATGTCCTGATTCTTTAAGCACTTGTAAAAACGTACTTTATAAATCATACTAAGTTAAAAGGCGATTTTGGTGTACTCTTCTATTCAAGAATGGTACAATCATCAGGTGTTGAATGGAACCCTTAGGAAATTGTGAAAAAATGGATGTAAGACTCACAAAATGCTGAATAATTACTAGTAGCAACAATTTCATAATTTGGATGTGGAAGAGCAATTAAAAAATCAGTTGATAAATATATGGAATATGTTGTTTGTTTTTTTGATTAAGTTTCTTATGTTATCAATATTATAGGCTCCTATAGATGGAAAGACTCCTTATATAGTTGCTAATGAAAAAACAATTGCTAAGGCTTGTAGATTTGGTAGATCCAATCAATACAGTGGATTATGTGCTAGCTCTTATAATAAGATGCTTATCATGAATCCAGAACATTCAACTAGAATATTTGAAAGCTTGGATTAATAATAATAAAAATAATGATGATATTATGTACAAGTACATATAAAAAACTATATAAAACAAGATTTAACTAAAATATTATTTCTAAAATGTAATTTCAAAGTAGTTTTACTAATTTTAATAGAAAAACTAACGAAGTAATTATTTTGAAGAACAGCAAATAATAAAAACTAAATTTAAGCAGCTTTTTATAATGCTTATAACAAAATAATCATAAGAACTAGTTAAAGGACCACAAGAATATTGTGAATCATGTCCAGTACCACTTCTTTTTTTCTACATGAATATTATTTAATTTTATATAGTAAAAAGTTTAATAAGCATTTTTTATTTGTAAAGAATGTGTCTCTTTAGATAAATATATTGAAGAGGTTATTTAATTTAAAGGAATGAATTAAATTAAGGTAATATTCTCAATAATAATTACTTCAAAAATGTTGTACTAAATTGAATATGAAAATGCAATCAATTCAAATTAAGGAAAGTATACTGAATATATTGTATATTATATTGATTCCTTTGAATTCAATCATGAATCTTTTAGTCAAATAAATTAGGCAAGATCTTCTTTAAATTTTACTAATATATAGAGATTTGAAAGGTCTTGACGTTGTCCAAATTAATATACTTATTGATATCGTAAACTAAAGTGAATGAGATAATTAAGACAGAGACATAATGAAGGAGAATCGAAATGATTATATTATAGATAAAGTTAATTATGTATATTTTCGTTATTTAAATTTGAATGAAGCAGCCTCTACAGAGTCGTCTAATTATTCAGGATGCTAGGCGTAAGAATTTAAGTGCTGTTGCACTTCTTGATCCTTCACCTAAGCAAATCACTATTAGGAAGGCATCTATAGGAGGTCTGAAGAATAAAGAAAATATCAATAGTAATGACACTTAGAGGAAACAAAAAACTTCTCAAAATGTGAATACCGAAGATATCAGAAAATAAATTAGTCAATTAATTAAAAAAACAGCTTAATCTTAAAGAACCAAATTGAAGAAGATAGATATTGGATGCCAAGAATAGATAGAAATTAATGATCAAAAAGAAGGAATTTTTGATGAATTTACCTTGAGATTAATGTATTAAAAAGAACTGGAATATAAAGTTCATCCATAATTCTTTGATCATTAATGTCAGATATCTCCATAAATGAGATCTATTTTATATGACTGGATAAGTGAAGTTTGTAAAGAATTTACATTAAAAAGAGAGACTTTTCATTTATGTATTCATAACTTAGACAGATACATGTCTAAAGCCTCTATTAGCAAATCTGAACTTTAATTATGTGGCTTAGCTAGTCTACTAATAGCTTGTAAAATTGAAGTATTAATATTAATTATTGTAGGAAATATATCCCCCTAAAGTTAATGATTTCTCTTCTGCTAGTAATTATGGATTCACAGAATAATAAATTTTAGATAAAGAATAAGATATTTTAACTGAATTAAAGTGGATGATCAATCCACCAACTCTTTATCTTTGGAGTTCATGGTATCTATCATAATGGGATATTTATTATCCTTAATCTAATTTATAAATGAAATAGCCTACAAAATCATCATATACATTGTTTAGGCATTTTATGACATTCCTTGATTGTGCTATTCTGGATATCAAATTATATCAATTTACTAATCGAGAAATAGTATCATCCTTACTTTATTTGGTTTTACTTAAACAATATTGTGGATGTACTTATCAAAGAATAGTTGAAAATAAAGTTCAAGAAAGTGATGTACTTGATTTTCAGCACATTTATAAACCATTCATTGAATTAGTCTTTGGATTTCAATTTAATTAATTAAGTAGATGCATTAGATATCTGACTAAATTTTTAATACTAGATATAGTTGTAGATTAACCTGGCACAACAAAGGTTGTAGCTGAAAAAGAATTAATAGAAGTTTATGAGTATTTCTTATCTATTTAAACACATAATCCAGCTGGTCTTTAATTCATCAGAAAATGATTGATATCAAATACTTTTAATAATTTTTTATTATTATTTTAAATGGCCTTAACAGATTAACTATTTCTTTGGATAACTACTTTTATATTTCTATCTTAAATAGCTATTAATTTAGCACTTTAATTGTAGATACCCTTTTCTCAGATTGAACTACCACAAAAATTACAAATCTATCAAATAAACTGATACCTTTATAATAGAACAGTATCAGATTGCAATAAAAAAACAGATATAAATAAATTAACCCTTCCTAATCATAAAGTCAAAAAATAACATATAATCTTTTTTTATCATTTAGATGAAAACCATATCTGTTTTCCAACTTTTCTGATAAAAATTTGAGAACCTTATATAGAAAAACCAATTTAAACATATATCAGTTAATCATTCAAAAATGATGCTTTCTTGACAATTTTTTTTAATTTTATTTCTTTGGCTATCATATATGGAACTCTCTTATTTTACAGAGTTCTTAACCAAGAGTGTCCCTAATATTTATTTTTTAATTCTAATGAGAAAATATGAAAACCAATGATATGTACAATTTTATTCTTGTTCCTTATTAGTGTAATCTCAAAGATTCATAAATATGATATATTATAAATGGCTGCTATTATGATGTTTGATAAAATGAGTTTGGTTTATTTAACTTTGATTATATTTATGGTTCTACAATGATATTACTTATTGAAGGAGTAGTTAGTGTTTAAAAACAAATCCTAAGATTGCTTAAGCTAAGAAATTCATTATCAGAGATTTAACTATTAATCTTTTAAGTTATATTTAATATTCTATTGATTTGATCAAAAAAGTTAAGGCTGCAAGAAAATATACCCTATACTAAGAAATAATTTAATCAAGACTTTTTCATATTTAAGAATGAAATTAAAATCGTACATTTATAGTAATATGTAATTAAAATTCTTATGATATTTAACAGAGCATGGAAAAATATTTAACAAAAACTTAAATAGGTTGAGTATCAATATAAAAATGAGTAATTTATATTTAATATTTTTATTAAAATTTTAAATTCAGTCAATAAATTTGTCTATTTTTGAGAAAGGTTTCTTCTTCTTCACTTAATTTTTATACTAAAAATGATAAAAGTAAAATATTACTTAACTCTTGCTTAATTGAATTAACTGGAGGACTATTAGAATCATAGATAGCTTAAACAACTTCAATTTTATCTGCTGCTTCATTCCAACGAGGTAATTAAACCATATTAAATTTATTTAATTGTTTTTAATTTTCTAAATGAATTTCTTTGAATTCTTAATCTTTATGTCTTTTCATTTGGTTTATTTATAGAAATTATTTAATATCAGACATTTCTGTTTCAGCAACATCAGTAAACCAATCAGATATACAAGGTATACTTTTAGTAATTTTACTTTTTGCTCCACTATAGGAAGGATCCTAATAAACAACAACAGATGCTTTTTCAGGAACATAAATACTTTTTGNATAAAGTCAAAAAATAACATATAATCTTTTTTTATCATTTAGATGAAAACCATATCTGTTTTCCAACTTTTCTGATAAAAATTTGAGAACCTTATATAGAAAAACCAATTTAAACATATATCAGTTAATCATTCAAAAATGATGCTTTCTTGACAATTTTTTTTAATTTTATTTCTTTGGCTATCATATATGGAACTCTCTTATTTTACAGAGTTCTTAACCAAGAGTGTCCCTAATATTTATTTTTTAATTCTAATGAGAAAATATGAAAACCAATGATATGTACAATTTTATTCTTGTTCCTTATTAGTGTAATCTCAAAGATTCATAAATATGATATATTATAAATGGCTGCTATTATGATGTTTGATAAAATGAGTTTGGTTTATTTAACTTTGATTATATTTATGGTTCTACAATGATATTACTTATTGAAGGAGTAGTTAGTGTTTAAAAACAAATCCTAAGATTGCTTAAGCTAAGAAATTCATTATCAGAGATTTAACTATTAATCTTTTAAGTTATATTTAATATTCTATTGATTTGATCAAAAAAGTTAAGGCTGCAAGAAAATATACCCTATACTAAGAAATAATTTAATCAAGACTTTTTCATATTTAAGAATGAAATTAAAATCGTACATTTATAGTAATATGTAATTAAAATTCTTATGATATTTAACAGAGCATGGAAAAATATTTAACAAAAACTTAAATAGGTTGAGTATCAATATAAAAATGAGTAATTTATATTTAATATTTTTATTAAAATTTTAAATTCAGTCAATAAATTTGTCTATTTTTGAGAAAGGTTTCTTCTTCTTCACTTAATTTTTATACTAAAAATGATAAAAGTAAAATATTACTTAACTCTTGCTTAATTGAATTAACTGGAGGACTATTAGAATCATAGATAGCTTAAACAACTTCAATTTTATCTGCTGCTTCATTCCAACGAGGTAATTAAACCATATTAAATTTATTTAATTGTTTTTAATTTTCTAAATGAATTTCTTTGAATTCTTAATCTTTATGTCTTTTCATTTGGTTTATTTATAGAAATTATTTAATATCAGACATTTCTGTTTCAGCAACATCAGTAAACCAATCAGATATACAAGGTATACTTTTAGTAATTTTACTTTTTGCTCCACTATAGGAAGGATCCTAATAAACAACAACAGATGCTTTTTCAGGAACATAAATACTTTTTGCTAATCTCATAATAGCATTAAAATCAGATACATCTTTACATAAATATACTTTAGTTCCTTAATAATTACACATTGAATAAACAATTGGACATTTTTTATATTCTTTCTCTTCAAAATAATATAAACCTAGAACTGCTTAATTTCCTTTATCTAAAGTGATTCTAAGATTAACATTAAGAGCAGTTGGATCAATTTAATCCCCTTACCACATAAAAGAAACTGGTAATGATGTAAATCTTAAACCATTAATACCATTTATTTATATAAGTTTAGGTTTACTTTTTATTTATAAAAATTCTTTTGTTTCTTCTGATTTAGTTTCTTCATGATGATCAACAGGTTCAATATGTGCTTATTTTTAACCAGTATGTGTAACTTATTATGCTAATTCTTTGCTAGATTATGTAGCTACATATGCTAATTAAACTTTCTAAACACTTGTATCTCCAAACTTTTTAAAATTTAATTAAACTCCATGTAATGATACTGTTAATGGTGATACTTCAAATTATATTAGTTTTGATTATGATTCTACTCCTACTAAAAATACTTAAACAATTGGATCTTCAGTAAATGTTCTTTTAAATGTTAATAAAGAAGGAATTACTCTATCTCCAGCTTCTGCTTTTTTTAAAATTGAAAGTGCATCAACATTGAAATATCCAAATTCTACTTCATCCTAATTTATTGCAATATAATCATAAGCTAAAACTTTTAATGTGGCATGAAGAACTGTCAATTAAAATGTAAAATCTACGTATATTCACTTTTTTTACCTTATTCAGTCACATCTTATATTTAACAAAAAAATCCAACTGGTCCTGAATCATATTCTATGGCTCTAATTGTTACTAAAATTTAAGGAATATCAATAAATTTGTCTGGAAACGTTATCTTCTTCATTATAGGATCACAACAACTTGGTGCTGTAAATTCAATAACACCTTTCATTACTGATTTTGACTAAACTAACAATAGAGTTATCAATCCGATCAAAAATCGTTTTTGCATTATAAATTTTTATTATATATAAAATACAAATTAATCAAAATAATGAAGAAAATAACAAGAATCATGATAAATATAAGCTATTAATTTTAATATTAAATTTTAGGGCGTTGAATCTCGATCTATAATTTTTTTAAGAGGAAAAGAAATGTTTTAAATTTTGGGTTTTATTTACTTGGCCTATTATCTATAATTTTCTTTATAAAATTTCTTATTTTTTTATTTTATTTTAAGCTAAGAATAAAACAATAGATTTTTACACAATTGTCCAAATTAACTCAATTCTCTCTGCTTTTTAATAGCTTTAAAAATCCTTCTTTAATTGATCTAAACTATTCTAATTAGAAAATTATGCGGATTCTTTTATATTGCTTTGCTGATTTTTATATTTTGTAATGTCCACTTTAACATTTTTATTTTAATTAGGAATATTCTTTAAAATCTGAGTCTTTCATTTCTTCTGATATTAAGTTTTTAAAATTTATTAAATGCTAAACTTCAATGATAAGTCAGAACCATTTTTTAAATTGTTTTGATGGTTTTGAATGTTATTTGACATTAATATGGCAATTCTTCATCTTTTCTATTAATTAAATAGCTAATGATTTCATAATTACTTTAATATAATAAAAAATGGATTAAGTAAATTAGGCATTTAAAAAGTTGTATTTTTAAGGAGAAACATATGAGAACGTGAGAGAAATAATAGATTAATGTCCTTATGATGAAGTAGCCTCTCTTATGGAAATTTATGTAAAAAATTATCTTGATGTAATGTAATATTAACAAATAGACAGTACAAAACAATTTATACTCGTATAGTTATAATGATTAAGACTCTGCAAAATTCTATATTGAGTAACTTAATAGTCATTGGATAAGAATATAGAATATAGCATAAGAATTGAGTAAATACTAACAACTTAGTAATGGTTTTAGAGTAAATTTAAATTTAATTTAGATTTAAGAATATCATCGTGTTAAATTTTAAGATAGAATATTTTCAGATAACAAGATCAATTTTGCATTAAGAGAGATTTGTAGAATCTATAAATTTAATCAGCTAATTGAATCTCATTTTGGATCTCTTGTTTTTCAATATTTCAGACCAAAAATAACAACTCATCAAGATTTAATGGCTAATTGGCTTACTTATAGTTAATGTGAATAAGGAATAGATGAAATAAAGGATTTTGAAAGAAGACTTGAATGTGCATTGACTGGTTTACCAGATTATGAAAAACAATAACCTAAATTACCACCTAATTGGGAAAAAAACATTGTGAATATGATGAAAAAGAAAAAGAAGAAGATTTGATAAATAATAATATGTAATATAAATATCTGGAATTCTCTTCAATTATTATAATCGAATTATAAAATTTACTATAAAATATTATGATTCATATAAATTAATTATTATTAAGAAATCATAAGAATAAAACTTATCTATATTATATGAATTTAATTCATCTTTTCATTTTTATTTCGAAACCACCTAGTTGAGAAAGTTTTGAGGAAAGATTATGACATGAATCATCCTCTAAAAATAAATTGGCATCATCATCACTTTCTGAAGAATCTCCATTCATACTTTCCCCCGAATCACTTTCAGATACTTATTCATTATTCGATCCATTCTTTGTCTCAGTATAAAAGGAACCTGCTATCTAAATTAAATAAATTATTTTTACATTTTTTACTGTTTCTTATACTATTAAGTTTTCTTAATCTTCTTCATCACCTTATTATTGTTCAGCTATTTATTACATCATTTATGTTTTTTATTTTTCAGTAATTATTGCTTGTTTCAATAAAATATATTATCTCATAGATCTTCTTTTTGCTTTTGAAAGATTGATTTATTCAGGTAATACTGAAGAACCTAAATAACTTAATCTAACCTATTTATTAAATTTAAATAAATACTTCTTTTTTTTATTATAATGGAGTCCCTATTTCATTATTAATAATCTACAGTGATAAAAAAGAAGAATCTAAACAATCTTTTGCAGATGGTCTTTAACTTTCTTCTAAACATAAAACTGTTTTTAAAAATGATTAAGCATCTTTACTAAGGCTTATAAATTTAGGATTATTAAAATCAATTTTTCCTGCTGTATTTTAATTTAAAATAGCACTGATTGTATTTCCTGAGAATAATGGTTATTGAGTTAACAATATATATGCAACAACTCCTGCACTAAAAATATCAATTTTTTCATTATAAACTTTTAAATTAAGAACTTCTGGTGCAATATATCCAGGAGTACCATATTTTTTATATTCAAATTTTGGTATTTTTTTGGCTGCCAATCCAAAATCAGCAATCAAAATAGTAGAAGAATCTTTTACTAATATATTTTCTAATTTAATGTCTCTATGCATAATATTAAGGGAATGTATGTATTTCAGACCTTGAAAAATCTATTTCATAAAATTGCTAATTTATTATTCACTGAATTAAGACTATTCTGATTTCTTTTTTTAGAATTCTTAAAATAATTCCCCCTTTGCATATTCATATATCAAATAAATTTATTTATTATCTTCATGAATTTCCAGTAATCTAATTACATTAGGATGATCAATTGGTCTAAGTAGCAACATTTCTCCAATGACAGAATCTCTAAGTTTAGTAACTTTAATCAAATCAACTTTTTGAAAGGTTTTACATACAAATTGCTTCTACTTATTGTCCTCAATGAGATAACCCTTTTTTTAATATATAGTACTTTCGAATAATTTCCATTACTAATTTGACTTAAGAATCTAAATCTAGTTTAAATCTGGCCTCTTGTAATACAAAATTTTATTAGATATTCAATCCAAGTTTTTAATTATTTTTGGTCAGTGCAATGATATTCTTTCACTCTATCATAAGAAGTCAGTATAAAACTTTTATCAGTATATGATAGAATGTATAGATTGTTATAGAGATTGCAATATTTAGTTTTTTAATGACCAAATTTGATCAATTAACCTTCTTTAGATAATGCAAATTCATAATTTTGACTTTTTGTTAGATTGACTAATTGCGACTTTATTAAGTAAGTTGATTGAACGTTACCAGCTATCCAAAAAGTTGAGGTTTTAAGAAGCGATTATAAATTCTTACTTGTTGGTATATACAAGTAATCTATGTTTTGAGATTATTAGAGCATTTATTATTTATTTAATAATTTTTTATTAATAATGGGATCATGTGCATCAATGAAATAAAAAAAAATAGATGGAAATATTTAAATAGCTGCATATAAGTAAATATATATAATGATTAAAGAGTTTGTATAACAGCTTTCATTTGGAATAAAGAAAGTCATAACTTATTTGATTTTGAGAGCCATCAAGCTAGTCGTAAAGAATTGGAACTGGATTTTTCAGGTAACCTAATAAAATATGATTAAGCAACACTTTCAATGGTTGATAATTAAATAATAGCATTAAGTGAAAATGTATAAATATTATGAATATAATAAAGGAATATGTTAAAAAATAAGTTTAGCTACTAAGAGTAGATTGTGAATAAGATTATGTGACTTTATCAGGAATAAGCTAGAAATCAGATCAAAGAGTATGGGCTATCTTATGTAAAAGACCAGAATTTGAGTCATTAAATGTATAAATATAAACGAAAATAATAATAAGGAATGGGAACTTTAGAGAGGAGATATTATAAAATTAGGAAGAATGAAATTATAACTCATAGATTTTAATTATGATATAGATGCATTACAATAATAAAGAGATTAAACTGATATTAATGATGAAGAAATATAATCACAGGATTTGGAACCAGATGGTTGTTAATGTAGAATTTGCTTCTAAAAAACCGCATCTGCTTCGAACCCTCTTTTTAGTCCTTGTAAATGTAAATTTAACAAATTTTAATTTAAGGTATTGGTTCTATGAAATATGTCCATCTTAATTGTTTATAACTTTGGATTCAATAATCAATCAAAGTTAAAAATCAATAATCATCAATATAATATATATGGAAAAAAATGGAATGTGAAATTTGTAAAATGCCATTAAAAAGCACATATACATATTAAAGATAGATTTTTTGCATTATGCAAATTTAGAAACCTATTGTTCCCTATATGATATGGAAAATTACATCAGATGATAAATCTAAAGAAGGAATTATATAGGTTATGGAATTATAAGATAAAGCAGAAATTAAAATTGGTAGAGTACCTGATTGCGATATTAAACTTAAAGATATATCAGTATCTAGAAATCATGCCTTAATCAAAGTTATTAAATAAGAAGACAATTAATTTAAACTTATTCTTTAAGATAATAATTCCAAATTCGGAACACTTCTATATGCATAATCAGATAAATTACTGAAATATAATCTACCATCTTTATAAAAAGTGCTTTATCAAATTGGAAGAGTCTTACTATACATTCAATTCAAGGATAAAGGCAAATCTTATAATAAATAGTAATATCTATATTTATTCATTTAGATTCACCTGTTATAAACACCCTGATAAAATTGTTGTATAAACTAAAATCAATTAAAATGAATAAGCCACAATTATTCCAAATGTTGAAAAAGATAAAGATAATCAATAATCATTTTAAACTCAAAATGAATTACATTAAGAAGATATTGTAATTAATGTAAAATAAATATGATTACCTATTTGACTAATTATATTATATTATTTATTAAAATATTTGTCTGTTAAATGATATAAAAATTAAACAAGTGGGATTGCATCATAGACCCTATTATCAAAAACAATTAGTAAATGTAAGTTACTTATTAATCATTTAAGCGGTGGTTTGTATCTGGCTGACATTGATTGTGCATTAAGCCAAGATTTATTATAATAATTATAAGTTGGAGCATTACTTAGTGTAATCGATGAACCTAAAGTCATTACTTCTCCAAGCATTATTCATTAAGTAATTAACATTCCAGATTGTACTGAATAAAACATTTAAGAATTTTTCCCTAAAACTAATGAATTCATAGAAAGGCACAGATAACATACTAATGTTATGGTTCATTGTTTTGCTGGTATATCTAGAAGTGCTTCTGTTGTTATTGCTTACATTATGCAAAAATTTAATTGGGGTTTCCAAAGAACTCTTAATTCAGTTGTTGCCAGAAGACCATAAGTAAAACCAAATTCAGGGTTTGTCAAATAACTTATATAATATGAAACTTAGAATAGAAACAGATCATCATCTTAATAACATAGAATTCTTAATACTATCAATACTGTTATTGATAAAATTCCTTATTAATCAGATAGTAAAAATAATAAATACTTTCAACCATCAAAATTAGATTTAAATTAATTAGAAATGGAAATTGCCAAAAGACAATAAGATTTATAAGTCTTAAGAATTAAATATTAACAACTAAATGATAAGATTGTTAATAGAAATAATATCTATGTATCTGCTTTTGAATGAGAGATGATTAAACACTTATATATTATTTAATTCAATTTTTTTTATTTTATCTTTTTTTCCATCTATTTTCTAACCCATTTTTATCAACATTATTTATGGATTATACTACTTATTCAAGAAACTATATTTACCTTATAGATAATATTGTACAAAATAACTACTTTCTTTTAATAATTTAAAAGCTTTATCAAAATTATTAATAGATAAATCCAATAATAGAATAACATCCCAATCTGTACATTAAGGATATACTTATTACAGTTCCTCAAACAATAATTAAACTAACTAAAATCGTTTTATACATAGATCTTCATTTTTTTTATAAACTCTCACATATCTAGGACGAAGACTCGAACTTGAAAACTGGAACTATTAAAATTGAGTACCCAAATGTACACTTTTCTCCTTCTTCAATATTTATTCTACTTTTTTCTTCATTTTATTTTATTTTTATTCAGATTTAGATACATCACTTTTACTCTTTTGATTTCTTGTTTAAACTTATTTAATTATAGATTAACATGAATCATCATCGTATACTCTCCCTGATTAAAGTAAATAATCCAAATCTAAAATTCTTGACGCTTAAAATTAAATTGTATTGCTGAATCCTATAGTATTTTATTTATCATTATCAACTATTATCGAATTTTGAGATGCAATATACTACTAATTTGATAATTCTTTGTTTTGAAGACAAGCAAAATCATATAAATAAGGAAGTGTCCAAAATTACCCTTTTCTATAGAGCTCAAGTAATTCAAAGTAGCTCAGTTTGCTCATTTGATAATTTATTTATTGTTTATCAAAATATGATACTTTAGATATTTATTTTATAATTAATTTGTAAATATATAAATTTCTATATCAAATTTTTTTATGCATTTTTATCAATGAATGAATGTCTTCCAAAACTCTCAACTTATTTTGTGTTGTAGCTTATTCCTATTTCACTTACAAAACTTATCTTGATTGAATCTCTCTTTCACTTTCATATATTCTAACTTTTTCTTCAATCTATAAAATTATTTTTATTATTTACTTATTTTAATGAATACTAACTCTATTCAATCTATTATTTATATTTCGCAGATTTCTAAGCATGTTTCAGAATTTCTTCCTCCTATGTTTTTATTTTTTATTTAAATTCATTTTCTCTATTTTTATATTCTTTAACTTCTTCTTTACTTTAAGCTAACTATTTTACAAGATGATCGATTTTTATTTCAATTTCATCCATTGTTTTATCATTCTCATGTTTTGTCAATTATATATCGTTTTCTAAATCTCGATTATACTGTTATGTTTTAGTCAATTATTCTTACAAATGTAGAATTTAATTTTTAAGCTAAAAAAATATTTCATTATAGAATACTTATTCTATTGTACGAAAATCTTATCGAGATTATATTTCAAATTCTTCAGTTTTTTATTTCTTAATTTATAAAACAGATTTTTAATCTTAGATTTCAAGAACAAGACTTTGTATTCTATTTTCTGCATTTAATAATTTATTTTATTAATTATCTATGACGGATTTAAGTTCTGAATTAATTTATTATAATTTCTAATAATCTTAAATTTGAATTTAATGGTTTTTCTCTTCATTATCAAGTAATCTCTAAAAATCAGTGATTTTTTAATTTAAATTATCTATAGATAATTTTTACTCATTAATTTTTTGTTTTTTTTTTTCAAGTAAATCTTTATAATTGGAAATCCTTTTTTCAATTTCTGTTTCTTAAGTAGATAAAATAACTTGTTATTACTTTTCAATTTTAGCCAATTAAGTATATGCTTCATCTTGTTTATAAGTAGCTTAATCTAATTATGACTTATAGTAATTGAGTTATTAATTCAAATATTCAATCTAAGATTGTTGATCAGCATCTCTGTATCTAATATCTTAATACATTTATTCAAAATATCTAATTTATTCATCTCTATTAATTAATTCATCTCTTTATTTTAATAATTCTCCTTCTAATACTTTATTTTGTTCCTCCTAATTTTTTCTATTATAATAAATTAAAATGAATTACATTTCATTTGAAAAATCTTCACATAATTTTTATACTCTTTCAAGTTCTCTACCAAAATTTTAGCCTTATTCTTCATAAACAGTCTCTGCTTATTTTAATGAATCTCTTAAAGCAGTTAATTTTTATTTTTTATCTCCTAATTTTTATTTTAAGATATGATTTTGCTATTATAATTCTTCTATTAATTTTTCAGAAGTCTCTGCTTTAATTTTGACTTCTTTAGTATTAACATCTCCCTTATTAATAGAATCTTACAACTATCTATTTTCTTATTCTAATGCTTTAATTTATTTATCCTTAGCTGATAACTTACCTTCTAATTCTTTATTAACAGTCATATATTCTTTAAGAGTAATCTAATGAATAAAATAAGAGTATACTTTTAATTCTTTATTCAAGATTCTTATTCTTTCATATTTTTCTCTTTCTTACAAATCTTTAGCATTCAAAGTTTCTCTTAATCTACTAATTTACTCTAAAGATCCACTCTATCTACGTCTTTCTCTCGATGAATCATCTCTATTAAATAAATACATAAATTACTCATCATCACGTAATTTACTTGGTCTTGATCTACCAATAAAATAAGTAACAGGTTATTGAGAAGTTGGTTCATATTACATGATCTAATCTATCTATTAACTTGTCTTTTTATAACGATCCATAAGTTTATTGACATTTCTCTCTAATCGGTTATCCATTATTTAAATTCAAAATTATTATAATTCAGATTAACTTTATTTTCTCAATTCTTACGAATTAATCATTTTCATATCTGATTCTTCGTATTACACATCTTGGAATGGATTCTATTCTTCTTCAGACAATTCTAATTTCAATTATTGTGATTGCTTTTATTCCACATCATTTTGTTCATCTAATTTTTCTATATCCACTTATAATTTCTTTTAGTTAGATTTCTATCTGTTATCCATATCTTCTTCAATTAAATTAACTAATTCAGACTCTCTCCTTTTATTTATTACTAATATTTCACTATGTGACATTTTTACACTTTCTTATTAACCATCTACATAATTAAAATTCTATTATTATTCCTCTAAATCATCTTCCTCTTCCCCTTAACTTACATCAAAAGGTGAATGTATTTATTACAAAAATATTCTTGATGATTTATTTTATCTTTATATCAAAGCATAAAAATGATCAATCTCTATCTTACTTAATTATATGTCAATTTAATTTAAAATTTCTAAATAAGCCTATAATTATATTATATATATATAGTATATACATCTATTGTAATATATCCACTTGTATAAGTATCTGGATATTTCTTAATTAAAATATCAGATATCTCATTCTTTTTTTTCATAATCTGTTAATTTATATTACTTAATTAATCTATTGTTAAGATTTAATAGTTTTCCATTAAAGTCTTAAAGATACTTCTTACTCTAGCACTAGTTGTTGTTTCTGTTTCATTTTCAACATCTGCTAAATAAATTGCTGCCATTTCAATCTATTCATTTGTAGATAAACCAAAGATTCTATTTGAAAGATTTTGTTTTAACTATTATTAACTTAGTATTTCATCTGTCAATAAATATTCTTCTACTTATTACAATGATATTTTCAATCCAATTAAATTCAATTTGACTTATCTAGCTATTGCCAAAATATCTTTCTTATCCACATTTATAAATTTCTTATTTTATAATTCTCTTTCCTCTTATAATTCTCCTTATTCTTCAGGTTATTATTATTATGGACCATTATTTTTTATAAGAATAGTTCTTTTAGATTGATGTCTCTATAATTTTTCCATTTCATACCCTCTTTACAAAGTTTCTACTTATTTCTTTTAATCAGCCATCTTTTTCTCTAATATATTTATTTACTCTTAATGATCAGCTTAAAGTATTTATATTTGATTTTCTAAATATTTATTCTTTTATCTTTCATTTCTCAAATCTACCATTGCTTAATCATAACTCAATTATAATTATTCTTCTATCTTTTTATTATCCTTTTATTATGGTCTCTCAATAAAAAACATATCTTTCTTTCTCAATTCAGCTATCTCTAATAACAATTATGCATTCAAATTCTTTATTTATTTATATTTATTTAAGATTGCATTATATTTAATGTTCATTTTACTGTAATTATTCTAAATTTAATTAAATTTCAGTACTTATGTTTATATAACTGTCTATTCTAATTACTAAATTAATTATGACATTCTCATATTGTCTTCATTTAGAGACATACACAATCCTTCAACATTGTTTTAATTCAATGGACTCTACAATTAATTAATATATTATATTTAATCCTATAACTATTGTTACAATTTCATGTTATTTTCCTAAAGTTATTCTATATATACCTCTAGCTTTGTGATTTTATCCAAAAAACCTTATTTTATTCTAGTATAATTTTTTGGAGTAGCACAATCCTCTTTTAAAATTGATTACACTTCTCTCTTGAAATATTAATTTTACGATTAAAACTATCTCAATCTTAATTTTAAATAATTGTTTTCTTATTTCAGATTTTAAATTTCCTCATATAAACTCTCTTTGTCATGAATTATATATTTAGCTCTCATTTTACTGGATTCTGAGTTATCAAGTCCTATATTTCTTGAAAATAAATAAAATCTATTCAATTTATTTGAAGATTGCCCTTAATTTGATTTCTACATTTATGATTGTGACTACATCCTTTTATTATATAATTAATTATCAAAATACAAGATTTATAAGATCTATGTAAAATAAATGCATCTCTAGTCAAAATATTCTTAAAACTTTCTAAATTATCAGTAAAGCTTCCATTCATCTTACACATCTCAAATTTGACTAAAGAAAACAATGTTAAAGAATAAAAATTTATTTATTTAAATACAAAAACTATATTATTATTCATGTTCGTTTCAATCAATACAATTCATTATGTTATTATCCTTCTACAAATAATCTAATTAGTTTAAGATAAATAAATATTTGATATATTTTAATTTTTTTTTAGTTATAACTAATAAAAATTTAAAACATACTATGAATATTTAATTAATTCACATTTTTAATGAATTCTCTATTCGATCACAGGTTTCATTGAGTAAGTTTATTATTGTTCTCTCTGTGTCATCTCTTTATTTTTGTTCTTCAGCTAATTACAATGATAAAATATTTGTTATTTAATTAATCATCATTTGCATTTAATTTTGATTATCTTACCTTTATTATTTCTCTATATTTAATGTTTCCTAAACCGATAGAACCTATTCACCTATTCTTCCTATTATTTTCTAGCAATGTATGTCTCTTTAAATATATAATATTTTCTTTACCTTTCTCTTCTCTCATTATCAACATTCTCTCTTAATTGATTTACTTTAATCTCTATATCTTTCGAATATTAATCCTCAGTCTCAGTTCTCTTTATTTTATCTTTCATTAATTCATTCTTAACATGTGATTCTAATTGTTTCAACTCTTTCTTTCGAAAATTATCAATATTATTCTATCAATAAATTTTATTTTAATACATTTCTTATATTTTATTCGTTTGCTAGCTTCTCGCTTATCTTATTCAATTGATTTTAAAATGATATTATTCGTTGATCATCATTTATATATGCTTTTTGAAACTTATCATTAAGTTAATTTATTCTTTCTTCATAAGGTACTTTTTTGTATGAATATTATTCATTTAAATGAAATTATGAAAGTTTAAGGCTAATATCTTATATTTTCGGTCTTTTTGGAGAAACTAAGAAATTATTTAAGATTTCTTACTTGAACCTCCATAAACTTAAGAAATTAATAATGAAGAGTTTGTGTTTTTTGTTGAATCAGGTGAATAATAAATTCTACTATTTAACATTATATAAATAAAATATAAAATATTATAAAACTATTAAAGGTTTATAAGCACTACTTTTTTAAATAACTCTACTTTGAATTGAAAAATAAATTTAAAAAAAACATACTAATTCATAAAAAATTAACTATTTATTTAAAAAAGGTTAATTTTTTATTTTTAACCTTATAATTTAAGATTCATTTAATAAATAAGAAAATACAGCTTTAAGTTAAAAAAGATAGTTTTTTTAGTTATTTTCTTATAATTATCATCTAAAAATAAATGAAATAATCAAATACATGAATTAAAATATATTAAATAATTTTAAATATTTAATTTAAGATGAATAGAATGAAGTATACTTTTTAGAAAAATCATTTGTTAGAAGTTTTTTCTTTTAGCTACTATTAGAAATTTTTAATGAAGCTAAAAGCTCTGAATTTTCTAGTTTATTAACTTTAATAGTTGAAAATATTGGTTATTATTACTTGAATTATATATGAGGTAAATTTATAAACAGAAACCAGAATAAGTAATAAGATTTTTAATTAAAATTGTTAAATTTTGATATTAATTGATTAATAAACTAAAATAATGCGTTTTAAGTAAAATTAAATTAAATTTTTGATTTACTTGGCATTTAATAGCAATTAATAAAAATGCGTAATTAATTTTTTACAATTATAAAATTAATAGTGAAAAGTTGCTTGATAATATATTAGTGTTGCATATTTCATTCAGAAAAAAAACTATTTTTTAAGAAAAAAGAGAATGAAGGTGAATAATCAATAGCATGAAACTTATGATGAGATATAAGGTTCATTTTCATTGGAAGATGATGAAAATTAGATTAACTGTTAGAGATATTCAATTGAAGAGATACCAACAAATTAACTTAGGTGTATAATTGTAAATAATTATTAGTGGAGATGAAGCAATTGAGAAAAGTTTCATGCAATCTATAGGGAAATCATCAATTTTGAATAGTAAAACTTAAAAGACATCAATTCCTCTTACAGCTGTGATAATTATGAAAAGTATGGTTGGAGTAGGAATACTAGGTGTTGTAATAAATTTAAATAAAAGTTAGCCATATGTTACATCCAATTTTGGAGGAATTTTAACTACTCTAATTCTAATAATAATATTTTGTATAGGAATTTTGTCATCCATTTTGTTACTAAAATGCAAAAATTTATCAAGAAGGAGTAATATTTCAACAATTGGATTTTTTGTATTTAAACATAAATGGATTGTGATAGTAATAAACTTGATTATAATTTCATCAAATTTAGGAGTATGTTTGAGTGAACTAATGTATGAAATAAATTTTATTATTTTTTAGAATATTTGGGGATACTTGTAGTAATTTAGTGAATTATTTTTCAGGTCAGAATTCAACTGAACAACCTATATATTTATCTCGACCATTATTGATAATTATAGCAAGTGTTGTGTTATTTCCATTTTTGATAGTGAAATAAATTGAAAAGTTGAAGTTTGTAAGTTTATTTGCACTTTTATCGATTGGAATGTTTACTTGTTCAGTTGTATACAACTATTTTCTAATTGAGAAAAAAAATGATACATTTACTTGGTGGTTGCCAGAGAATTTTTCAATAATACGAGCTATGGCATCAATGCCTACTTTAATTTTAGCTTTTTGTTGGCAATTCAATTTATTTCCAATTTACAAAGGTATGACTAAAATAACAGACAGAAATTTAATAATCTCAACCATTTTAGGATTTGTTATGGGATCTATACTTTATCTTTTAGTAGGAATTTTAGGTTTTGCAACATATGGAATAAAAGTATAATATCATTAAATTAATTATAGATAGAACCAAATTATTTATTAAGTATTAATGATTCAGATGTTGGTGGACCTTTATTTGTTCTATTGAATTTATCTTTTGTTCTTTCAACAACTTTGACTATACCTTTGATGTTTTTTGCAGGTCGGAATAACTTTATATAACTAATTAAATAATTATAAGTAAGAAATTTCTATTTATTTTAGAACAACAAAACAAAGATTTTGTCAAAAAATAGAAAAAATTTGCTTGAAAATTAAAACAAAGATTTAGATTATAATACTATAGTTAATTTAAAGAAAAAATCTTAAGCAATAAGATTTTATGGAATAAGCATAATTTTATTTTTGATGATAACGGTAGAAGCAATATTCTTGAGAAACTTAGGAATAGTTTATAATTTATTAGGATCTATAACATGTAATGCAATATAATTAGGACTGCCAACTTTGTTTTATATATTTTTAGCGAAATAAGTAAAGAGAATGAAGTTTAGAAACATTTAAAATAGAATTTTCTATTATTTAGTTTGTTTATTACTGCTACTAAGTATATTTCTTACATTTTTTTGTGTGACAAGTGAATTTGTTTGAATTGATTGAATATTAAATAATAATATTAAAAAATTGATTTAAATAATGAATGTGGGAGATTATAATAAAATAGATACATAAACTTAAATATATAAAAATATCATTTTCCTAAACTTTTGATAACTTCATTTGTGAACTGATCTGTAGTTGCATTTCCACCAATATCTTTAGTTTTAATCTAAAGAATAAAAGATTGGTTACTTTTTTATTTTAAATAGTATATTAAACAGATCTACAAATTTAATCTGCAAAGTTTGGTAAACCAAGATGTCTTAGCAAAAGAGTGGAAGAAACAAGCATAGCAGAAGGATTCACAACATTTTTGCCTAGAATATAGATAAGATTACCTGCTATATCTCTTCCTGTATGTCTACAACCTTAAGAGAAGAGAGCATGATCTCTACCAATAGATGCTCCAGCAGCCATTCCTACTCCTCCAGTGATACCAGCAACTACATTTTAAACAATAGAGCCATATAAATTTGGCATAACCATTACATCAAACTATGTTGGATTCTTTACCAATTGCATACAACAATTATCTATAATCATTTCTTCATATTTTATAAATGAATATCTTTATGCTACTTCTCTACATGCTTATAAAAATAGTCCATCTACTAGTTTCATTATATTAGCTTTGTGAACAGCTGTAACCTTCTTTCTACCACTAAGATGAGCAAATTCAAATGCATATTCAGCTATTCTTAGAGATGCTTATTTTGTAGTCACTTTTATTGATTCTACTACTCCTGGATATACCTCATGCTCAACTCCTGAATATTCACCTATTATTATCTTTTTAAATTCTTACCTTCAGTATTTTCTCTTATCACTACTATATCTGTATTATTATGTCTTTATGTAATCCCTTCAACGGAAAAAGCAAATGTAATATTTGAATACAAGTCTAAATATTTATAGAACTTGTAATTATCTGTATACTTTTAATTCTTTTCAGTCATCACTCCCAATAGAATACATTCATTTTTTCTTAATTGCTTCTTTGAATCATCATTCTCAAAATTGAAATTTTCTAACACATCAAATTTTATTGGAACATGTAATGCTTCAAATACAGTTCTTACACTATCTATTAATTTCTATTTTTTTAATACTTGTTATTTCAGGTCCTATTCCTACTCCTGGAATCAAAGTTACATTTTTCAAAGCTCCTTCTCCTGGCTTTTGCAAATAATTTTAAGACCAAGCACCTCTAAGTTAAGCATTTGAACGAAAAGCAGATCTTATGCAATTCCTCATAAATAAATTTTTATAAAAAATATTTTATAATACCATTATGTAAGTAATATTAGAGGTTTTCTGAGAAAGAGATTGCTTAAATTATTATTTCATTTAGTTACCTTAATAAAACTTTATAAATTAAGATTCAAATCATTCAAGAATAATTGAATAATCAAAAAAAACTTAAAAGATGGATGACCAAAAAAAAGTAATTTGTTATGAATAAATTTTTTAAATGAGTAAAGAAAAGAATTACAAATTCTATTTGTTAAATTTTCTCAAAATAATATAATTAATAAAAGTTAGCATTATCATCAGAAAATCAAAACAATTATTTTATAAATGTATATGTTTTAAAGAAATAAAATAATTCGCAAGAACCTCACTAACTAAGAGATGATTATTATTAAATAAATAAATTTCATGTTGATAAAAATAATAAAATTTCCAAATATAAATTAATATTATGCTTACTGAAAAGTGTTTTTTTAGTAAATTCTTACCTGTTAATGATGCTTTCCATATATCATAATTTTCATCTAAAAATTTTTCGAAAGCCTTTTTATTATTATTTTAAATAATTTAGAAATTTGATCATATATTCTGAATCAAAAATAGATAATAAAGTTGAAGAATAATTTTTAGTAAGGATATTGTTTGAATTTTATCAATTTTTCCTTAATTTTTAACTTATAGGTGCAGGAGTTTTTGAATAATGCTTTATTGGTTTTTCGAAAACCCTTTCTTTTATTTTTAAGATTTAGTCTCTTCCATTCTGATTTTCTAATTTCTTTTGTACATTCCTCAAAATTTAATAGATTTTATTTCAATTTTCTCTTAATAAAATATCTCTACATTTTTGCTCTTGAAAAAGAAGTAAAATTTTAACAGTTCTCATTACAAATTAAATACTGCATACATAATTTTTGCAGTGATACTATTTATTTTTTGAAGTTACTTTCTTTAATTCTTTTGAGTATTTAAAGTGGTTTCTTTAGTACAAATTAGACATTATGGGAACTAATTAAATTAACTTACATTTTTTATTTGTCGACCCATTAAAATCAAATCAATGGCTTGACGTAGCAAGTATTTATTTAATATTATGTTTTTCTAATAAGTTCAATTTTATTTTTGAATTGAAAAAGTTTTTTTACTTATTAAGAAAAAATTAAACAATAGAATGATAAGTCAGCACCGCAATTAATACAAAATCTAGAATGTTTAGAATAAAATATGAATGATCAGATTAGGATTTACTAGATGAATCTGGCCCCTTAAAAAACTTCAATGAATAATATGAATAATAGGCTCCATTAAAAAGCAATAACAAAATGATTAAAAATAAATCATAGCTGATACAATTTATTAAATTACATCATGAAATGACATTTTATCATATATATGGCTGAAGAAACATATATAAAATAAAAAATATTTTTTCATTATTTCTTTTGAGAGATTAACATGTAATAATGAACTTGATTAAGAAGCTCTTAAAAAAGTTAGCTTAAAGACAATTATCAAATTTTTTAATAATTCATTTTACAATAAAATTTAATTATTTATTTGATAATATAAATTATATATTATAACTCTATTAGTTAATCATTTATATTCATTTATCTCTAGCCATACAAGTAAATAAACTGGCAATCCTTTGTAGCACAGTTCTTTCTGTGCTATTATTTTTTAATTAAGAAACCATTTATTAAGGATGATAACTTGCTTATGTTTCATCTGAATAAGAATTTGAAGACTCTTCCACTTTTGCTTTATTTTAATCCTCTCTGGTTATAAAGGGATGCAGAAATATCTGATTCAAAGAAATTCTTTCATTAGGATTTGGATTTAGCATCTTTAAAATTAAGTCTTTTGCATCTTAATCAAGAATTGTAAATTTTGGTTCTGTGAAAATGAGTATTTACTCTATCATTTCTGCTTCGGTACCTACCTTATCATTAATCAATACCTGTTATTATTGGCTTTTTTTCTAGCATCCAATAAAGCAAACATCCCAAACTCCAGATATCTACAGAATAAGACTAAGGATAGTTTCTTAAAATTTCTGGAGCCATAAACTCATAAGTCCCACTAAAGTTGCTGATTATATCTATGTGAGTAGCCAAACCAAAATCACATAATTTAACATTATTCCTATGATCTATTAAAACATTGCTTGGCTTTATGTCTCTATGAATTATGCCTTATTAATGGAGGTATTACAAAGCATTACATAATTACAAAATTACCTATTTTGGATCAATTTATAAATTTCTTGTCAAGTGTCCATATTCTAAAATATTTTAAGTAAATACTTGCAAATTCCAGTACTAAATATAAATCTTCATCTTTCTCTATGAATTATAATAATTAAATTATATATTTATGCTTGAGAAGCTTATGAATTTTGAGCTCTCTGTTTCCAATATATTTATTTATTTTTTTTACTGCAAAATTATATCCATTCAGTTATTTTAAATAAACTTACCCAAAACTTCCTTAACCTATCAAATTCATTTCATCATTCAATTAACTTAAAGATAGTTTAGGAACTGATTCGAACAAACCATTACAAACTAAATAATGGTATCCTTCCCTATCGAATTACTTATCATTGATACCAATCAAAATCTCTACATTTACTTGAACAATAAAACGCATTTGAGCAGCTATCACAGCTCACCTGAGTTCCATTTAATATTGAATTATAAGGTATATCCTTATTGCATTTTGTATTTTGGCAATTCATATGAAGTTTCAGAAGGAAAAATTATTAAACTAAAATAACAAATACATTTTAAACTTATTATTTTTCATTCACTTATAATTATTACCAAAATATACTGTTGATCTCATCTTTTTCTAATCATTACTTATCTATTACTTCAATGAGTACCAAATTTCTCTTTTCAATATCTTAATCTTGTTTCTTAATATGAAATCATTATTTTTTACTTTGGTTCTCAAATAAGAGCAATCTTCTCTTCTTAAAAGTTTTTATTTTTTAATTAATTTTAAATATCTACTAGCTTCCCTTAAATTCTTTCTATTTTTTGTTATTCTTCAATTTAATGTTTGAGTTATTTCAACTACTACTTAATCCACTAAAGAACATTAATCCCAATATATTAATGACTTAGGCTTGAGTTCGCGAATCCTTTAATCATTGTATAAACAGATTCAGAAAATATTTTGATTTCAGTTTTTTTACAATTAATTTATATAATTCTTATAATAAATCAAATTTGCAAATTGTTATTAATTCTGTAATTAAGTATTTATATCAAAAATTCCTAATTTTTCTAGTTTTTTTTTAATTGAATACAATGATAACACAACCAATTTAGAATATATTTATGCTTTTCTATTTCCCTATAACAATTCTCAGATTAACTATATTATCTAGTTATCTTTTGCTTTTATTAAAGATTGAGCAAACTAGAAAATATAAGGAAAAATTTATAATTATCATTAAAGCACTTATTGTTTTTGAAAATCTTATTTTAACAGATTTTTTTTGGGTTAAATAATAACTTTATGTAGATTAGGTTTTTTATTACCCTATAACTCCCGGATTACATGAAAAATTTAATTCGATTATATTGATAGATCCTTGTTATGTTTTAAAAGCAAACATTTTAGTAATTATAAGCAGACATATGATGATCATTGAAATAACAGTGAAAATTATTACTTCTTATTAAAAAAAAAGATATATTGAATAAATTTATTATGGATTGGGCTTTAAATTTATATATTATTTTAATTCAGATAAGTCTGTGTACTCAAATGAACTCTACACCAGTTGGAACAAGAATTAGAAATAACAGGGAATCTATGTCAAATATAACAATCAATAAACTTCTACTTCCAAACAATATCAAATTAAAAAAATCTCATAACAATTCTTAAAGCCAACAAATATTAGAAATGCAAATAGATGAAAATGATTTTTTTATTCCAAAAAAAAGTTTAAGAAGAGTTAAATATTCAGATTAAAATAGTAAGATTAAAATCTATCATTCATAGTATTGACAAACTCAATAACTGGAAAATCATTATAATCCTAACTAATTGGTAAGTTTTTGCGTGAGAATAATCTTCAATTTCATAGAATAGACTCTAGAAAATAAATTACTATTAAAGAATTAGTATCAACGTCGAAAGTTTATAATGTTATAAAAAAAGATGGAAATATAAATACAGAACCAAATTCAGATAAATAAACTCTTCCGTTTATGCCTTAGTTGAAATAATCTTAAGTTAAGGATGACTTATATAAATTCACTTTTTATAGTCCTAAAACTTAGGAGAATAAACTTAGATTGCCAAAAGAATTCTAAATTCAACCTTGTAGCAAAAAAAAATATTTTATATGAGTAAAGCAATGAATCTAATAATTATATTTAATAATTTTTATTGCATAATTTTTAAGATTCTTATGTCTGCAAAATGAATAACATCTCCTTAAAGTAATAAATGCACTTAAAGTAATAGAGGTCATGAAATCAAAACAATTTAAAAATTAGAATGTTTTACAACTACTAATCCAAAAATAAATAAGGTATTCAAGTCTTAGGGTTATTAGTTATTATTAGAGCAGTAAACATCAGTTGACTTATGCTATGGATCAATTAGAATTTAATAGCTTAACAAATAAAATATTGATAAAAAATAAACATAATCATGACAGAGAACAAATAATAAATTAATTACTTGAAGAGAACATAAAATTGAAAGAATAAAATGATTAGAAAAATAAATTAATAGAAATGTTAATAGATGAAAGAACACATATTAAAAGAGTTATTAGTCTCCATATTACTCCTGAAAAAGATATTTAACAGTCAAAAACAAATTTTAGACTTTAAAGTCCAAATCATATGGAATTTACATTTTATAAAAGTCCTAGTAGAGGCTTACCTAAAGAATTCTAAATAACTCCTTCTCGGAAAATGTTTTTTTGAAAAATAATAAATACTGATGCTTTTCATAAATATTTGCTCTATAATTATGCAAATTTAATAAAATATCATCATCAGCCTTTATTAAAGTATTTGATAAGAACTAATGCATTTTAAAATACTACTAAATATCAGTAATTAATAAAGTTAGTTATAAATAAAAATTGATTAATATACAAATGCTTATTTTTTAATATGTAATTAATTATAAAACATGCAAACTCTAAATATTTTAACTAAAAAACTAAATTCTCTAAATATTAGACAAAATAATAAAATTTTCAAACAAAATTTTTCGATGGATAAGGATTAGGAAACAAAAAAGTTGGTCTTTTAATGTCAATTATAAAATGTATAATGTAATTCTTCAAATGATGTAAAATTGGAAGAAATAGATTCATTTTGGAACTACAATCTTAAGTAGAGTTGTTCTGTTAATATTGAGGATTTATTTAAAATCCAAGTAGAAGACAATTGTACATTAGAATAAATCACTTCAAAAGTAAAATTATTCTTAAAACCACAAATTGAAAAAGTAAAATTTAACTTCATAATAGTTTTTAAAAGTGAATCGTAGAAATGTTAAACTAATTAAATATCCAAAAGCTTTATGGAACTCCAATTTTAGTGTTTAGAAAAGGTTGGGAAAATAATTATTATTTTCGGAATAATAGGTAGGATATAAAACTAATGAAAATTAAGTTATTATTCACAATATTGCGCCATAATTAATACATTAATATACAAATTATTTAAAAATAGATAAAAACATAAAAGTAAGTAGTGTTTTTAAAATAGAGACAAGAAACCTAAGATTTAAATTTTAAGTACAATTTTACTTCAGAATTAAGAGAGAAGTATAAAATTGACATTCTTAAAGTAAATAAAGAAATATGGAGATCTTAAGAGGGAGTCAAAGAAATGATTATACTAAATAAGAAATATTCTCTTAATCATATGGACTTTAGTAAGATTATTATAATTAAATTCTAGTTCAAATATATTCTTAATTTTTATATTTAATTGAAAAATAAAATATTTCTAAATTAACTTAGGATGAAATATCTGACTATCTTAAGAATTAAATTGCTAAAAAAAATGTTAATCTAGAAATAAACATAAATTCATTGATTCAGATCTATTTACAATTATAAAACAAATAATTTTCTGAAGTTAAGTAAACGATATTTTAAAAATTAAATCTTATTTAACAATTTGATTTGACTGCAATTTAGAATCTATCATTTAAATCTTTTAAAACTAATGAATACTTTTAAAAAGATTTTGCATTTATTTGCAATTCATGTTCATTATATAAAAATTAATGTAAATGTTAATTTATGAATAAATTGGCTTAAGTAAAAAGTTTCTTAGAATTTTGTTGTATTTTAAATTATAAAGGAAACTCTAAGAAACCTCAATGGTGTTATGATTTGTTAAAAGCAAATACATAAAACATTTGTGGAGAGAACTGTTATAAAAATCAAAACAACTTTGAAATTTTAAGAAAGCAAACTAATATGAATTAATTGATAGAAGAAGATTAACCAATTATAATTGACAGAGATCCGTGTTTATTAGCCAAAATGTATAAAAAAGATTGTTTATCATTTTTTAAGCAATGTAAATATCGATACAAAGAGATTAAATAGTAATATTTATAGGCAATTAAATAAATATAGGAAAAGTAAGATAAAGAAGCTCTTGTAAATTATCCATTTAATAATGCGAATTTATATATTCCATGTTGTCATTAATAAGATTTTAAATGTGAGAAATGTAATTGCGATTAATTTTGTTCAAAATACTGTGATTGTTAATAAGATTGGTGTTAAAAAAAGCTTAAAGGATGTTCTTGCAAAGATAGATGTTCTATAGATAGTAAATGTTCTTGTAGAAGAGATAATGTAGAATGTGATCCTTTAGTTTGCAAATGTTGTACTCTAGATTCTAATTCAGTTTGCTCAAATATTTAAATTTTAATCAATAATATAAAGCCTACTTTATTAGGAAGATCAGGAGTTTGTAATGGACTTGGAGTATTTACCAGAAACTATATAATGAAGGATGAATTAATAATATTATATATTGGAGAAGTACTGATTGATGATGAGGATGAAATTCGGGATTAATTCGATGATACATTCACTTTTTATAGCTATTAATTAAATGAAGATAAATATTCATTGGAAAGTCGATTCTGTGGAAATGAAAGCAGATTTATTAATCATAACAGTCAAAATTTAATGAATTGTAAAACTCGATAGATATTTTCATCAGGTAAAATTATGATTTTAATTTCAGGTAAATTTCACTTAGCAATATATGCTCTCAAAGATATAGAACCTGAACAAGAGATACTTTTGGACTATAATGAAGGCGGTCAAATAAATAAAGATCTTAATAATTGGGTTGATATGAATTCTTAGTATTGGAATTATAAGTGTACTACTTATATAGGAAAAAAATGATTTATAATTTTTTATGGTAATTAAAAGTAATATCATTTAAAAATAGTTTACTCTTTCATCTTTCTGAAGGAATAGAGAGTTTTTCATAAGCTTATAAATATTTTCTTAAATGTGTTAGAGAATTATTGCAAATAAAGAGTAACTAAAAATATGTAATATTTTTATTAATTTACTTAATATTTTTTAATTAAAACTTGAAGCAGTTAGAGTAATCTTTACGCAAAGTTTTCCTGTTTAAAATGATAGAGATTGACTATTAAATGCACTAAATCTTCATAATTAGTTTGTTGCTCAAGTAGATTCTATTCTTTTATATTACAAAATTCAATAATTGTCTTTAAGTTAGCTTTTTTAAGAGCTTGATAATCTTGTTGATTATTAGGTACATATCCATAACATATATTTTTATTTAGCTAAAATATCATATGCTTTAAATTAGTAAGTCCATCTGAAAAAATGAGTAGTGCATCCTTATAATATTATTCTAAGATATTAATACTATTTACATTATTAATTTAAATTAACTTGATAAACAGGACTTGAAAACTCATTTTTTGTTAAAATATGATATTAATATTGAATTTAAGGATCTTCAATATTAATAAGAAATTTCTATTACGATATTCCATCCTTATTTTTCATTCGTATTCTTCTTTAAAATTAACCCATTGAAAATTATGATCCAGAAATGTAAATTTGAAAATTCTATGGGTTTACACATTGAAAATATATTTTTCTATGGTTCCATACATCGAGTGAATGTTTATTAGTTATTCTGTTAGGCCCTGATTCCCAAAATATTTTTTAAACTTTATCATAATTAGAAATGAAATATTTATATTCAAGTTCATGATAAGCTACTTCAGTTACCCATATATCATCCTTAAAATGAAATTTAATTTATACTTAGGTCCAAGTCATTCTAATTGCTTATTCAGGATTCCATTATCCTAAATATTTTGATTTACCTGATATATATAAGGCCTATCCAAATTAAGCCTTATAATGAATCTATAATAGGATCATTTTTACTTTTAATTAATAATTTAAAAGGATTTATTTGAGAAGGTTATGATGCTAAAAATAATACGCAAATTTTATACTAGCAATTTTTAATAAAAATGATATAATATGTAATATAAAAAAATTATATAAAAATTGTATAATATCCTAAATCAATATTGTAAAATCTGGTTACAGATCACTAATTTTATGTATCCAATTTTAGTTTAACAGTATTAGAATAATCTAATTCAGCTATAAATAGTCATTAAAAAAATATAAGATAATAATTTTAGAATTTTAAATAATATAATTAAGGAACTAAAATTTCTATATCTTTATAAAGAATTAATATTATCAGAATAGTGATAAGATACTTTTACTTTTTTAAATTGATCTTAATTTATTAGATGATTTCCAATAAATATTTTCCATCAGCTTTTGTAAATAAATGTAAATAGAGAATTCTGATATTTTGTTAATTCTTGAACTCCTTATTATATTTATTCATTTAAGGTAAATGAACTTTTAGAAAACATATTTAACCAACCAATATAATAAATCATCATTAACTCTACTTTTTTATTTTAAGTACAGCAATAAAATAGGATGATTTCTTACTTTAAATCTTAAGATAATGATACCATCTCTGCTTCTTGTGTAAATCTATATAAAACTGAAATCTTTAGGTATTAATATGACAGCAGCAATATTAAAAAATTTATACATTATTTAATTAGTCCTCCTTCATTTCATCTTTTAATTAAAAAACTCGCCTATCATATTGTTTCAATTATACTCCTCATCTTCTGATTTATTTTTTATGATAAATTTATTGAAGAGTTTTATTCAGTGTATTTTTACAATCATTTAATCTATAAATATTCATGTAATATTAATCTAAATATTGTTCACATTTTCTATGAATTTTTTAATATTCTTGTTGTTTTCATATAGAATTGTGTTATTCAAAGTGAGAATTTGAATATAAACTTTTAAGAAAAAGGATAAGAGCATTACCTAATGTAATATTATTACTTATCTCTACTTATAATTCAACAAGAGTTGTTTATTTTTTTAAATCATATTTTAATTATATATATTCGCATTCATTTATAGTAATTTTTTATTCAAATATGTTTTTACTACATAAATATTATTGTAATTTGAAAATTTTAGAAAAATTAATAAACTAAATTTATTTATTCAAATATTTCTAATTGAATTTAACTATTGCATAAGTAATGCATAAATATTTGTAAAAATAAAAACACAAGCATTTGTTTTCTTATTTTAATTTTATTATTATCAAGAATATTGATGAATAGATGGCTTTAGAATTATTTTTTAAATAAGAGAAATTTTTTTACTGATTTGGCAATTTAATAATTTATTTCATAATTTACTAGCACCTTAATCATTTTATATAAATTCTAGAGAATCTTAAACATTTTTCTTGTATATAGAACAATTATTGGCTTGATTATTCTTAATAATATTGATATATAGAATGAATATGCAAGAAAAATAATCTGAATGAAAGTTTGAACTCTAATTGTGAATATTTTTCTTTTATAACTATAAGTTGAGAATATATAATAGCATGGATTATAAAGTTTATAATTAATAATATAAAAACGAAAATGGATAACAGATAAAGACAGCAATCAGCAATGACTTATCAAGAATACTTAAACTATTTTAATAAGGAGCCAAATTCTCCTCGAATAAAGTAATAATATTAATTAAAAGTTTAGGCCCAAGGAAAGTCCAGTAGAACCTTTATCAGATTTAGAATTGAGCCCTCTTTAGGAGAAACATCGAAAAAAGTTAACAGTACAGAGTTGTAAAGTTATCTAAATAAATTCAAAACTATGATATTTAATTTTAAATAGCAAAGATTTCAGCTAAAATAATATATTTATAAGATATGTAAAATATATTTGTGCTTAATAATAAGAAACTTAAATTTATTTCTTTCAAACTTAAATGTTGGTGAAATCTGCGCTTTTAACAACTGATAAAGCTTATTCACTGATTCCAAGTTCTCTAGTGAATTCATTCTTTAAGTTAGTGTAGATATCGGTTTCCTCAGCATATGTATTATTTTCTAATTCAAGTTCAGCGACATATTATTTTCTGTCAGCTTCTCTTTAATCTCTAAAATCACTCATTTAATCAATCTTTTCTAAAATTTTAATTATAATTGATTACCATTGGTGGCTGTCAAATCGACATTGATTCTATTAATTTGTCTTTAGAATTCTGCGAATTCAGCATCCAATTACTCAAGATATTCTTCATGATCAGCTTAAGCATCAGCTTCTGCAGCTGTTTATGCATTTATTGAATCAACAATAGCATTTCTAAATTCATTAAGAGCATCTACAATTTATCCTATAATTCCTTAATCTGAAAAGTTTTAATTAGATGCTAATGTGATAAGAGCTTTTATCATTGGAGCCATCTTAGATCTTGATTTAATTTTTGATTCAATATTTTTCAATGAATTTTAGAATCTCTTAATTTAAAGGAGTGATGGGTTTGTAAGTGATGAAAGTAATGCTAAAGCATCATCAACAGCAGCTGTGGCATCATTTAATTCTGCAACTTAAAATTCAAAATCTTCATGTTCTTATTCTCTTGTAAGAACTGCTTCTTCATAATTTTATCTATTGGCTTCTTAATATTCTTAGATTTATTCAATTCTAACTTAGAGTTATTCTCTTCTTGGGAAAAGTAAGTTATCCAAAGTATCTTAAGTATTGTTAACATCTAAATTTTTAATTTATTATCTTACCAATCACGGCATCTTAAATATCCTATTCATATCCAATGACTAATGAATTGTGTTCATTTGTTCTTTATTAGAAGTTAAATTCTAATTCTTCTAGTTCTTCTTCAAGATCATTGATAAGCTCTTCAATGGCATCAACCAATTCTTATACTGGTCCTCCAACCATTGAGTGAAGTTCAACCAAATGAAGAAGTGCATTTCCGTAAGTACTCTTTTTCAAATCAGTTGTGATTTTTGCTAAATTCTTCTCTTACACTCTGGCAGTGAAAGCAATAGCAATCAATGTAATAAGCAACACTGTTTTCATTAAAAATAATTATGTAAAATTTAGAAACAAAAAATTGTATTGAACAAAAACGACTAGTATACTTTTAATTAAATTATCAACTAAACTACCTTTAAATTGATTCTTTTATAATGCTAAAATCAATAAAATTTAATAAATCTATATTGTTTAAGCTATCCTCACAAATCTTATTAGGATTTTAATATTAATTTATAAATATATTTCAATATTTTTATTTATGAATACTAAACTCTAAATAAATCATAGAACTATTTATTAAACCAATTAATTAATTATACTATAATTATAAACAATCTTGTCAATCTCATCTAGATCATTTTTATTAAGTAATTATTTTTAAAAAGTCTTCAAAATTCACCATCTCCTCTTTATCAAAGTCAACATCTCATTTAATTCATTTTCATTGATGATTTCACAAAATTCTCTACAAATTTCCTTAAAATATTCCAATTCAAAATAACTTAATCATTTGGTTAAAGTAGATAGAGTACTTCCTTTAAATTTTATCAGAACTTAATATCTCAAAATTGTACAGACATAAGACCTAAAAATACATCAAAAACAATTTTCCTATCATTTTTATTTGATTGCTGTGTATAAACTAATTTTTTGAGTAATTATTCATCAGTTGCAAAACTTAAATATACCATTATAGTTTTTATTTCTCTTGTAACTATTTCTCCATCGCTCAAAATTTAATTATATGATTTAGCTATCTTAATAAAAAATATCAAAGGCGTCCTTTATTTTTGATTTGATTTTCTTTAAATCCTGGTCTTTCATAGGATTTTATACAGATATTTTTATTAGGTACTGTTATAGGAGTAGAAATAGATTTTTTGTTACATTAATTTATAAAATGAAATAAAGACCTTTATTTCTGAATGTTGATTTATCACCTTAACCAAATAAAACAATAAATAAATCACCAATCTAGAGAGCAAAAACCCCAATAAAAGAAACTTAGAAATCATAAACTAGATTTCATTCTCCTATTGACACTCAGCCCACCCGTTAAACTTCAACAATCATCACTGTATATATACAACGTAATATTTTGGCAATAGGAACTTATTTCAAAGAGAAGTGGAGCAACAGGCAGATCTTAAACCTAGACAAATGCTGAATAAGAAATTCCAATTAAATAAACTTCTGATTTCTAGACCATCTACTAACGTAGTTTAAAAGCTAACTATATTCCTAAAATAACTCATATCAATGCTTAAACACCTCCAAAATAATAAAGCGTTCCAAACCCAGCCACTCCTATTTATCATTAATTCGTTTCATAGAATGTAGATAAGAATTTACCTATTCAAACTAATATTGTTAATAAATAGAAAGAAAAAGTTTAAATCTATATTAGAATCAAGCCAAATTTAACTAATGAAAAGTCTGTTGTTAAAAAATTATCTAATTAACATTTGGCTGTACACACTTTTGAAGATACAAATAGATAATTTGAATTCGATACTATCTTAGATAATTCATCCTAAGAAGAGGTTTATAACTTAACTACTAAATAAATAGTATCTGATTGTATTGCTGGAAAGGCAAATGGAGTTGTTATTGTTTATGGATAAACAGGATCTGGTAAAACTCATACTATGGGGCTTCTTGAATAATCGAAAGGTGTAATATAATTGGCTATGTCTGATATATTTAAGCAAATTAAAGAATAAAATGAAAATGGAATCAGTTTTAAAATCGAAATGAGTTTTATATAGATATACATGGATAAAATTTATGATTTACTAAACAATAATGGGTAGTCATTGTAAATTAGAGAATCCAAAGATTCCATACCATATATTTAAGGGGCTGTCTAAATATCTATTGAGGATTAAAATGATGGAATTTAATTAGTCTCTTTTGGAATCAAAAATAGAGTTGTGGCATCTCAAGTTATGAATCTTAATTCATCAAGATCTCACACTATTTTAACTATATATCTTAAAAAATAAGTTTAAGATAAACTTATTTGTTCTAAAGTTGCTTTTATTGATTTAGCTGGAAGTGAAAGAAATAAAAAGTCATTGTCTAAAGGTTTAAGACTTGATGAAGCAACCTATATTAATGAATCATTATCTGCTTTAGGAAATGTTATTGCAGCCTTGGGATAACCAAATCAATAGCATGTTCCATATAGAGAATCAAAATTAACGAGAACTTTATAAGGCTATTTAACTGGAGAATCTTAAATCTCCCTCATATGTACAATTACAAAATTAGCTGAAAGTACTAATGAAACTCTTTAAACTCTTATGTTTGCCTAACGGTGTAAGGATGTTGTTTTAAGACCATAAAAAATTATTCCTATCTAAGATGAAGAAACTTTAGATAATGGAGATTTATTAAAATAGATAGCCGAACTTAAAGAAACTATCAAAGATTTGTAAGATTAACAAAAAAAGCAATAATCATAGTAGAATTAATTAACAAAATAATAAGATAAAGATTTTTTAAAATTTCTAATTAATATCATTCTTAAATTAAAGTAATACACATTTAGCAACTTATCAAGTTGTTAGCTTTAAGAAAAATAGGCATTGGCTGAAAAATTCTTACAAGATAGTACTTATTACTAAACTATTTAATTTCCAAAAGAAATTTAAGTGATGATGATGGAGCCAATTTAATCTTAAGATATTGATTAATAAAAAATTGAATAATGTCTTGATGGCAATAAAGAATAAATTAAAGAACTTGCAAAGAGTTTTACCTAAGATATTCATTACCTAGTCTAAGCATTCAAATAATACTCTGATATGCGTTATAATTATATTATTGAGAAAATACTTGAATAATATCGATTAAAAGAAATCTAAGTTTGGGCTAAAGGTTTGGCATATTTATTGATAACAATTAAATAACTCTTAAATTAACTATATGAGATTAAATAATTTGATATTGCCTCTGATATTTATTTGGAAGGAATCAAACAATAATTATATCATCTAATTAATGATAAAGGAACTATGTATAAATCACCTTAAAAAATTTGTGATCTTATAGAAAAATTTTATAGTTCCGAAACAGATTTCAGTTTTAATTAAATGAAAAAATTTTCCAATAGTCTAAATATCCCTTCTTAAACTATGTCTGATAAATATAAATAAAAGATAGAAAAATTGATTGGCACTTATGGCCAAGGAATAAAAGTTACAAAACCAACTGAACCTCCTCCTATTTATCATTCTCCTTCTGTTAATGTTTCCACATTAATACAAAGTAAGAAGTTTTAATAAAATCCATTTAATGACATATCTTCCTTAACTGAATAATAGGCAGCTTCATCTGTTGAGGAATCAAATTTAAGAGAAGAAGTACATGTGATACCTAATAACGAAAGCTTACTTTAAGGCAAATTAAGATTCAAAGAAGATGAATTGCTAATATATTCCAGAAATCAAATGGCAGCGCAAATGGCAGCAAGAAAAAAATAGTTAAAATGACTTATACTTTTTTCCTAGCTAATTTAATATATTAATATTTTATCATTTCTTAAAATATACAAAAAATCTTTTTGCTTTATTTCTATATTTGAATTATGTATAGACTTTATTTTATTCTATTAAAAATTATATTTAAAGTATGTTGGAAATATGAGAAACTGTCAAAACATTTCCCTTTAGTCCGATAATATTAATAGATTTTATTGGTTTTTTAATTATACTTATATTTTCTATTATAAAATTATTAAATGATTACAGAAAGATTGTTGTATTCAATTGTAAATTTAAGGGTGGGTTTGTAAGTTAAAGGATTGTCTTTTGTTTATAAATTAAAATGGCCTTGCCTTCTTCCTACGGTTAATTTTTCGAGAAGGATAGATTTTCAGGATTGATTAAGTAAACTATTTTTTAATAATGATTAATCCTTAGGTTTCTAAACAATTTTTGAAATTTTATTTCTTTTTTTGAAGTTAATTTTAAAAGTTTACAAGATTCAACAAACAGAAAATTTCTTAAGTTTTTATTTTCCTTATTTTTATTGCATATAATTATAAGAGGTACAAACCATATTTTAGGTTAATCAAATTTTTAATAAAAATGAAATAAATTCACTCTTTCCTTAGTTAAATGATTAAATTTATGTCTCATGAAAATATTAGATTAATTATTAATGATAAATATTCATTTACTAATTTTAAAACTTCTATAATTAAATAGTTCTTAAATTAATCAATTTAAAAATTTTATTTTAATTCAAGTAAAATTCAATTAATTTCCATTAACTGATTTCGAAAATTTTTCCTCCATCTAACAAATAAAGGTCTAAATTAGTATCATTTTTATCTTATAATTAATGTGTAATCTTGATGGATTAAACTAAAAAATTATACTGAAAGCTCAATCTTTATAAAATTTAAATGCTTATTATTTTAGCAACGATTTCTCAAAAATTAGCTTCTCTCTTAATATTTTTAAATGATATTTAATAAGTTAAATTATACATTTGAAGCTCGACATATTTTTTACCATAAAAATTGTAATAAATACTAAGTTAAAGTAATTTAGTTCTTTCAAATAAAACATAAAAATTTATTTAGCAATAATATTATTTATTTTCTCAAAACATTATTTTTTTTTTTGCAGCCTCTTCAATTCAATATAAAAATCTGCAATTATTAATATTAGTCTTTCAATTGAAATTATGATTCATGTTTCTTGAAACACATAAATCATAGAATTATTCAATTTTTATAAAATTACATCAAAAAGTTGTTTTAAATTTAAAAAATGAAAATTTTGAATAATCAAAATGCTATAGTTTTCATACTCTCTAAAAGAGGATTTAGTTTTATGTGGAACTATGTAGATTTATTATCTTTAAATTTTAATATAATCAAATAATTCATTTATTATTTTTAGATAATAGGCTAAATTTTGAAAAATATTAATTTTATAAGTAATAAATGGAAATATATTAAATAATATAAAGGATAGAGAAAAATAATCATATAATTAAGATTTCGATAATATAAAATATTTAAGATCTAATTGAAAAGTATATTTTTGAATTAAATTCTTAGTTTCTCTAAAATAATAAATTGCTATATAGTTTAATTAGCTCTCGTAATAAATATGCTGACCGAATTTCAATTTTTTTATTTTACTTTATTAATTTAATTTAAACTAGAAGCCTTATTTTTACAATAGGTATTAAGTAACTATTCTAATTATATATAAAAACGGATTATAATATTTTTAATGAATAAATTTGCATTAGTCTTGCTCCTTGTTGTCTTTGCAAACACTTCAGAATTGAATAATTAGATTTCTTTTGGAAGGGGTATTCTTTTAACTAAAAAAAATAGAGTTAAATTTCTAAGAAGCAATACATCTTAGTGCAAATAGGTTCACTTGTGAAATGGAACCTAAATTTTATGATTTTATTATTTTGGAACTTTCTAAATGGTCAGACATCATTGATCGAAAACCATAATTAATAAAGGATTTAACAATTATAGAGTAAATTATTAAGTTAGTTGATAAATCTAAGCGTATAGATAGTGCATAATAAGGTATAGATATGTAGGTTAAACTTAAATAGATATGTTTATTTAAATCACTCAAAGTGTGTCAGCTTCAATTCGAGAAATGTCTATGCTGGAAATTAAAAATCAATGGGCTTAATTTAATGTTGACGACGTATTATAATAGATAAAATAATTATCTTCAAAAACAGGTACTTAAGAAAAAAGTTTAATGGCTGAAAAAATAGTATCTTAATTATTAATGATGGAAAAACAAATTAATATATATTTAAATGAATGCTAAGGTTATGAAAGCAGTTCTGAATTATAAGAAAAAATAACAGAACTTATAAATAAGAAAAACAAATGTGGCTGGTCATACAATAGTTAATATTAGGGTTCAACTCGATTACCACCAGGAAAATCAGACTAGCCAGAATCATCTGATCCAAAATATGATACCTAATCAGTACATTAATAAACAGCTAATCATAATCAACCATATTAATCAAATCCAAATTATGAAGGTGGTTCAAAAGAATCAAAATAATAATCTACTCGATTACCACCAGGAAGATCAGATTAACAAGAATCATCAGATCCAAAATATGATACCTAATCAGTTCATTAACAAACAGCTAATCATGATAAACCATATTAATCAAATCCAAATTATGTTTCTGATCATTAAGCAGTTCATTAATAATCTACAAGATTACCGCCTGGTAAATATGATCAATCTGAATCATCTAATCCAATTCATGATAAATAAACTTCTCATTAATAAACAGCAAATTAAGATTAACCATATTTAGCTAATCCAAGCTATAAGGATGTTCCAAAAGTAGATGGATTATCTGGTTCAATTGATAGTTAAAATATGCATACTGGAAATTATGATGAACCATTTCATGGAAATCCAAATTATAAATAAAATTAAAATGAAAGAAGAGTTGAAAGTTAAGGTTTTGGATCAGGTTCCTCAAATATTTATGACGAAGATGGATGTCCATAAGGTGAGGAAGATGATACTCCAATAAATTATGAAGAAGAGGAAGTACCAGAATAACCAGATGCTTAAGAAGATCCAGAAGAAATTGAAAACTCAACAGAAGAAGAGGAAATTAAGAAAGAATAAACTGAATAAATTGATGAACCCAAAAAAGAGGATCCTAAAGAAGAGCCTAAAGAAGAGCCTAAAGAGGAACCCAAAGAGGAACCCAAAGAAGAACCTAAAGAGGAACCCAAAGAAGAACCTAAAGAGGAGGCTCCTAAAATTGAATAAAAATAATCGATTCCTGATTTACCTCCTGATGATGAAGAGCCTGCTGTTGAAGGAGAAATCGTAAAAACAGAAGGAGTCGGTTCATCAGTAGATGGTAGAGTGGGCTAATAAGCATAAAATCCTTAAGAATAAGAACAGGAAGATTCGGAAGAAATGGATATAGAAGTAGATGAAGAAGTAGACGATGGCAAAGGAGGTAAAAAAATTGTTAAGAAAGTTATTAAAAAGTCTCTTAGAAAAAGTAAATAAAAATAAGCTAAATTAACAAAGAGTTAAAAAAAACCATAAAAAAAGGTTACTTCATAAACTAAAACTACTACAAAATCAGGAGTGAAATAAAAGACATAAAATAAAAAATCAGGAGAATCCAAAAAAAAAGTAAAATCTAAATCTGGAGGAGATGGAGATGGAGAAGAATATTGGGAAGAAACAGAGGAGACATTTGAAATTACTGAGGATGGCAAGGAAACTTTAGTATCATCTACTACTAAATCCTCTGCCCAAAAAAAAATGCTTTTAAATGCTATTGGAGATACTTCTATAGATTTAAAAATTTTAGATATTGATAACGAAAATGATGGAGTTATGGAAGATGATAAAATAGTTGATGATGTAAATTTAATGGAAGATGATAATTTTAATGAAGATAAATATTAATAAGATATCTTTTATGAAGAATTAGAAGATAAATTTATTTATTATGAATATGATCCTGTTGATAAGGTTTTTAGATAATCAGCTATAATTTTAAAACCTTAATAACAGAGGTCTCTGATGATATCAAACTGGAACGATCTTATTGATTACGTGACTGATTTAGAAGATGAGGATTAAGACATTAAAGAACCCAGTTAGATTGAACAGAAAGAAGTTTCTGAAGAGAAATAAAAAAGTGATTTGAATACTAAAAATCAATAAGAAAATAAGGATTAATAATAATAGTAATAATTATAATAGTAGCAATAAAAATAATAGGATTCATAATAAGAATAATAACAATAGTAATAACAATAGCAATAATAATAACAATAGCAGTAATAATAATAATAATAATAATAATAATAACAATAGCAGTAATAATAATAATAATAATAATAACAATAGCAATAATAATAACAACAACAACAATAATAATAACAATAAAAGGATTAATCATAATAATAATAAGTAGAACAAGATTAGAAGAAATCCTAAACAGAATAATAAAAAGAAGAATAAATCAAAAAGGATTAATAATCATCCAATGATATAAAATAAGAATAAGAATAATAATAACAATAACAATAACAAATTAATTAAGATAGTAAGTAATCTTAAGATAAAGTCATTAAAAAAAGTTCTGTTGGTGATGTTATTTAAGAACTACTTAAGGATGAAAAACAAGCTTTAGGGATTGGGTAAAATCAACAAACAAAAAAAGATAAACAAGAGCATGATGTAGAAAAATCATTAAAAATCAGTTCAATAAAGGAAGAATATAACCCAAATGAACCAACTTAATACATTCCTCCAAAACATAAAATTAATACTCGTCCTGCTAAAGAAAAAGTTGTTGTACCTGTATCAACTAAATATGTTTAAAGTTCTTTTGATGGGGAACCAGCGGAACAATATGAATTTGCAGATAGAGAAATGCTTCAAGACTCTGATGAATACGGATATGGATTTTGGTTAAGATACACAGATAGCTCTCCAAAAGAACACTCACGATAACCCTAAACTTATCATTTTATATCAAGATTAACTTCAAATAAAGATTATAAAGATTATACATTTTATGGAGATAGAACTCTTTGCATATTTTTATTAGAAAATTCATTTGTCTTTTCAACTTACGATCATGGAGATAGAAAGAAAATAAAAGATTAAGTTATAGCTTTGAATGAAGAATTAGAGAGTATGTGGTATTTTATTACATTCTCCTACAGTTTGGCAAAAAAGGCAGCTGTTGGTTATGTAGTAGGATATGGTGATAATGGCAAGATCTTAAAAACAGAGATAAATTGTTAACATGTACCACCAACTTATTTTAAATTAATAGTAGGAGGAAAGCATCTTGAATATTAAGGATTTAATGGATAATTTGCAAATGTTTTTTATGATATTGATGCTCCAGCTTTTATTGACAATGAAGAAAAATTAAATTAACTTATAAAAACTGTAAGTAACACTCCTTAAGCGATTAATAGTTTAACTGATTTGGAAATCTTAACAACTCCAAAGTCATTTAATGCAAATAACAAAGGAGATGCTATTGTGTAAGACCCTTAAGAATCAACATTAATAATAGAAGAGTATAGTTTTTCAGGATGGTTTAGATGGATAGATGATCTAAAAGTTGATGAATCAAATACATTCTAATTATTTAATTTGAGATCAACAAATAAAAAGTAACCTAATAAAGGAGTATTAGGGGATCGTGCATTAGAAGTTCATTATACTTATGGAGGAGGAGCTAAAAGCACAGTTTACTTTAATACTTATACAATTTAAGGAAACAAAGCAAAAGGAACACCTTATATTTCAAAAAATGTTGAATCACCTAACTATACTTGGACTTATGTTTATTTTGGATATGATAATGATAAAATGAAAGCTTATGGAGCCTTGATTAGACCAGGAAAAGCTGATGAAGTAATGTTTGATCCAGTTCAACATAAACTTGTAACTAAATTACACTTTACTATAGGAGGTGATGAATAGATCTCATCATTTAATGGTAAAATAGGATATGTAGGTGTATATTTGGGACCTGGAGCATTTAAGTCAAGTCTTGATTTTGGTTAATAATTTTTCTATGGAGATGGTGCCATTGGTGTTTATCAATTAGTCAAGCCAATTTAGTTTTAAGATGATGCTTAAGATCCTAATGTAGTGAGAGATGCTGAATATGATTCTGATAAACCTTTAGTAGATAAGATTTTAATTCATGATGATACTAAATTAAGATTTAATGGATAGAGTGAATACTCATTTGGTTTATGGACGAGATGGTTATAGACATTACCTAAGTTTTTAGTTTAAAGAGGTGCTGTTCATAATATAGCAAGATTTGGAACAGCACCATATTTAATTGAATAAGTTAATGGAAAATTGACAAGAGCTAATAAAAGACCCTCTGAAGATAAAGATTAAACTTTAGCTGTTACCTTAAATAAAGAAGCTTACGAATTTTATACATATAAAGCAAAAGATGAAATTAAATTTGATGATATAGAAGGTTCATGGAATTATGTCTATTTTGGTTATAAACGAGTTGCAAATAAAGGCATAGCTAAAGGTTATGTTTAGTTTGGAGTTGAGGGAGAAATTAAGGAGGTTGTTTTTGATATTTTGCATGATTTCTTATTAGAGTATATTGAATTTGTAGTTGGAAAAAGTACAGCTCCTTTCTTTAATGGTTAGATGTGTAAAATATAATGCTCTATAGGACCAGGATCTTTCTTTAGCTCAGTAGAATAACTTAAATTATTTACATAAAATACACTCCCTGATAAAGCTTAAATACGTCCTATATCTAGATAAACTTAATAATTAATTGGACTGCCAGTAGAATAACCCACACAAAAGTTCTAATTTGATAAGTTTTAAGGAATTAAAGAATATAGTATATCAGGATGGGTAAAATGGAGTGGAATGCAGAAGGTAGGGAAAGTTTATCATATTGCTTCTTTTGTATAAAAAAGACTTGCAGATTTGAATGGAAAATTCGAATAAACTCTTTAAATATTAAGATCAGACTAGGCATATAATTTTAATACTTATTCTTGTAAAGGAGATGATTGCTCTGGAGTTGTTACCTAAGATTAATCACTTGGTGAATATTGGGATCAATGGACATATATTTACTATGGTTATTCATAATTATTAAAGAAAACTTTTGGTTATGTGAAATTTACATTTACTGATACTAAATTTAATTAAGATTAAATTACTCACTTTTATGTAGCAGTATTTTCAGTAGTTATTTCATCAGAAGAGTAAAAGTTTATAGGTTCAATGAAAACATGGGTTATCAATATCGGAGAAGGATCATTCAGAGAAGGTAATTTTGAATCAGATGAAAATATCAAAGTACATTTTGGTTTCATAAGTGGAACTGATCATGTTAAATTATAATAGGCAGGATAAGAAGCACATCATATAGAGTAAGTTTTAGAATGCGCATCTAATGATAAGGATGTTCCTTTACATGTTTAATTTGAGTAAAGTGAGAAATTGCATATTCATGGAGTAAGTGAGTATGGTTATGGATTTTGGGCTAGATACTAACATTTTGCATAAAAAGGTGTTTTATATCAATAACCATAATGGATGGGATTAGCAAGGTTGACAACGTAAAAGGATTATAAAGATTTTGAATAACCTGGAGACAGAGTACTTTTGATTTTACAAGGTAAAGGTGTACATCATTTTTCAACATATAATGTACAACCACCTTCAAATAATGTGAATGGAAATATTCCTTATCTATTAGAATCTGAAAGTGAATGGATTTATATTTATTTCAGTTATAAGAGAATTTCACAAACTCTGGGTCATGCTGTTGCATTCACTTCATATAATGATATAACTGCAGGAATTTAGATGGATGTAATTCATACATTATTGCAAAATTATTTACAATTAACAATTGGTCATGCAGGAAAATTCTATCCAAATTTCAATGGATAAATAACAACTGTAAGATTTAATCTTGGTCCTGGAGCATTTATTGAAAATAAATAAGGCATTTTGGCAAGAATAAAAAATAAAGATACAAAACCAGAGATTAATATTATTACTAAATAATTCGAAGTAATCGCTGGTAAATAAGATGCTTAAAATTTGAAAATCGTAAACCCATTAATAATTGAATAAGAATCAAGAGAATATTCAGTATCTTTATGGTTTAGATGGTTTAAAACTAAAGTTCAACCTAATTAAGTAATTTATAGATTGACATCAAATAAAGGAGATGAAGATGCAAAAAATATTGGTGATAAGGTTTTAATGTTAGCACATATTGGAACTGCTTTATTTAGTACCTACTCTTTATAAGATTCTACTTTGAATGTACCATATGAATGTAATATTCCAAAATAATAACTTGAAATATGGACATTTGCATACTTTGGTTATTCTAAGAAGGAGAGAAAGGTTTAATATTTCTTAAGAGCAGATTCTCATGAAAATAAAGGATTAGAACCTATTTTACATGCAGTGGCATCTAAATATCTTCTTTTTGTTGGTAAAGATGGTCATTTAGAGAATTATAATAGTAGATTAGCTTAACTTACTCTGAATTTTGGAGATGGAGCATTTAGAAATGATAATTTCTTATAATTGCCAGTATATATTTTAGGTCCTAAATTGTTTTCTTAAGAGAAAATACATAAATGGGAAAAAAGTGAAAAATTGATATTAGGTTAATCATAAACTATTAGATTAAATGATGAACCAGATAGACCAATAGAATCTATGTAAGAATACAGTATTGGACTTTGGTGTAGATTCTTGCAAGCTTGGCCTGAAAGATAATATAGATTGCCTTTAGAAATGTAAATAATAAGGTTGACTAATAATGAAAAGAATGAAGTAGGAAAAGTTGCTTTAGGTGATAGAATTTTGGCATCTTATTTAATTTAAAATGGATTCTAATTTGCAACATACGATTTGAATGATGATGCTCCAAATGAATTACATACTATTCCAAATTAAAAATTGGAAGGATAATGGCATTATGTTTATATGGGCTATATGAGATAGAAATAGATCGCTTCGTTTTTTGTATTTGATGGAACTGAAATGCTATCTGCAAAAAATACTGACTTATTACATAAACCTTTAGGAGATTTTGTAATCTTACATATTGGAGGTGAACCTGATGTACCTTCATTCTAAGGAATTATAAGTAAATTAGCACTCAGTTTTGGCCCTGGATCTTTCTTTAGTTTATCATAAGAAGTTATGAAAGCTCTGGATAATTCTTATGCATTAGAATAATCTTTAACAGTTGAATATATTCATAAATAGAAACATGGATAATAAGAATTAATTGGTAAATTAGAAACTGTTACAGATGAAATAGGTGGTACTGAATTAAGAGGAGAAACTTGGTCAAGTGTTGGAGAATATTCAATAAGTGGATGGTTCAAAGCTGCTAATGTTAATGGAATGAGTGCCAATGATTGCTAAGTCTTGTTTAGAGTCACAAATAATGATAAAGAACATTTAAATGATAAAAGATCTTAAGGTGATAGAACATTGTTTGCATCTATTTGTGTTGATTCAATTAAATTATCTACATATACACTTGCTGGATTGAAGGATTGGAATGAAGCTAAATTTTTAGAAGAAAATGTACCATTAGGTCATAATAAAAGAGCTTGGATATACATTTATATGGGATATAAAGAAGATTTATAAGAACTTCATGCTTTATTACATTTATTTGAAGAAGATAAACCATTAATTTTTAAAGGAGTATAACATTTTGTTCCTCATTATGCTGGTATTTATGTAGCGAAAGATCCATTTACAAAGAGATTTTAAGGAGAAATATAAAAATGGGTGGCTTGTTATGGTTTTGGAGCATTTGTAAGTGTCCAGAAAAGAGGATACGAAGATTTATTACCAAATTATAATGCAATAGCTATAAATCAGAAATTCATGTGGTTTAGAAAAGAAGATACAGTAGTGGAAACAGAATAAGGAATTACTCAAGAATTTATTTAAGAAGTAGAATCTGTTGATGAATATTCAATAGGAGTATGGACTAGATGGCTTATTTCATTCCCAACAACTTTGACAGAAAGATAGGCATAACATAACATTTTTAGATTATCAGCAAATAAGTTAGATTAGGATAAGAGTGAATTAGGAGATAGAGTATTATCAGCATTCTTAATTTTGGGTAATTATGAGTTTAGTACTTATGATGTAAGTAAGCCATCAAATGCTGTGGATGCAAAATTGCCATATGGAGAATTAGAAGGGGCTTGGACATACATTTATACAGCATATAAAGGTGGATAATTCTATGGTATGGTGTTGTTTAGAGATTAATAGAAAGCATAACATGTTGAATTATAAGTATAACATAGAGCATTGACTGGTTATGCTAAATTTGTATTAGGAGCTAAAGAATTTGGTAGAAAAGGATTCCATGGATGGTTATTTGATCCTAGAATCTTTTTAGGATCTGGAGCATTTATTAATGAAGGATAGAAAGTAGTAGATATGGTTTTAAAGTTACATCGTAAATTACCAGTACCTGCTCTTGATGCAGAAGATTTTAAATGGCCAGTTACTATAATTGATACAACTTTACCTGATGATATTAATGATAAGAAAGATAATTTTAAATTCTCTTTCACAGATAAAGTAGGTTTAGTAGAATATTCATTTGGATTTTGGATGCAAAATGCAGTATTATAACCAGAAATGGCTGATGATCTTAGAGGATTAGTTAGATTAACAACTAATAATGAAGGATCTGATGAAAGATTAATAGGAGATAGAACTTTAGCTGTTTTCACTAAAGTTTAAAAATTAGTTGCTTACACTTACACCCTTAAAGATCCCACTTTTGAACCTGTCTCACATGAATTTGATTTGTTACCATATCAATGGACATTTGTTTACTTTGGTTATACATAAGGAAAGGCTAGAGCTTATATCTTAAGTACAAAAGGTCCTACTGAATAAGTATTTGCTGTTAAACATGCTATTCCTAATGCTTTTTACTTAAATGTAATCAAAGATCTATCTCATCCATTGTTTTATGTATATTTATTTATTATATTATTAGGGTAAATTCTATGGATTAAAAGTTAATTTTGGATAAGGCAGTTACTTAGAAAATCCATAAGAACTTATAGAGAAATGGCCTTATGATCCAAAGGTTCTTCCAGTACCTTAACCTAAAGAAGAGAAAGTGTTGGCTCTCAATTCTGCTAAAGTTGATAGAGCCCCTAATACTTAACATGAATAATTCAGAGAATGAAAAATAATAACAAAATATATTTAATTACATTCATTGTCTCTGATAAAATAATACATAAGAATTCTACGATTTTTATAGTTCCTCATCCACAACTTTATTCGAGTATTCCGAAACTCTTTAATCATTGAAATTGTACCAACAATTTTTTCCTTTTATTAAACTTTTCATAATCAATAAATTATACCACGTATAATGTCCACTATAAATTGTATATCCTTAATGATTTATTACAGCATACAATTTGTACTATGGACTTTAATCACAAAATCCTTTAAGAACCAAACTTTGTTCTATCTCAATAGCATAATTAGATCTCGCTTACCTTTAATCATATCTTTTTAACTAAATTACTAAAACCATTGGTGATGCACTCAAATTAGTTCGTCTTGTCAAAGGACTTGTCTTTTAACACTTTCTACACTTCTCCTAAGAAGCTAATTACTCTGGCTTAAAGTAATCATATATCAATTAACTCAGTTTACATGCTTACTATATATAGATTGATAAATTGATAAATTGTTCTGTTTATTTACTAGAGTTATTGCAGCTTTAGCAATTTATTTAATAAGTCAATTATCCAAAAAAAGGTTATGTAAGAAATGCTGTATTAACAATATCCAAAAATACATGGAAGAATTCAATACAATCCTATTGATTAAAATTATCAAACTCTCTGTGTTAGTTCATTAATTTTTTAAATTGAATTATGTCATTATGCTCAGGTTCTATTTCTGCTTGAATGCTAAACCAAATTTTATAAAATTGTTTAAACAACTCACTGCTGTTTTTATTGTCTCTATACGACTTCATAGCTGTGCTAATGGCAGGAGTATTGAATAAACATTGTAACATTGAGTTTCTAGGATGCTTATTGTTCTTGCATACATGTAACAAGTATTGCCAATATTTTCTATTCCAATCCTTATTGGATCTACATCTTACGGCTTTTAATTCATCTGCTCTTTATTTCTTGTAACAACGCCACTTCCATAAGCTTAATTACTTGTTCTATACATGTTTAAATTTAAATAAATTAATTAAAAACTCATCTTTCTTTACAATAGGGAGTTTTTATTCAAACTATTTTGCCTCCCATTCTTAATTATAACACAGAGTTTGATCTTTAAAAAGCTAATTATTAACAAATTTAATTATATTCTAATTAATTTCTGCTAAATAGAGAAATCGAAATTTAGAACTTATAAAGAATAATCTAAATTTACTATAATTAGAAATTAAATAATTAGTATAATTATTTGAGAGTATCGAAATTTGTAATTATTGATAAATAATAAAATGAATCAAAGTTAACGCATTCTGATATTAGTTCTTCTTTTTTCTATAGGTGAATTGCTAGAATTAAGCGGGCTAAAATTCTTATAAAATAGAAAAATACGGTAATTTATTTAATGATCCTCTTTTTGCCATTTGAGCTAATTGCATAGAATTAGAATGCTGTAACATTCTAGTTTGTGATTATCTTTATTATGTAATTCGAAATGGAGATTATTTCTTAAATGGACTAGCAACATTAGTTTCAAAGAAAAGTTGACTAGTGGACCTAGCTTATTTAATTCTAGATGTAGATTTTCTTTAAGTGGTATCTTGATTCTGTTATCGTAAAGTAATTTCTGTTTAGGAGACTTTTTCATTTAAGGGAATAATTAGTCTAATAGCTTTAACAAAAGAAGTGCAATATTTAATGAATGATAGAGCATTTATCAAACAGATTAATTTTTATTTATTTTTGAAAATAGCCATTCTATCATGGATGGTGATTGGTTATCCCAGATCTCCTTCTCCAGTAATCCAAGGATGCATAAGGGCTTATTCAGCAGACATTCTAGCTTCAGGATTAATTGCAGCACATTTCTTAAAAAAACTTTATGCAGACTTATCCATGATAGTGAAATTGATATTATAAGTCTAAATGCTTTCAATAAGATTCTCATAATTAAAGGGATGTTTCCTTTCATATAGAAGAAATTGGATTATTCCTATACTCCACATGTCCACACTCTTAAGATATGGCATTTTTAATATCATTTCTGGAGCCATAAAAAGAAGAGTTCCACATTTATCATATGAGATCTTAGATTCAGATTATTAAGATAATCCAAAATCTATTAATCTCACTCTACCATCTAATCCAACCAAAATATTATCTAATATTATAACCCTATTTACCAGGTTTGATATCTCTATGTGTGATGTCTTTATTGTGTAAATAAGTTAAAACAATAAGTAATTATTTGATTATGCTTTTGATAGTGTGTTCGCTTAAATTTTATTTGCATAATTCAGTCAAATTAGAGCCCTCTACATAATCCATTATGATGTATAATTTATCGAATGTTTCATAACTCTAAGATATTTATTAAAAAATATACTGCAATATATTTCACCAAATTAGGATGTTACAGTTACTCTAGTATTTCTACTTCACGATTAAATAATTCACAATAACTGGGAACTGATTTATCCAACACCTAACTTACTTCTCCACACTTACCTTAATTGCCACTTACCTACTCTTGTATGTACCCAAATAGACTTAACTAAATGCTCCATTCCCAATCTTTTACAATATATTTAGATCATTCATTATTTATATTTTTGGAAAATCTCTTATTTATTAATATAAATCATAAACATTTTAATAACTATTAAATTATCAAATCATCCCTTTCCTCCCCACTTATACAACTAATCAATTAATAACTCTAGATCCTTTTTTCTAACAAATCTTCTTAATTAATTAAATTATTAATATTAAATTAAATTTAATAATGAATCAATCTGCTCAAAAAAATATAAATATTAGATTGTGCTTAAATATATTTACTTAACTCTGGTAAAAAGAGTAAGGCATTATCTGAAAATTAATTCTTTAATTTGGAAACACTATTATTTTTTTAATAACAATTCAATAACAATTCTATTTATTAAATACATAGTATATTTTCTAATCATTTCTCTATTTACTGAAATCTAATTCTTTGTTTTCATAATTTAATTTACCTGAAATACCAATTTGTTCTATTCTAATAATCTTCAAACTTTGACCCCAAATTTATTTTGTTCCCAATCAAAATATTGAATAATTTTTTAAATTAATTTATGATCTATTAAAAGATTAATTTTTTGAAATTTTTAATGCTTTTCATCTAAGATTTATAATAGATTTCATAAACACAAAATAAGTCTTGCTTAAGACTTTATAAAACCATTCATAAATTGTCGTTTTTATTCAATAGCATCATTAATTCTAATTTTATTGGAAATAATTTTGCTTACCTGTAATAAGAGAATAATTTTTTATGTTTCCAACACTTATCTATCAAACTCTACAATTTATTTTCTAATTTAAAATACTTGATTATTTCTTGATTTGTAGTGTTAAAATAATAATTAGTTTTACTAGAATAACAATTATAAAATAAATAAGTAATAGAATTGTAAATAGTTATAAACTTTTTAATTCATAGCCATCTTATTATCCATAATCTACATATTCATTCATTTAAAGTATTAAAAAGAATATATGAGTTGAATTTACATCTTCATTAAATATTGCTTAAATAATTAAGAAATTATGTGATTTTTTTATATTTAATTATAATATGAATTCTATTGAATCATATTAATGATTAAATAACTAAGAAATTGAATTAAGTTAAAGATGTAATTGTTAAGAAATTTTATGAAATCTGTAAATAATAGTAATTTAATAATTGATTTTAATGAGTATCTAGATGAAAGAGTATGTGATATAGATTAATTTAAGTAGTGCAATTTATAAGAAAGGTTTACAAGGATGAATAACTAAAAATATCATATTATTATTTAATTAATAATTTATGCCAATCGTATAAGGAAAAGCAAAATTGTGGCATCCAACATAAGAAGAATAAGTAAAATTTAAAAATAATAAATAGGATGCTTATGATGATAGAATGATTGCCAATATTGAATTAAAATCATTAGACTTTGATGATGAAAACTTTTCACCAGTGTTTAATAGAAGCAAGAAAGAATTCTTTTTATAAGCAAGCGAGAGATATAAGAAGGATTTATCAAAAGTAATAAAAATATTAGATAAATTTAGTTAGCGAGACCATTTTAATCGTATTCGTGTGAAGAATTTATAAGCAAATACATATAGATAAAGCCAAATCATACATATTGGAGAGAATGGACAGTTACAAAATGGTTGTCTGGTTTTGGATTAGGATACTTAGTATTGAGAGAAGTACAAAATAATGTAAATATTAATATAGTTACCATTACGTAATTTTTATGCTAGAGTATTTGTAATGTGGATATTCTTAGCAAAATTGAGTGATCATTTTAGTTCTATTTTACCTTATCATGGTAAACTAGTAATATCTACTCAATCGGATAGATTTTCAAAGTAAATATAAGAATAAATATGATTATAGTAAAGATATAAATCAATATCATAATGTATGCAGTGCATTACATTTCTTAGAAATGCCAACATTTTAAAATAGAATATCAGAATCTCTTGCTTGGAGAGCTAAATAACCAGCTCATTTGTTATATAATGATACTAATTGGTGTTTACATATTCTTAAGAAATGGCATGGTCGTCCAACTCATATTGCACATTGGGTATTTTTTGTAATCTAAATTTAAGGATGGTACATTCAATCAACCATTAGAAAGATTAGCAGATCCATATCATAAAGATGCTCATTTTATTCATTGGATTTGAGTTATTTCATATACATATATATATATATATATAGATTTATTAAATATTTCAAAATTATATAAATTTTACAATGGATCATTTTTGCAGAAAATCATCATACATAATAATAAAACATATTTAAAATACGCATCATAATTCTATAGAACGTCCTCTTTATGAATTTTGTTATTAATCATATCCCTATGCAGCAGCTAAGCGAGGGTATTGTTAACTTTATTTAATTCTTTAATCTCTACTCTTCTTCCAAAATAGTAAACCTATTCCAATCAAAAGATAAAGCTTAAATTAATATTAAATTTATTACACAACAAGCAACAATACATGCTGTTGCACTTGCTTTTTTGTCAGTCTTGCTATCTTTTACAGCAAATGTATAAGGATAATAGGAGTCACGAGCATCAACAACTAAAAACAATATAAACTATAATTTTTAGTAAAATTATTACAAATGCTGCACTTGCTAGAAAACTGTTTACAACCCAAAATTCCAAACAACCCATTAATTATTTTTATTATTATTTATATTAATTATTAATTATTCGCATAATCTTAATAAATGAGTGCAAGTGTTGCTGATAATGCTTCAGAAAGAGATATGATTGAATTTTCAGAAGATGAGCATTTGAGCTTCTTTTATAATATCGAATAAGTAATTCATTCAACTACTTAGATATATACTGAATTACCAGGAGTTATATCTAATTATGGAACTTTTGCGTAATCTTTATAGATTTGCAGACAATTGAGTAATTAGATAATTAGGAATTCAATCGCAGAAGCATAGGAGAGAGTATAAAACTCATTTAGCAATAAATTAGTTCATATTAAGAAATATTCCTTTAAATGCCATTAATGAATTTTGTGCTTAAACTAATTTAATTTTGAATAGCAAACTGAATGATGGAGGAGTTGAAGTTGAAACTTGTGTATTAGAAGAAGATTAGGAACCAGTAATAAACAAAGTTTAATTTAGGAACCAATCTTTAGTGATAGATGGAGAAGAAATAGAATTTTAATGATGGCAGGTAAATTTATAATTTATAACTCTTTTTTATAGAAATGGAGACTAAAGTTGATATAGATGACAAATTGAATAATGATAATAATAAAATAGTTTCAAAATCAAGATTATATGATATTAGAAAAAATACAGTTAGACTTCCTACAACACCTCCTCCACCAAATTAGTTTGAGGCAAAATTAATTTAAATTTATTAAGAAGAATTTGAGGATGAGTTTGAAGATAAATTAAGAAATGCTAAATTATATGAAATGAAAAAGAAGAATGAAATTGAATAAAAAAAAAAAGAAGATAAATTATAAAGTCAAGTATAATAAAATTAAATTATAAAATAGATAGAAAAAAAGGATGGTGGAACTTAAAAATATACTTATGATTTTGATGGTAAGATTATTTTAGGTAGAGCAATTAAAATGGACAAACTCTAACCTACTAATTAAAAATTGAAAGTTGAGTTTAAAGAATAAATTAAATAAGATTAATAACCTAATATTAAAAAAGGTGGAAAACGAGATTCTACTAAAGTGATGAAACCTCAATGCCCAGAACAAGAAATACCTAATAGAGTATTTTATTAACATATAAGGTTATATAAGAAAGGAAGGATGCTGCTAAAGAAGTTATGGGAGACAAAGCTTTAAGAATGGATAAAACTTCTTAATTTCCTTATGAAGTCTTTACAATGAATAATGGTGTTAAATTATATTTTGAACATAAAATGAAGGAAGGGGTAAGACATTAAATTAGTGATTCAGCTGAAAATTTATAAATTAAATTATCTGCTTCGAATTTATTAACAAGTGATGATGCATCATAATTTGCATCTTAAATTAGATTAACAAAAGCTGAATACTAATTAATTACAGATGCATAAACTCTATAATAAACAAGATAGTAATTCATGCCATCTGAAAATATTAATATTCCTGATCATGACTAATAAGTCACTCAATAATCCATTTTATTAAAAAATAAAAAAACAACTTCAAACAATAATGATAATAATCTTGCAGAATCTAAATAAGTCTAATTTAATGCTGGAATATCTTAATTAAATCCTTTCAAAAGAGTTAGTCCTATTCCACAGTAAGCCTAGACTGAAAGAATCTAACTCAAAAATGTTAAAATGATAGAAAATCTTTTAGTTACAGGAGTACCTGATACTCCTAAATCATCTAAACCTGAATAACCTCCATTATCTTTACCAGATAATATATCTACGTACTATTTTTTAATTAATTAAGTAATCCTATTGATCTATTCAATTAATAATTATTAACTTAAAAAGAATGGGGAAAGCAATCTGGAGGTAAAACATCATATTTCCCTCCTGTTAAATAATAGAAAAGAGTATTAGAGACTAAAGCATACAAAGGTTCCTTAGAACAGATGTAATTAAATCTAAATGAAATAGGTACAAAATGCCAAGAGAAAGATTAGTTGCTTAAACTGGTAGGACTGCTATGAACTTTTATAATTAAAATTCTGATGGTATATATTCTTATTTATGTATTTCAGGAACAAAGAAAGTTGCAAAATCAGTAAGTGATGGATTTATGTAAACATTTTATACAACTCATACCAAATTCAGCGAAAAACTTAGATAATGATTTTTTATTATTAAGCTTAATATCGAAATTTCTATATCTAATACAATCAAATTAATTAGCATGAAGAACTTGTACAGCAAGGATTTCGTTTTTAATGTTATATAATTAAATTTGAACTCATTTACTATTCTGAGTTACTCCAATTTTCTAATTACATTTTTTACTAATCTTAAGGCTTAATTGATGTTGACTGTAATGGAGTAGAATCATAGGCTTTTTAATTTGAAGATTGAAAGTTAGAATCAAGTAACTAATGTGATTACATTTATTCATACATATTCTATTAAATTATTTTATGAGTCGGCAATCTCTAAATTATGACTTTCTGATAGAATAACTTCTTATTCTTCATTGTAAACTTAAAGAACGAGTTAACTATTTTAACTGATATCAGGACGATTTTTCTAAATTATTAATAATGATTTAGAAATATTTTCATCAGTAATGAATGTCTTTATTTCTTCTTTTTTATTTTTTTTATCTGTTTAAAGATCTTTAGGAGGCCTAATCTAAATTAATCCATATACCAAAAATTAGTTTAAATGTTAGGTTATAAACCTTAAAATTTAAGTTCTAATTAATTTTCTTCAATTTAATTACTTAATTGAGTAAGATTTTTTCTCTAAAGAAAAACTATTTTATCTTATGATTCAGGTTTTAGAACTTAAAGCATTCTATTAAACAAACATTAATAAACATCTTCAATAATATAAAGTTTATGTATCCTTCCATAATAATTTTATTCACAACTTTTCACAAATTCTACAAATTCATTTGTAATTAGATGTGTTATTTATCTTAGATTGCTCAAATCAATCAAAATTATTGTTGATTCAATATAATAAGATATTAAAACATCTCTAATTAGCAAATTTAATAAATAATCAAAACCTATTTTAAATTCTTCGAGTTTGTACTATCAAAATAAATGACTAAAATATTACTTTAAGAGCTTTTTATAAGTCAATTATGATTACTGGCCGAAAACGTTTATCATGTCCGTGTATGTAAATAACCCCATTTAACTATTAAAATGAAATTAAAAATATACCACAACAGAGTTTGGAGGATTTGATAAACTAATATTGTTTTTCCACAAAAGATGTTGCTTTAAAACCTTTTTAATAATCTTAAGAATAATAATACATGAATAGTGTTTGTAATTTCATAATCACAATATGATAAAATTCTTAAGTAATCACTATCTTACCATCTATGAAAATATTATTAAATATTACTCTTTAGGTAATCGTAAAGGTGGTATGTTAATCAATGCTTTCTTTAATTTGTTTAGTTACTCTTATTCTATTGGTTCCATTTAAATATTCTCAAATATTTTTCTTTCAATCTTTCCTGCAATAATAACCTTATCAGCTATTTTTTTTTAAAAGATACATACATCCAGGTTCTATTATTTTTTCTTTTTTTATATAGTCAATCATATTATAATGTAAATTAATTAAGCTCTCCCAATACATTGTGCTTATTGTTTTGATATTCTGCTAGCATCTTTATAAAAAAAAGATGTACCTAAACCAACCTTTTAAGAATTTGATGTTCCAGTTTTTGTTACTTTTCATACAAATAAAGAAGATTTGAGAGGGTGTATAGGAACATTTTCACCAGGTCCTTTGAGTTAACAATTAGCTAAATATACTTATTTATCAGCCTTTAAGGATAGTAGGTTCCCTCCTATATAAATGAAAGAATTAGATTCTTTAGATGTTGGAGTGAGTTTATTAGTGAACTTTTAAAAAGGAAAAAAGTGGAATCAATGGGAAGTAGGAAAACATGGAATTATTATTGATTTCTAAGAGGGGGGAAGAGGTAAATATATCTAATAATTTTTAGAATATGGAGCTACTTTTCTACCAGAAGTAGCAGCTGAATAAGAATGGGATGTTAACACAACTTTAGAACATTTGATTGCAAAGGCAGGATATAGAAAGAATTACTAAAATGTATTAGACAAGATTGATTTAACAACTTATGAAACATCTAAAGCTAAATTGACTTATGCTGAATATTTAGAATTGAAGAAATGATCAATATATATAAATTATGAATGATGATTTCGATAATGTGGCATTCATCCCAAATTAGATTGCAGAAAAAGCATTTTAAAAAGGCGTGACTGAAGGAAAAGCCAAAGTTGATGCTAACATTTATAATGATTCTTATATTAAAGGATGGAATCAAGGAGCAATAGTAGGCATGATTGAATCTCAAATATCCATTTTGAAAATTATTGATCCTACTCTTTCAATTCAAAAATATGAAGAACAATTAAAAAAATTAGAATCTATAGAGGATCTAATCAAATTAAGGAAAACCCTAACTATGTTATATCCATTAAAAGGACTTATATAATTGAAAAAACAAAGTTTGGATTTCTGATATTTTATAATCAAATCATGGTTTTTTACGAGGGTTTCTTTTAGCTAAAGCTGCTTATGTTTCATCTTTTTTTAATCTTAAGAATTTCTCTAAAACAACTTTATCATCTAATTTCAATTATTCTAAATGACTCTAAACTTTTTATTCCAATGTCAATGTACTATTTTAATCTAAGAATGGCTACTCTTTCTAATAATATGTCTGTATTGCTTTATAGACAACAATTTTACTTGATATCTCTACAATGATCCTTTTGATAATTTTGATATATTTAGAAACATTGATGTTTCTCTAATAGGTTATTATTCATTCATTTTTTATTTTTATTTATTTAATCCTAATCAATAAACAAAAACAATCTATAACTAAAACATTTTCAAATTTCTATTCTTACATTTTGCCAATCATTTTTATAAGTAATATAGATATTAAATTAAGCACTTAAACAAATTTCCATAATAAATACTATATTCTAAATATAATTATTTTTTCACAATTATTCAGAATGATTCAAACTTTGATAAAATAAATACTATAATAAGTAAGAATTAATTTTTTAAATATTGACATAATTAGATTAATATATTACATATCAATAAATATGTAATATATTTCAGTCAAATTTTAGCAATTTAATTATGGACGACACAAAAATAATCTAAATTCTTCAATAAATATAAAACATTTTAATCTAAAAAATAATTAAAAAAATTTTATAATTCAAGCCATCCTGAAAATGCTAATCATAATTTACTTCATTTTTTTTATTTGAAATATCTTCATATAAAAAACTATGAACACTTTCTGATGTTTATATAAATATTATACTTAAATTTTCATTCCAATTAGAAGCTTAATATGGATAACGATGACTTAATAATTCATTTAGTCTCCTAAAAGGTGATAAAAATATAAAATAATATTATAAGCTGATTATTTATATGAGATTTTTGGGGTAGTAATTGATATAAAATTATTTAGCTTACCATATTATTGAAGTTAAGAAAAAGCTTTAGGACTAAAGAGATTGAGGCTTAAACATAATGGGGATGTCTTAAAGTTTAAAATTAAATAAAATTACATGAAGTGTAGAAGATTTAGATTGTGCTTGTGATTATGTAAAAATAACTGAACTTACATTTGATCATGCTAATTGAATGATATTTATTAGGAAACAAACCTATAATGAAATTAAAGATGGTTTGCCTAATGAAATATAATAAAAATAGTCAATGAGATATGTAGAAGTGATTTTATGATATAGAATCAAATGATGATACATCCGCAGGATTATTTAGCATCTTATAGGGGTTCTTCAACATTATATATTTTCCAGTTCTCAACTTCATATACTTAGATCAAAGATGATTATTTGTTTATTTCATCAACGAATGTAATTCTATGTTTTTTTGATCCTTGAGTAATAACATTCTTAAATTTATCACATCTCTGTGAGGTTTAGAAATCTTTTTTGGATGCTTTTAAAATACCAGATATTTGTGTATTCATCAAATAATTAATATTAATATTGATCATATTTGTAATAAAAATACTCAGATGAGTTGTGGTTACTCTTCTTAATCCAATTATTATTCTTGAACTGCTTCTTGAACTACTTCTTGTTCTTAATGTTAATTTAAGTTATTTTATGGTTGTAACAATTCTGATTATTATTGTTATTCTTCATGAGCTTCTTAGATCAATACTTCAGGTTCTTAGTTTACATGTTCAAGAGGCACTTCTTTGATTGGTTATTACAATTATGGTTCATTAGCTGGAACTACTGGTTCTTGAGCATTTTAGAATGGGAATTATTTTTATGGAACTGAAAGCATTTTTTATTTTAATTCTTCGTTACTCATTGGTCCTTACATGATGAGTTATTCCATGATGGCTTAATAAATCAAATCAAGTTGTCTCATTTTAGTATTGAAATGGCTATTAGCTTATTGACTATAGACTTGGGTGGCATATTATAAAATTTTGTTTCCTGGATCTTCAAATTGATTTAAACCATATTATTCTAAGATATCTTTTCTAGAATGAATATAGGCTTTTACTTAGAACTCTCCATTTTAAGAGATTACATAATTTCCATCATTTTTGGACTCTAGAAATTGATCTATTCGCCTTTTTCTTGTAATTCTAGCAATTTTTCATTCAATTTAAGAGCACTTTCAGTCATTACTTTTTCAAGTATTTCAAAAGTTAAATCAGCAGTAAGAAAGGGTGGAATATCTGTTTTAGGATCTGGAGATTATCCTGCAAAAGATCTATCAAAAGATTCTTTCATTTCTTTTTATAAATCTTTTATAGTAGGATCATCACGATAAACATGTTGACAAAAATGTTCAACCTATTATTTGGTAATTTTAAACGATTTATAAACCATTTCTTCAACTTATTCAATTTCTCCTCTAAACATGGCTAATTTATATTTAAGTTATACGTTGTTCTAAGAGCATCATCTTAATATCTTCTGGTCTAGCTCTACCCATAGATTATTATTTAATATTTATAGCAACTGCAGCGAAATTTTGAAATACTGTGAAAAGCTCTTTCTTAAGTTCTTTTAAAATTTTGATGATGGTTTCCCTGTCAATTATTTAATGTTCAGTATTTATCTTTCTATAGAATTATTTAATATTCATACCCATCTGACTTCTTCAGAAAATTGAAAAGTAGAACACTAGCTCCAGTTAAGACTGCTGCTCCTGTTAAAAGAGTGAATATTTTATTGTTTTCTACTTTGCTCATTTTACCACAAATTTAATAATTAAATATTTTATTAAAATAAAATCTAAGTGAGGTGAATTTGAGTAAATCATAAAAATAATAGAGACTTAAATGAAATGTATATATGTCTATATAAATTTAAAATATCATTCCATTTTTAATTCTGGTATGTATTCATCAGGATTTATTGGTAAAGGAACTGATCGTTTATATCCCTTGAGTAATTCTTTAAGTTTATCAATACGTTGAGTTAAATCTTCAATAATGTCTCTAGGAGATAAATCTTCCTATTTGAGTAAATGATGTAATTTAACAATTAAGAAACCACCACAAGGAGAAGTAATACAATCATGTAATCTATCCATAATATCAACATCTTTTTATGCTTATTCATAAATAGAATCAATACAACCATTAATAAGGTTGGTAGCATAGATATCATCTACTCTTTCATCATCAAAATATCTTTTGGCTTTAATTCTATCTAAATATTTAAGTGTTTAATTTGGTACGACATCTTTCATATAAAAGGATTCCATAAATTCTTTGGTAGTTGGTTAATTATACAAAGCTTCAATAGTTTTCTCAGTAGTGTATAATCTTAATTTTATTTTATTAGGGAAATTCCTTCTTTCAGGTCTATCAATTTTTATAGAATATATTATTTCTGGCATAGCTATTTTATTTACATAAATAAAATAAGCAGGTATTTTGGAACGTTATTTCCAAAAGTTGATTTCTAAACTATATTTATATTCTCTGTTTTATTTACGTTTCTTTCTTTAATGAATATGTTCTGATTTAACTTTATAAAGATCATTCTTTTATTATTCGAATATTTCAGGATCTCTCATACAATCCATTAATTTAATAAGTATTTAGAATGTTTCCTTAATGACATCATTACATACTACCTTTTTCTTTTCTTTTTCATCTAATAATAATCTTAATTAATCTATAAATTGAATAACTTTTGGATCCTATAAAATAACCTAAACTCTTTCCTTCATAAATGCTATATATTCTAAAGTCATTTCTAATACTGCCTAAATCACTTTAGGTTTAGATAGCATTTACAACCATTATCTTTCAACTAATTGTTATAGTATTTCTTCCAATATAAAATCAAAAGTTTCTATACTTGTATTTTAATCCAGTTAATATTAATAATTTATATCAATACCTAAATTCATTAATACTTCTTCACTTACTAATTAACAATAGAACTTTTTATTAGGTAAAATAGATAAGTCTACTACTTCATGAGGTGTTTTTTATTTTCTATTTATTTATAAAGCATAAATTAATTCTGGTAATGGAGTCTTCTATTAAAGATAAAATGTTAATAATTATCGACATCCTTATTTGAAATCTGTTGCTGCTCCTATTTATTTCTATTTCTATTTATGTTTATGTAATTAGTAAGTTGATATTTCAAGAAATGAATTCCTAAACTTTCCTAAAAATGTCCCATCATCTTTATCACTGTAATCATCATTCTCTAATGATTCAATATACATTTTTTTATTATTTCTATAAATATGCATCCCAATTTTAAGGTATCACCATAATAATCCTTCTAATTTTTTTGATTAATAATATGAATTAACAATTTAATGTTTAATATTAAGGGAATAAATCCACTCGTTACAATAGATTACCCAATCTAACCAACAATCCCTATTTAAAGTACAAAGAGAGTATTAACTTAGTCTCTCTTAAGAATTACGAAATTCACGTACAAATAAGAATTAAGCTTAATCTAAATAGGTAATCAATTATATTCATCTTAGATTGCACTATCAAATAAGAAAGATGATGCTAACAACTATTATTATCATACTACTATCTATAACGTTAAAGAAAATAAAGATATTTCAAAATTCTCTAAGTATTACTGAAATTATCAATCCATAGTAATCAACAATTAACTTTTGCCAAATACAATGAAATCTAAACCAAACTCTTAGTTTCAGATTTCAAAAAGAAAGTTGATGCCTTCCTTAAAAAAAATAATTAAAATTACAAAAATCATTTGATTAGTAATAAAATAACTTCTTCCATAAAGGAATTAAACTCTTTACAATAAATTAAAAATCAAGAATTATTGAACTAATCTTTATGTTCTAATAAATACACTATCACAACTGAAAGTATTTCTTATAATTTTATTATCTTAGAAAAATCTATGAAAACCATGGAAATATTTATTTTAGGCAAAAATAAACTTGTTACCAAATAAGTTATTTCAAGTGAACTCATACAACATAGATTATTGAAATAAATGGAAAGCTTTCTAAAAGATGATAAATTTAATTATGATTTGAAGTAGATTATTTCATCTAATTAGAATGACAACCATGATTGATTAATATTCTGAAATTGTCAATAAAATTAATGAAAAAGCCTTTACTATTAAAATTCCAGATAAGTATGTCATTTAAATGAGTGATTACAATGAATATTATTAAATTAAAGAAGATTCAACTGATAAAATTAATTAAAATAGATTAGAAATTATAGCTGATTAAATCATTTAAGAAATTTAATAATCTAAAAAAACTACTCCTAAAATTTTAAGCCATTAAACTTCTGAACTTTATGAACCAATTATTCAAGTTATCTAAACTGAACCAACTATTATTCAATAAGAACTTATTTAGTAAGAAACTACTGATGTACAATAGATAATACCAGAAATGAAGATTTCAAATAAGAAAATTCGATAAAGAAAAAAAACTTACCAGAACAAAAATGAAATAAATTAATCTCAACATTCCAGTGTTTCTGAAATGATGGATTCTTCTTTAAAAAACTAAGTGATAAAAGATAATGACGATATTAAAAAGAAAAAAAAAGAAAAATCTAAGATTATTGATTAAGCTAAAATAGAAGAATAAGAATAATAAGATCTGATACAAAAAGAAATTTAATTACAAAACAAAAATAAAATAATTAAAAAACTTAGAGAATTTGATCACTTATTCAAACCTATTACTTATTTAAGGAGTTAATCTGAAAATATTATTTTATAAACTCAAGAGCCAATAATTCTAACAAAACCAAAAGAAATAATTCTTAAAACTTCAAGTATCGGATCTATTAATGATAATATAAATTTAAAAGAAATTAATGAAATCATTAGAATCAAAAGAAAATAGTTATATGACTATCAATAAGAATAACTTCGATAAGAAAGAGAGTAATAACAAACCATTGAGAATTTCATTTAAAATAAGAACAATGGTTAATCTAAACCTTTAAACATAATTGTTAATGGTAAAAACATAAATGAATTAAAAGCGGGCGCTGAATTTTGGGACCCTAAAAGAAATTCTCCAAGGTCTTTCACAAAGTAACGATAAAATATCAATAATCTAAATACAACAGATTAACCTTTATAAGGGCAACAATAAGAAATAAATGATAACGAATAAAAAAACAATATGATAGAAGAATAAGAACAAAAACCTGAGTCTACTAAAATTTTGGAGGAAAATAATCCTTACATTAATACTATACAACAAACTATCTGTAACAGTATTAATAATCAATAAGTGATTAACGAAAAAATAATAAGCTTTGAATAAAATTTAAAATAGTAATAACATCAAGATATTTTTGATATTTTATTAGCTTCCGATTCAGTTTATGATGTAAAAATTGATGATTATAAAATTGGAAAACCTCAAAAAAATTAAATTCAAAATCTTACTTTCGAATTCAAGCAGGATTAAGATAAGATAGTTTTTATTCATTAGTAACATCAAAAATAAATTTAGGGTCTTATGGAGGAGAGAAATAAAATAAGTGATTTCTAAACTTAGTTACCTAAACAAATTATTATCTGCTTAAATCAATTCAGAAGATGAAAATATCAAAGACATTATAAAAATTTTTGATCCAAAAGACAACCTAGAGAATAACAATTTAGAAAACAAAAATTCATAAATCTGAAAACTTGTTTCCATATAATACACTATAATATTTACTATTTTAATTATATTTAAGAGATTATTGATTCCACAAAAACATGGAACGTCTTAATGATATCTACTGATCTATTTAAAATTTATGGAATATTTTATTATTCAAATGCCTTAAAAATAATAAACTCAATCACTGTTACAAAGTTTGAATTTCTTCTTGCCAACACACTATCCGCAGTTTGGACAATAATGAACTTTATCTTTACAGCTCTTCAATACAAAGGGCAAAAAGACAAGAGGCAAAAAGAATATAAATATGAAAAATGCAACAATCCAAGTTTGTGGTCCAGCTCTATGCTGCATTAAAGTAGTTCCAGGCTTCTTACAATATTTACATTAAATTTAGATAGGAATAATTGATCCTTGAGCATCATATGGTAGATTAGTAGTATTAGTATCAGTATTGTACAAAGGAGTGACAAGAAAACCAGTTGGAATTGGAATACCTGATTATTTACAGAATAAATTACCACTTTATATAAAATGATTTTAGGTTGGAATTCCTACAAATATTTTATCTGTATTTTCTTCGTATCTCACATCTGCTAAGTTTGGATACGTTACTTTCTGGATTTCAGATTCATTTAGTTAAGTATGAGCCAAATGAGACATTATAAATAATGATTTAGATTTTCAATATAATATTCCACATATTTATATACATATTTTGTACATTAATGAACAGAATTATAAAATTTAAATATTTTCTGTTTTTCTGGATTTAATAATCCAATATAACATTTTTTAACAATTATTATAGAACTATTTATTAATTGCTTTTTTTCTATATTTTTATTTTTTCATTACATATTAAATGTTGCCTGTTTGTAATATTATCGAATAAAAAAAGGTGATGAGAAGTATTTTAAAGATTATTTGATTTGCAATGTTACTGATGAATCAGAAAATTACACATGCTTTGGATGTTAACATTATTCATATAAAGAAGGAATAAATTTATTTAATTCGATTTTTGGTAAGATGATCTAATAATAGGTTGTGCATACACTTTAAATAGTTGTGGTCAGTTTTTCTTAACTAGTGGGTTTAGGGGCAGAAATGCAAAAAACCTCTATATTAATGGGTTTATTACATTATAATGAATATGAGGCGACTAATATTACTTAGTATTAATTTAGAATATTTAGTTATATATCTATATCCTCAAGTTCTCTATATTTAATTTTTCTATGTCTATTTTGTGGAAATGAAATTGGCCTTGTTGATGATTAGGCTATATAATTATTTTTTCCTTTTATAGTAATTTTAACTGATATTGGGAATTATCTAAATAGAACTATTTATGACTAAGTTTTTGTTTTAATAACAATAAGTTTAGAATATATTTGGATCATTTTATTAACCTTGAAATATGATAGATCTAGGAATCATGAAATAGAATCAAAGAAAAAAGAGATTACTATAGATGAACACCTGATTAATTATAAATTAAAAACTTAATCTTCTACAAGTTTACTTCAATAACTAAACAATAAAGAAAATTCGAAATATTCGCTATTATGGATTGTATTATCTTAATTATTATTACAATCAACACTTTTTTTTTTAAGGGGAGGAAACCCTATTTAATTCATAAAATTCAAATATAGTGGTCTATTATATTGGATAATAACAGGAGTCATTTATACATTTGGTTTTTTAATTTCATATTATCTTTACATAAGATAAGCAAAAGATTATAAGAAACATATGAATGATGATCCCAATTTTTATGAGATTCGACCTTTAAATTAAAGTCTATTATTGATTTTGATTGGTTTGGTCTCATTTTTTTTTAGTGGAATTAGTGGAGTAGGAGCTGGATTAATTTTAATTCCTAGTTGTATTTTAATTAAACGATTTCGAATGGGCATCTTAAAGGCTATCAGAACTATGGTTGTTGTTTAATTTCTAATTGATATTTGTGTAATACCATAAACAATTTAAAGTAATCTGATTTTAAGTTAAATTTAGATTATAATTCTTTGGAAATAGATGATCAACTATTTTATATGCTAATCGGAATCATATCTTTTATTCTAACTATTCTGTTTCACAAATTTCTTATTAAAGAATCATACCAACTTAATTTGATTCTTATTATTATTGGATTATTTGCTTTTGATTTTATTATTGGAATTTATTAAGCATACACATTTGAGAGTCCAATTAAAAGAAATCCATATTTTTCAATTTCTATTGATGATTGTTCTATAAATTGTAAATTTAAATTAAAAAAATGAATAATGATTCTTTAATAAAAATAACTATAAATCAAACTGCTTAGGGTTTGAAAAAATTCAAGAGGAGTAACAAAAATATTAATTTCATAAGACTTTCCTAACTTAACATATTGGCCATAGTCCATTTATTGGATGCTAATTAATTAGCTTATTTGATAAATGGGATATTGGGTTAAAATGGTTATGGATTGATTTCACTTTATTAATTAAGCATATAATCTATATTGTTATTGAGAATAAATTGTTTTTTCCTCTCTTCTTTAAGAGTTTCCTTGTTTTGTAAATATTATTAGACACATTTCACCATGGCAGGTTATAATTATTATTCATAAATATCCTTTTCTTCTTAATTGGAAAATATATCTAGTATTCCAAATACATTAAACTTGAGTTCATGTTTGTAATAACCATAACTAAATAGATAAATAAAGATAATTTACTGAAGAGTGCATTCGTTATTATTAGTTTGAATAATATGTAAATATTTTCTGAGAGAGCAATATTGATTTGCATCAGTGAAAACCTCTTGTTCAACCATAATTTCAGCATCACTAATAAAATAAACAAATTATTCGCATTTGCAATTAACAAATTCTGGACCAAATAATTTTAATTTATCTCGGTTAGGTTATTTGTAAGTAATAACTCTTTTGCTAGCACAACATTAATCAATCAACTCTTTAATATCATAATTTTCTTCATGGAGAAAGAAACTTGGTGGAGCAGGTTCATATTATGTGTATTTGACTTAAATTTCTTTCATTACATTAGTTTTGAATTAAGCAAAAAAGTTTTATTCATCACTGCTAAGAAACAATTTGAAAAATTCTTTGGCTGTTAATGGTAAATCTAAAGAGGACAAATTAATAACTTTAGGGTTATTGCAAAATCTGCTTTAATCCTTTAAATAACTCTACTTTCTAAATTATAAAACATTTGAATATTCTTTCATTTATTTTTCATAAGTTTCCTTTTACTTCATTAACATATCATTCCATTATTACTCTCCTCTTATTTAATGATGAACTTATTAATCTTTAGTAAATGATATTATAATTACTTTTATTATATTATTATACAGCTTCTTTTAAGTTTTCATTTGCTTTGCAATTCAAATTGTTTATTCTAAAATAAATGAGTTCGCTTAAATCAACGATAAAATTATTAAAGCATCTATCTCTAACAATATTGGATTGTACCATTCCTGATAAAGTTAGACTCATTTATTGCATTAAATCTATGGAACTATTTTTATTTTAATATTACAATCATGATAATGAGATTAATTTGAGGTTGATTGCATTTCCAAAACTAACTACATATATTTTGTATATTTAGATTTTAAACTATCATTTGATTATTCTGCAAATTTAATAAGCTAATTTAAGATATCTAAAATTTCTTAATGAATTTCAACATGAAAATTAATTGACTTTTACAATTCTAATAAAAGTTACTCATGCTAAAGAGTTTAATCATTTTAAATCATGTTAACCACACCATTACTATTTCTTTGAATTATTACAGCCATTTTCCTTAATTATTCGCCATTGTATTTTGTAGCTTCAAAATACTGCACTCTTAATTTTGCATATTTTAAATAAAATTAATAGAGGAAACCTCTTTCTTTGTTATGTGATTTAAAAAGATCTAATAATAAATTATTCTTATCCTCTAATTTCTATATTGCAGCTAATAATTAAGGATAATCTAATTAATATTCTTGACATGTTAAATACAATAATTAATATTCAACAAAGTCTCTTTGCCATTCCTTTTTTAGACTATTAAATATTATCTATAAATTACTATTATTAATAATGAAAGAAACACTGTTTTACACTATTTAAGCGATTTAAATCTAATTTACAGATTTCTAAACAAACACTTCTTTCTTATTACGTAATAGTATCATAACTCTTTTTTTGAGATATGATTGAATCAGTAAAATATAATCCTTTTTCTAATCTATCTATTATCCATTTGTTAATTTATGTAAATATATCTATGATTGGTTAATAAGTTTAAGTTATCTTCATTTTATCAGTATGTCTCTAAAATTCAGCACTGAGATCATCAAATTCTTTAGTGGAATGCAGTTATCTTCTAATAAGTTCCTTAAAAGTATGATTTAACGTTCCTGCAAATTGCTCTGTTGGGATTACTTACATTTTAATATATATTAAAAAGCAAAAAAAATTAAGGCCAATTCTCCTGTTTATATTTGAAAAATACAAATCAAGGAAAAAAATAATAATCTATATATTCTAATGAATTTGCAAGCACAAAGTGAATTGGAATTGAAATTTTCAGCTTTTGAAAAATTAGGAGAAAACCCAACAGAAGTTGATATTAAATATGTGAGTTATTTACTTAAAATTCCATTATCAACTATTCGTCTGTGGTTATTAGAAAGAGCTGGAGTAGATTTTTAAATTGATATCACCCCAACTGAAGATAAAGAATGTTAAATTATTGGCTGCATTATGAAAAAGAAAAAACTAATAAATTAATAAAACTTAGTGAAAGAAGAGGATGCTTTATAAAAATAAACAAAGAATCTGTCCAAGTAACCATCAACTTAATCAAAAGACAATCAGATCATAAAAAAAAAGAAAAATGTTGACAAAACAAAATTAAGTCAGACAAACAAAAAAGCTAATAAGGTTTTATAAAAATAAAGACATTTAGCTATTAAATAAGCTTAGTATTCTTAACATGAAGATAATAAAACTCAAGAGAAAAATACATAAGAAAATTAAAATTCAAATCAACCATAATCTGTATAAACTTAAAAAATTGTACAACAAAATGATTTAGTTGAAGTTTAAAATAAAATAAATAATAATAAAGATAAAAATAATTAGGAATAATAAAATTAATTTCCTAAGCAACCAATTTCAAAAGAAAAAGAAAAGAAATAAAATTAACAACCAAATTAAAAAAAAACTCTTATTCGTTTGGATAAAGAATAAAACTAAAAAGAAATCAATCCTATGAGTTTAGTAGAGTAAACTAAATCATAAAATAAAATATAATAAAGTTGCTTGATTGTTATTGATGATGAAATCAGTTAGAAGAATTAAATATAATCAAATTCTAATAAGGAAAAGATTTCAAGTTCCATATAGAATTAAAAAAATTAAAATTTTAATGAAAAATAATAAACCTTATCTGATTTAACTCATATGAAAAAAAAAAAAATTAAAAATCCTGTATAATAAGCATTATAAGAAGTCTAGTTGGGATAAAATAAGTCTGAAAATGGAATTATAAAATAATCTTCATAGAAATAGAATATTATTTAAACTAACAATTAAAAATAACAACTTTAAAATCATTAACAAATACAATTTAAGTAGAATATTTAGTAAGTCTAAATATAATAAAAATAAGATTATCCTCTCCAATAAACAAATTAATAATAATAATAATCTTAATAAAATTCATCAATAGTCAGCTAAAATATCAATTAAGGATAAATGATAAACTTTTCAGGATAATAATAAGAATAATAGAATAAATAAAATTCATAAATTGAAAAGAAATCTTCTAATAATTAAAATTAGAATTAACCATCTTAAAAGAAGGATTAAAATTTATCTATGGAAACACCTAAATTACCTCAATAACAAAGTATCTAGTAGCCCAATTATTTGGCTTTAGTTTGTTCTTCTTAATCAATTTAAGCACAAACTAGTTCTACTAATAAGGTAAATTAATTTTCACCAAATTAAACTTCTTCATAAAAATAGTTGAATTAAGAACCTTCTTTATAAAAATAAAATTCAATTGGCTCTGAAGTTAGTGTTTTCTAAAATTAATTAAGTCCAACTATTAAGGGATCTGTTTCAGAAAATAATACAGATAAGAAATTTCAATTGTCTAATTAATTTGAAATGATTTAATAGTTCAATAAAAATTCTTAAGCATTAGGATAAGCAATATAATTGATAACAGCAGTAAGTAATTATCAGGTTGCTTTGATGGAAAAACTTGATATGATTTATGAATGTATTAATAAAAAGTGATAAGATTATTTTTGATATATATTTATAAAATGAAAATAACTGAGCCAAAGGGTTTAGAAGATGGAAGAGTATGATTACTTCTACAACTAGGTTACGAGTCTCTATTTTTTAAAATTTGAGTTTATGGAACAAGTATGTTTTATATTCAATCTTCTGGGGATAATATTGGCTGCAATCTAATATGAATTGGAATTTGAAGAATATGATTCTGATGATCCATTTAGAGATGTATAGAAATTATATAAGTTAGATATCATAATGGCTTTTATGGATGATAGCTGGTTCGACCATACTTTTGATATATTTTACATGTTATCGTTATTAGGCAAAAATCTAATGGTTAAAATCAAGGGGTGTTATTGGACCAAGAGATAAATTTTATGAGATAAATGAAAACTTCTACATGATAATTGAGAATATGGTATATTGTCTAATACCTTTATCATTCACAGAGACAATTAGGATTTCCTTTTATAATGTTGCTTAAGGAGCAGAAGCTTATTATCATATAAATGAAATGTTAACACTTTTAATGGTCATCAGAGTAGTCTATCTCTATAGGACTGTCTTAACATTGACATTTTGGTCAAGTAATAGAACACTAAGAGTTTGTGATCTTTATTCTTGCGAGCATAATTATTTATTTGTTATAAAATCGCTTTTAAAAACATCTCCTTACTTAACCTAGTTTTTAACGTTATTATCATTAATTTTTGTGTTTGGCTATTAGTTAAGAATTTGTGAAAGACCATTAACAAGGGTGAATGAAATAATAGATAATTTAGGAGTATACTATAATAGTGTTTGGTGTATCATAATAACAATAACATTTGTTGGTTATGGAGATTATTATCCTAGAACTGATTTAGGCAGATTTGTAGTTATTATAGTGTGTGTGGTTGGAATATTTTTATTGTCTGTTATGATTGTTACTTTTATTGAATCTTTAAAAGCTACTCCAATTGAAAATTAGACAATGTCTCTTTTAGAAAGGATCCGTCTAAGACAAATGGTCAAAAATGAAGCTGCTTAAGTGATTAAATTAAGTATGTAACAAGCCTATAGATGGAGGTAAATTAAAAAATATGATTAGAAATGGTACATTGACAGAAAAAAAATAGCATTAAATAGAAATAGAATTAAGATAAGCTTTTCATAATTTTAGATTTGCTTTATAACAATAAAGCAAATTTGGGATGGATAATTAAAGTGAAAATATAATAAATCATATTGGATTTTTGGGATTGGATCTCAAGTAATTAAGAAATGAATAAAATTGGGATGTGAGATTATTAATGGAAAAATTAGAGAAGTAAGAACAAATTTCAAAATAATTAATGGAAAAGATGAATTAAATAATATCAGAAAAGCAGTGACATTGTTTTTAGGTTCTAGAACTCAATTTAAGGAAGAGATTAAGGTTAATGAAATACTAAAATTGAGTTTAGAACTGAATGAAATATTATAATAATATAAAAATATAATAAAATGAAAGGAAGAACAGGGGGTTTGACAGCTAAAATGAATAATGTATAATTAATGAGTATAATTTTCATTAGTAAAATCAAAACAGAAGATAATAAGAGAATGATCAATTGGTAAGGAAAGCTGATTAAAATAAAATATCACTAGCTGAAATTTTTATGGCTAATTCTTAATAATTAGGAGGATTAGAAGATGGGAAAGTATAGAATGAGAATATATTGATAGGTAACAAAAATGTATTTTCATAAATTTTTATTTATGGAGTAAGTTTGTTTTGCATTTAATTTAATGGGATTAGGAATAAGTGTAATATAATATGATTTAGAATTTGATGAAGTGTCAGATGATGATAATATGAAAGATGTAATATTAGAATATATATATAATAATAGATTTCATTATGGTTATTATGGTTAGTATTTGTTTCATCATGTATATTGGTTTTTTTAACAGTTTATCGTTATTAAGCACATATTGAATGGATGAAATCTAGAAAATCGATGGCTCCAGGAGATTAAATTTGGCATACAGATGATTGGTTACCAATGTTAATAGAATTAGCTGTTTATTGTATAATACCTCTTCCATTTACAAAAGGAATTAGAGTTAACTTTTATAATTCGATTTAAGGAATGGAAGCTTATTATCATGTAAATGAGATCTTAGCATTGATAATGATTTGCAGAGTTATTTATTTGTATAGAACTCTATTGACTTTAACATTCTGGTATAATAATAGAACTTAAAGAGTTTGTAATTTATATGCTTGTGAATCAAATTATATGTTTGTAGCAAAATCTCTATTAAGAACAATGCCATATACTGCCTTATTTATAGCTTTAATATCTTTAATTTGTATATTTGGGTATGCGGTAAGGATTTGTGAAAAACCGCTGTCAAGAAATGATTCTACAAGTAATAATTTAGGATTATATGAAAATGCATTATGGAATATTATTATTACTGTTACTACTGTTGGTTATGGTGATTTCTACACTAGAACAGATTTAGGCAGATTTGTAATCTTTATAGTTTGTGTACTTGGAATCTTTGTTGTTTCAGTTATGGTTGTTACATTAATTGAATCTCTTAAAGTTACTTCACTTGAAGGACATGCAATCACTGTTTTAGAGAGAGTTGCCTTAAGAGAAAAACTTAAACATGAGGCTGCTTTAGTTATCATTCTTACTGCCAAGGCTGCTCTTGGATATAAGTAATATCAATTCAAATATTATTTTAGAAATGGCACACTTACCAGAAAATAACATCATTAATTAATAGTTAGATTAAAATAAACTCTAATTAATTTCAAAATGACTCATAGATAACACAAAACTAAATAAGATGAAAATAGTTTGAATGAAGAAATCACTAATTAATTCAGTCTCTTAAAAAATGACTTTAAATAGTTAATTGAAAGATAATAAGTCTTGATTTCAACCAATAATTTGATCTATCAGAAACTAGGATTTGAAAATAACAAATCAATTGTCAATATATGACACTTTATACATATGAATTTAGCAATTTAATGTATAATAATTTTATTTGTACTTCATGATCAATGTATGTTTTTGCCAGCTTTTCTTTTAGCCAATCTTACTTCAAGACTCTTATTCTTTTTGATAGATGGATCATTCTTTATAGCAAATCTTCTATTTTTTGCAAATCTTTAATTACACTTTATTTTATAAGATTATTTACTCCTTTCAATGATTTATATCTTTAATTTGGAAGCTTCTTAATACCATTTCTATGATGTTTACGGGCATTATGATGACTTGTTGCATTCTTAGACTTGGCCATTGATTATTAATTATTTAAAATATTTATTTAGATTTTTCAATATTTTTAAATTCCTTAATTTTTTATACAAACATATTATTCCATCCATTAAGCATCTTTTTATAATGTTTCTTTATGCATAATACTTCTCTCCAATTCCTTATATAAACTCCAATTTCTTTATTATTAGAAATCCTAAACTTCATTCTTTATTTTTATATGCTTTATATGCTTTTTGTTCTCATTTTTTAATTTCTATTTTTGTTCCTCTTTAAATTGTTATTTATTTTCTAAAAACTTTTTGCTTTATTCTATCTTTTCACTCTAATACTATTACTCATAGAACTCTCTAATTTTCTTACTCTAAAAATTAACATAAATTTATAACTTATCTTTCATCTTGCCATTCTAATTGTTTTTTTTTGGATTCTAATTTTTTTATCTCTTTCTAAACTATCTCTAATTCTTCTACTAACTATTTTTCAATATTTGGATCTTTCTTTTGTATTTTTTCTACTATTTAATTTAAATTTGGTAAGTCTTAAATAATCTTTTTTTTCTTAATTGCATTATTTTAACAAATAGCAATTACTGGAGATTTAGATTAAGAAGATTTTTATCGAACATTTTTGATATTAGATATAATTTAATTGTTTCTTTAACTATTTAACAGTTCTTAAGGTTATGTTTAGAAATCTTTAACACTCACCTAATTTTAAAAACTCATGTATTCATTCATAAAATTATTAACTTACTTTTGTTTATTTGAACTTTATAATGGTGATTTAGATTTTTAATAGTATTTTTTAGATGATGATGAATAATTAGGTAACTTTGGACTTTTAGCAATTTTCTGATGATCTGATACTCCTTTCTAATATGAACTAAAATCTTTAAATCTGCTTAACATTAAAAAGGGAATCCCTTAATCTTTAGGAGTAGATGAATTTTATTAGACCTTTTCATTTTATATTTATGTTTCTTCTTCAAACTTCCCTTCTGAGTCATCGTCTAAAAGATTATTGCTTACTTTTGATAACATATATGACTTTAATTCGTCCTAACTCTTTTCTTGAGGAGTTTTCAATTATTATTCATACTTTTAGTTGAGTTTTATTATCTTATAGAATGAAATATAATAATTTATTGAAAAAGTTAAAATTCTTTCAAGTTTATCTGCAATTGTATTAATTTAATACTTTGAATCTTCTGTATAATACTTTTAAGCCTCCTTAATATTAGAAATATTGATCTTCTTTTTTATCAAGTTCTATTAAAGATTACATAAAATTTAGTTAATGGATTCATAATTTTTGCAGAATTAACTTTAACTAACTACCCAATCTCGCTATTATAGAAATAAATAGTCAGTTGTAATAGATTTATCGACTCCAGCAACAAAGCATAATAAACCACAGACACAATTATAAAGTTGTTAGGTTGGTTTAAGTATATAAAATAAATCCTAAAACATCAAACTTTTGATTGTACTTAAATATCTTTGATTTAGATTATTTAAAGAGTTTTAAGAATATTTGAATGAATTTGTTCAGTTTCTTCAATTAATTTCAAATATGATGGAACTTTCACAGAATCAATTCGAATCGATAATTTTGATTATTCAACGACTCCTTTCATAATAAAAATTATTAAAACATATATTTAATTATTTAATAATCTTACAACAATAAAAAAGTTAAATAATAAATGATTAAAGTAAATAAATTCAAATAAAATGTAGCAAATCTATTTTTTAGTTACATAATATTAGATTAATTATTAAATTACCAATAGTTTTTAAAATGAATTTCTAGGTTCAAAATTGTATCATCTGAAGAAATAATGTAATTTTTTAATTTAAAAAAAAACTAATTTGAAGCATCATAATATGATATATGAAAATATACTTTAAATCAAAATTTGATTTTAATTTCAAAAATGATAGAAAGGAACTAAAATTAAATAAGATTTATTAGTGTATTAATTTATTAAATGTTTAAGGGATTGAAAGCAATATTGATAGTAAATAGTAGAGGAATATAAATTGAATATATTAGAATTGTAATATTATTATTAAATTAAAAAATGAAAGGTGAAGTTACTTAACCTAAAACTTAAACACAAGGATCGCCATAAAAGAATGATAAACCCTTGAAATAAGTAAAATAATAAAGTCCATTGAAACATTAAGCCGAACCAGAAGTAGTATGGCCATTTTTTGCACCTTAACCGGCACTAATTAATTAAATGAGATTTTGGGATAGGAAAAATTGCAAGAATGTTTATCCAAACAAAGAAGATTTAAGATTTTAGGCCATTATGTTAAGAGTAGGAAAAAAGAAAAAGTCAACAAAGGGTTATTTTTTCAAATTAAGTAAAGATGGGACTCTCAGTTATTATAAAAAGGTTTAAGATTTAAATATAAATAAGGAATCTGATAAAGTAGCAAAGGGATATTTATAAATAACAATGGATTATGTTGCTCATCTGTTAGAACAAAAAAGTAAAAAAGATTCTTTACTTATTGTTTAAATTGAAAAATATTAAGGACTCTCGATATCAATATTCGATGGTAAAACTTAATTGACACTTGAATTTTTTAATAATTTAAAAGATTATTGCATAGTATCAGGAATGGATAAACTATATACTTAGATGGAACTATTAGGGAAAGGTTCATTTGCATCAGTAATTCATAAATTAGATAATTGAATAGGTTTATAAGGTAAAGAATATATAGAATGAGTAAATGTTTGCAGCCAAAACATATTTCAAAGAAACATTTGAATAATCATAACATAAATCTAAATTTGTGGTACCATTTGTTCCTTATTAAAGCTGAGCTTATGATAAAAAACGAAATCATGGTTTTACGTAAAGTTATACATCCTGGAATAATAAGACTATATGATGTAATTTAGGAGAAAGAGAAATTAATATTGATAATGGAATTAGTTTCAGATGGGGATTTATATAGTTTGATAAAAGAGAAGAAGAGAATTCCAGAAAAAGAAGCTGCTATTATGTTAAAAGGGGTATGTGAAGCATTAAATGAAATGCATATGTATTTTAATATAATTATTAATTAGAAATGAATTTGTACATAGAGATCTAAAATTAGAAAATATTATGATGAAATCAAGAGATTAATATATAATTAAATTAGTTGATTTTGGATTTGCAGAACCTATTAATCATAAAGAATTAGTATCTAAAGCAGGTACTCCTGGTTATATTCCACCTGAAATATTCAAATTATTTCCTTATACCGATAAAGGAGATGTATTTTCTGTTGGAGTTATATTTTATTCAGTATTATTTTATTTATTTATTATTATAGTTGATATCTGGAATCTCATGTTTTAAAGGAAAGAATTATTAGGCTGTTCTTGAAGATAATAGAAAATGTGAAATCAGTTTTATTAAATAAGTTTGGAATGATATTAGTAGTGAATGCAAACATTTACTTAAAAAAATGTTAGCTAGAAAATCAGCAGATAGATATACTTGTGCAGATGTACTTAAAAATGAATGGATTCTTATGCATACATCTAATGAATATGAATAATAAGCAGGTAATCTTATCTATCTAATTATTTAGATTCTGAACTCGAAAGAAGAAATTCTTATTAAACAATGAAAAAATCTCATTATAGCCATTATAATTCTGTTGATGGATCATAACCTGATTTTAATAATGATTTCTCTTATCATACCAATGATTTAAAATCTTTTTATCATCGAAATAGTTAAAAGACTGTTAAAACTTAAAGATCTATTTAATCAATTAAATCTAATAGTAATTTTATATATTTACTCTTATTAGATGATAAAATGAAGTAATCTATGAGAAATAAATCTGCTAATAGTAAATAATAATAGTTTACCAATTTTAAGAGTCAAACTCTCAAACATAGAAATAAAAGTGCTATTCATTCTAATTCTAATGAAGGAGGAGGTGATCATAAAAGTGTTAGATGGGTTGATAAGAAAAATAAAAGTGATGAACCATCTTTTGGTGATAAAAAAGAAAGTATATATTAAATCATTAATTTAGATGATTCTGTTAAGACATCAATTTCTCTTAAAATTTTTGAAGATTTTGAAGCCATTAATTAATCAAATGTAGCGTTTTTGAAAATGTCTCCAATACTCTTTAATTTATAGAAGAAACCTGATTGTGATGCAAAAATTAATGAAGCTATTAAAAAGAAAAAATAATAGGCAACGCATTTTATGAAAATAAAATGATAAAAATAAATATAATCATTATTGTAATATTTGGATTCTATTTTTTCATTAATTTTATGTATGATTAAATAAATCTAACTTATATTTAGTAGATAAAGAACTAATTATTCAATAATATCAGAATTTAAATGAATTTTATTTACAGCACTCTGTATGAATGTGATATTAAATATTATGAATAATAATCATTTTTATCGACCCACCTTAACAGGAAACAAAAATCGTCATAAGGTTAATGCAGACAATTTAGGACATATTTTAAAAGTATAATCAAACAAAAAGTAAAATTCATCACACTTTCCTGGTATAAGCAAAATACAAAATTCAATATTTCTTTTAGAATCTTAGATCTTTGAGTTGTCCCAAAATTTTGATCATAATTCAGTTGTTGATGTGAGACAATTTAAAGAGCAATCAGATTCAAGATAAAGAGTTAAGACTGAAATAGTAAGACCCAAATATCAATTACAACTTTAAAGTTAGAAAGTAGATTATCCTACTGCATATTTTCCTAAATTAAAAGATAGAGCTCAATCATACTAAAAAAAAAAATACGAAAAAGTAATTTCATAATTGAATAGATAGCCCCCGAGGTTGATTTAAGTGAATCCCCTGTGAGTATTAGAGATTTGTAGAAATCACTTGATTATAGTAGAAGCATTTCAAATAAACAAAAAAGAAATCTGACTCCACTCTAACAAAGAACAATTGAAGTATCTAAAATAATTAGTTAATCTGATCATTTAAATTAAGAGGAAATTATGCAATTTTCATTTGGATTGTAGTACAATAGAATTAATATTGAAAAATAAAAGTCTAAATTTCCTAAAGACATTTTTCTTGGAAATGTTAGAAAGGTCAAAAGAATTTTTTAGTAACAATGACTTAATATTATTCATTATATGGGAATTATGTTTTTAACTTATAATGTATCTGCATTTATTTGAATAAATTCTATTTTTCCATCTTCTGAATTGAAGAGGTATATTTATTATTTAAATATCTAAATTATATAATTTAGTTACAATTGGTTAGGTACAATTTACATTTTATATTCTTTATATAACATTACAATTTTTCTGAATGGTTTTCAAAAATAGATTTATTAATTAAGCATTCCCATCATTTCCAAATTAATTGTAACCTCCCATTATAAAAATCTCTTAGTTTGATATTGGAAAAGAATATCCAAGTATTTAGGGTACATAAGACTAATAAAATATACATTAAGACATACAAAAGAATTGATCAACTCTATAGGATCTTGAAATCGCATTTCAGCTGTGTTAAATATTTCAATTAATGAATTTCCTGAATATTAATTCATCATTCCACCTGTAATGCATATTTTTTCATCTATGGAACAACACTATCCTTTAATTCGAGGATATTTCATCGATTCAATTTGCTCCCAATAATCTTCATTTATAAAATATCTAATTTAAAATTGTTAAAAGCATACCTGAATCCTTTTTTACTTCCAATCTAAATTTCTTCAACTACTGTATAACCACCCCAATAATAGATAAACTAGCCTTATTTTATAGCCTATCCACCATAAGTAATTATTGGTAATTCTGACATTCTTTCTATTTTATTTTCTTGTTTATTGTATTTAGTTACTATTTGACTCATCTTCAATTATTTGGTACTAATATCTTAATACAATTATCCTATAAAATATAAGCTCTAAGTAGTATTTATTAGATTGCAATAATTAACTTTATAGTTATTATCATTTAATATTAGCTCCTACTATTTTATATTATCTATGTAGTCTATATGAGAATGATATAGAATGTTGTTACGGAAACTATATATACTATTTTATTATTCTTAAAATTTTAAATGTCCTTTTTTGCTTTTCAATGTTAAGAGATTTTTCTTTTATTATTTAAAACCACTAAAGCTGCTTGGAACTATTTTGAATTGATCTTTTGATTAAAATAGTTGATACCTTTAAACTTAAATGAAATTAATTTATACAAAGAATCCTTGATATCATATAAGGATTAGTTTGTAATTTAGAGGTTTATGTCTTTAGGTAATAGTTATCTTAATTAATTTAAATCTTCTTTAATCTATTCATGCCTTTCAAAAACTTCATTATATTATGTCTCATCATAATTTGGAATATCTTTTCTCAACTAGACAATTTGTTACTTTATTGGTGCTAAATGAATTTATACTAATTCATTAGCCACAAAATTGTATTGGCTTTTTAAATTAGCGAAATATTTATCTACTATTTATGTGATAACTTTTCTAACTGATTTTATTTTCTATAAAGTTGTTTAGTAAAGTGTTTGATCACATATTTACATAGTAGTAATAAAAGTCATTAGATTTTCTAACTCTTTTTCTATTTCAGCTAATTTTTAACATTTATGTGGAGTAAATATTATCTTTATTTCTTCTGTTTATCCCTTTTATCTTTCTAAATGATCATTGTCCAAATCATCTAAAACTTATTTCATATCATAATATGATTGATCTTAATCCTAATTAGACAAGGCAGACATAATTCTATCCAAAATTTTCTGAGATTTTTAACTAGTTTCAAAAAAACTTGAATTGTTATGATTACTCATTTTAATTATATTTAATGAATTTTAATTATACTTCAAAATACCTTTTAGGAAAATATATATGAATTTTGGAGATTTTATTTTCCTGCCTTTTGAAACTGTTCTCAATTATTTTATTACCTTATCAATTACCTTATCAAACATCAAATCTTAGTAAGCTAATCTAAAATTTAAAAAATAAATGGGGGGATTCCATAAATAACATCTAAAAATAATAAGCTTATATTAATATGAGTAACTTGCTTAAATTGGATTTATGAGCATTATTGGATCTAGTCCTAGTTAATAGGTTTTCAAAAATTAAATTCTATGTTCTTGATCCATTTACTGAATAAATAGAATTTCATAAAATATTGAACACTTTCGTAGAGTCATTATATTTTGAAAAAATGACACATGAAGGAAGGTAAGAAAATAAAACTAGATGTAGAAATCAATGAAGTCACATAACTATTTATCTGATAGAAAAACTTAAATAAATAGATGAATTGAAAAAACGAAAAGATAATATATATCAATATAAAAAAAGAAACACATAATAATTTTCTAAAAATAAGTTTTGAGGACATAAACCAACTTTATTCCATAATTTTTTACTTTTGTATTTTATTTTTATGTTTTATAATTCTACATAACATTAGTTTACTTGAATTCTTTACTATTTTTATTTCCGTATTCCATATAAGGAAACTAAATATAATTTAGAAAGATCATAATATAAGTTTGAAAATGATAATAATAAGCAATAAATTTATCAATGGAATTTTAAACTGGCTGATAATTATAAACTAATTTGTAAATCCAATTCAAAAAAAATTAGGTATATTATGTTTTTCAAGTCATTTGTTTGCTTATCATCTAAAAGAAGCATTTAAAATGAATTGAATAAGAGTATAATTTAAATGTAAAGTAAAAATAGTTTTAGATTTTATTTTTTCAATTATTTACTTATTTTGATTTATATTATAAATTCTAAATGAATTATAGATGCTTTAGGAATAGTCTTAATTTTTGGTTAGTTTCTGATTGATTAATAAAATATAATTTAAAATGATATATAGTGTTGATGGATATTTCTAGAATAAAAGCTTTTGAAAAAATGAATATATAAATAATGGTTGAAAATCTTTCAGTGCTGTTACAAATAAAAAAGCAGGTTATAAAATTTTTATTTAATTAATAGCTTGATTTAAGTTTAAGATGATTATTTTCAAAACAATAGAATTTTATCATTCATCAAATATTTATTAACAAAAATTTAAGATATTTTGTATTTGAAAATAAGTGTTAACCTTGAATTTTTAATTATGATATATTTATAAAGAATAATTATTATAATTTAAAATTTTCAAATATGCATTTCATAAAAATATTTAGTATTATATGCACACTAAAAGTTTTACTAGATATTCTTTATGTTATGATTCGCTTTTCTACAAATCTTTCATCAACTAATCACAACGTTAATTCCCATATAATTACTTTAATTAGTTTAAATTTTATTCTTTTTAATGATAAATCAACTTAATTTAATTGAGAAGAATTTCATTTTCACTCTCTCCTTTTTCAAAATCTAGTTTAATTTCATCTTTTTCAAATTTTAATAAAAATTCTTAAAATTTTTGATCTTACAATAATTCTTACTCATAATTATCAGTAATATCAATAATTAGTTCATTTTTGTTACAAGCTATATATTTTAATAATTAAGGAAAGGATCTTTCATTTTCTGTTTCATGTTATAAAAATTTCAAAAACTTCTGTATGACATGATTTATTTATTTTAATTAAGCTGAATTATTATTTCTAAATATCTTTTCTCTTAATCTAAATAGCATAGTTCCTATCTTTAAAACATTAGTTCCATATTCTTCAAATTCTTCTTCAGAATTTATATCGATGATAATTCTGAGTTAACTTTTCTAGATAATTCACAATGACTTTATCTGTATCTATTTACAAAATATTAGGAAAATGAGTGAGTACTTGCCGATAAAATTAATCATATTTTGGTAAATTAGAATTTAAATTCAGTTTCTTGATTTTTAATAATTCAACCTATGTACTAATATGAGGAATTTAACTCATTTATGCTAAGAGTTTTACAGTTGGTTTGACTACAATCATTCCAAAACTATACTAAACATTATAAACTGCACTAGTTCTAATAATTTTCATAAATCTAAGTAATTCAGGAATGACTATATTCTAATACAATAATAATTAAAGTAAAACTCTAAATATTAACTTTGTACATTTTTCTTATTTAGGTTTAATTATTTAACAAAATTTAGAGAACAATAAATAGAATTCTGCAACAATTTTTATAATCGATTGAGTATTTTTCTCTAAAAAGTTGAATTCCAATTCTTAACATTTAGCATGCAATTCTTTAATTATTTAGAAGTCCTTTGATGTATTGAAATAACTTAAAAAGTCTTATTCATTCGTGATTTTATGTTTTATACACATTAAATGGATTAATATTAGTGTTTAATCAGAACTTTATTCAATCTAAGTGTAAACTTCTTTTTTTACTTATTTCTCTTAATCATATTTGATTAACTTTCTTTCTAGTTCATTACAATACTTAATTTCAATATTCTAATTATCAACTTTTAAGAAACGGATTATCTCTGGAAAAATTGTGTTAGAACAATGCAAATTTATTAGAGATTTTCTTATTCTTTCTTTAGAATCATAATTATCTCTATTTAATATCATATTTATTAGCTTTTAGCCTTTTAATATTGGATCATCACCTAAAATTTCAACAGTTTTTTTATCAAAATAATTCTATGAATAAGATTTGTATAGATATTAAAGATCTCCTATATCTTCTAATATAGTTTATGTTAATTCTTATAGTTCAACCTTCTTTGATAATTCATATAACATTTGTCTTCTTGATTCATATTTGGCATTTTTTTTCAAAATCATTTTATTTATTATTATATACATAATGTAAAATTAAAAGAAGGAAAAATATACCAAAATTAATGAACATTATCTTTTTGTTTCTTTTAATCAACTAATAAAATGTTTGCATAGCTAAAGAAGTAGAAATCTATTTCAAAAACTAAGTTACTCTACAAATTATTAGAATAAACTGAATTGTATTAACTTACTAAAGAAATCATGGATAAAGATTTAAAGGAATGTTGGTAACTTTGTTAAACTACTAAAAATGATTTTTAAGAAATTCCAATCTCTAAAGTTCATAAGTTTCTATTCAAAATAGATGATATTCTAACTAATCCTTTTGATTTACTTATGAAGTAAAAAATTAAAAATTTACTAATTTAATTGTTTGCATAAGGAACATAAGTACCTAATATTTTTGGATGTATCTAATTTAAAGGAAATAAAGTAATATTATCATGCAGTCTCACAATTGAATAATAATTAAAAACTATGATCAAATCAGATTACAAAACTGAACATATGGATTGTTATTATAGAGAACTTTTAATGAATTCTGAAGAATTATTAATTCAAATAACTTTAAATTATTTATATGAAACAATTATGGAAGAAAAATTAATACTTAAACTAAAAAGTAATTAATAATTGGATTAAATTTATAAAATTACTAATTCACTCAATAAATAGTAGTTTTCTAAAAATGGTTAAAAAATAATTGAATTAATCTAAAATATTAAGAAAAGAGTTAATTCTTCATAAGATCAAATGATATTAGTGAAATCAATGGAAGAAAATAATCAAGTTTAAATAGATAATTAAAATTAACAAAATAATAAAATCTAATAAAATATTAAAAGCTAAATTAATAACTTAGTTTAGAAGAATAGTCAAATTTAACAGAACATCAAAATTAAACGAATTGATCAAAATTAATAGACTAGCGAAATTTAAAAGAATATTAAAAACTAGCAGAAAAAGTACAATTAGTAGATAATTCAAAATTAACAGTAAAACTAAAATTAATTAAATACTGAGGATACTTAAAACTTATAGGATACTTAAAATTAATAGAATACTTAAAATTAATAGAATACTTAAAACTAATAGTATAGCTAAAATTAATAAAATATTCAAAATTAACAGAATAGTTAAAATTAATAGAATTATTAAAATTTATAAAATGATCAATAAACAGATAATTAGGCAGGCGCATAAGAGAATGGGAAATATTATATTTTTAAAATATTGTTGTTATTATTGTTAAAATCAGAAATAGCTTTACCAGATATAATTAAACTTTTAAAAATAAGTTATGTTTGCAAATAATAAGATATGGAAGATAGAAAAGGCTTTATTAAAGTTTATATTACTTAATAATTAATATTTTAAATTAGTTTGATGGTAAAAATTAAGTAGGATGCTGAATTGTTAAAAATTAATTCATCTCTGTCTTACTATGATGAATCTAGCATAAGGGCAGTTAAATAAGCAATTAAATAATATTTTCCAGAATATGAGTCTATAAAATTCAATTAAGCAATAAAATCATCACTTGAACTATTATTAAAAAAATTTGATGAATATTAGGAGTAAATATGTGCTACAATGGAAGATAATAATGTTAAATCTGTTTTAAAAAGGATTTATAAAATTTGTGGAAAATATTTTTAAAAGATTTCTGCTGGAGTTATCACATTTTAAAATGCTCAACAAAAATTTTAAAAAAATAATATGTTAGAAATAGGATATTTATTATATTAAATACAAATTAAGATTGATTAAAAGAACAATAAATAGACAATGATAAAATATACTAAGGAAACCTTAATAGAATAAAATAATGATTAATAGATGAACTTTTCAAGGTCAATTTATGAAAAGTAATTAATATAATATGGAATAATAAATCCTATATTTTTTAAATTCATTCAACATTTAGCATAAAATTAGATTCCATTTCCAGATATGTTTTAATTTTTAAAAATGGGGTTTCATAGATTATTAATACATTATAGAATAGAATCTACAAGAAAATTAACTTTAAAGAAAAAGTTCATAGAATTTGTAAAATTGCATTATGATCTTGCAATGACTTAAGATAGATTTATAAATGTAGAATTGTTAAAAACAATAGATTAGGAGAAATATGTGAGAAAAGAGGGACTTGCTTGGCCTTATTTAATATATTAATAATGTAAACTTATTTATGAGAACAAAGAGAGATTCAAAAAGAAACTTTAATAATTAGCAAATAATAAGGATTTTCAAGAGATAATTCAACAATATGTTGGTTAATTCGAATCAAACAGTATAAAATCCAAATTATAGCAATATTTATTAGAATTGAATAATTATATAAAATAATTAAATAACTGAATAATGAAATATTATAAAGTTTTAAGAAATCAATATAGTAATTTAATAAAAATAGAAGAAGTCAAATATAAGACTAAGCAAAATGTATAATATAATTTACAATTGTTAAACTCATTCTTTTTGGTTGCTATCTTCTTCTTCAGCTTTTTTATACATTTTATCCATAGTCATTAAAACTTATTCATGATCTTAATAAGCATTTACATCAAGCACAATAGCTTATTTATCTCTAACCTTGATAGCATCCCAGTTTAAGCAAGCCTTAGCTTCATTAAGTGCCTCTTATTTATCACCTTATTGACTACTCTGATCTTTTTCAATCTAGAATTTTATTAATTTTCACATTCACTAAAAGAAGTAAAGGTTTATTTTTGAATGCTTCTAATGTCATTAAACGATGTAATAATTATCTAGATTACCCCATACTATCAAAGTGTTTTGATCTTTAAGCTTTTGTTCCTTTAATTACTCTAACAACAAAGATTGTAATTTTAAATGGGATGAACTAATAAAACACATGCCAAAGAGTCATAAACTAAATAAAAACTATTTTCAAATAATTTTACTTCTGGAGAAGCTGCCAAATCCCATAATGCATAAGTCGTTTATTCATATTTCATACATTCCATGTTATAGCCTTCTGTTGGTTTATAAGGAGGGTCTTTGTATTCTTATTCATTAAAATTCTTAAATACTGTTTTAAAGTAAGCCTTCATATAAGAATTTTGTTTTTCCAACATCAGATGTCCCAAGAAGTAATACATGAACGTATTTATTTCCATCTAAAAGTGCTCCCATTTTATTTAAATTACATTATTTCTAAATGATCAAATTTTAATATCAACAGAATCTTAATTATATAAATATAATTAATTGTTCTTCTAATATTATCGATTTTAATTAAACTTATATTTGCAACTCTATTAAAAATATACCAATATAATTTTTCTATTGTTCGGTGTCAAAATAACCAAGACTTTTCAAAAATTCTGATCTTTTATTGTTCTTAACTTTATTCTTAATTTATTTATAAATTTAAATTTTCATTTGGGTAGAAAATCTAAATAAGGTTGCTTAAGTTGATTTTTTTATCTATTAGTCTTCCTTAGGATAATTAAATAATATAAAATATATATATTGTATTTAATTCTCTTTTAAGTCTTTTTAACAATTTTCTTAAGATATAGAATTACATGTAGAAAATATAAATATTATTTAAGAGCTAACTTTTTCACATAATCATAGAAAAGAGAATTACTACCAAATCTTAACATATTGTTAAACTATTTTAGTGTAGTTATAAATTTTCTTATTTTTATAATCAATCCTACTAAAGAAATTAATTGCATCATTTCTGCAAAATGATACTTTATATCCTTTATTTTAATCAATCAATTTTCTATTTCAAATTCTTGTAATATTCTTACTCAAATTTGTAATGGTCTAAATTTTTGAAATAATTTATGAGTTTAATTGACTTTTATTAGACTCAATTTGTAAAATTCTTACAAATTAATCTAAAAGAAAAGTTTCAATTCTTTAAATTTGTAACTCAGAATTAGTAATTAGAATATAAATGAAAGTCTTTAAATAATATTATATGTAATTTAAATAATTTCAGTTCTAAGATTTCTACAAACCTCCTCTATTACGAACTTCCCCCCGTTTAATAAATTTATCTTCTCTATTTTAGATTTCTGAATCTTCATTTTTCTTAAAATTGTATATGTATTTATTACCTATTCATAATTCTTTCTTTAAGGATTAATATTTCTATCATTTCTATTATCCCTCATTCTTCCTCTAATTTTTAATGTTCCTTAATTCTAAGATTATTAGAATTACTCTCTATCTCTATTCCAATCATCTGATTTCCTAGGATTAGCTTATGACTCTTAAATATTTTGATATTTTCTAGTATTATCTTATCTTCTTTCATTTCTATCATTTCTATTAGATATGATATCTCTATTGTTTTGTCTTGTATCTTAATTATCTCTATTATTTCTTTAATCATCTTTGACACCTCCTCTCCAAAAATAAAGATTTCGAATGTACATCATTACATAATCAAAAAGTTCTATATGTTTATCATCATCAACTTCATTTGGTTCTTAAAATCCAGGCATTAATTTTTCATCTTCAGTTGGATTCATACTAATTTATATTATTTCAATTATACGTCAATTTAATTCTGATTGCTGGATTGAAAAATTGTAATTATTATTGCTAATCATTAGGATTATTTCTTTGTTGTAATTTACTTTCAAATTCTGAAATAGAATAAAGTCCTTTTATTCTTGATCTCATTATTTCAGCTACCAAGATTGTATTCGGAATGGCTGAACCACAACCTAAAAGTCGAACAGCTTATTAAATATTTTCTTTATCTCTCAGCCCTAATATAACTTTAACCAAATAAGAAGCTATTTAGTCTTAAGTTGATTTTCCTTTCACCATGATATCAAATCGTTCTTTAAACATAAATTTGGAAATAAATATTAATTAATTTAAATATATTTTTTGTTTAATATGCACATTTGTTTATAATTAATCAATTCAATAATAACCACCATGTACATTTGTTAAATGAGTATGACATTCGCTTGAATTAATGAATATTTTCATACATGGCTTATCACTATTCGGAAGATTCTTCCAACAAATATATTTTTTGCAACCAGAACATGCCACAGACATACATCCTGATATTTTTTATGCTAAAGATCTACAAACAGGACAAAATCTTATATCTTCCTTCTTCATTAATTCTGCCATAATTTTTTAATCACCTGTTTAATATTCCCAGCATGTCATTCCATAATGCATTTATACTTTACATTTTAAACAATAAGTAATTTTACAAATCTCACAAAATATTGTTTCTCCTTTTATCCTTAAAATATTTGAACATCCTGGATTAAAACAAAATATTAAAACTCCTCTCATATCATTCACATATTTATTTATTGATAATTCAACTAATTTTTCATATTTAGCCGAACCTAATATATTCTATATATCTTCTAATAAAATAGAACTAGAACATAAAGAACATCTAATAGGTAATGAATTTATATCTTTTATTGAATTTGAAAAATCATAATTTAAGCACTCAGTACAAAATTTATGATTACAATTTGTTAAAATGTAAGGTTATTTCATTTAATTTAAGCAATAACAACATGTGTTCTCTTAATTTAATGAATTATTTTCAATATTTTCATCTTTTGATTCTAAATATGCTTCTATTTATTTTATAGCTTCTTCAAGATTTTTCGCTTATCCTGATAATTTTAATTAATTAGTTTTCTTTAGAGGAATAACGTCTGTTAATTTAAATTTTTATTATAGAAATACTAATCCTTAATAATCATCTCCCAATAATTTTTTCAATTTTTGAGGAGTCAATCTAATTGTGAGAGTTGAATTAGATTCCAGAAATTGTTTCATAATATCTTATAACTCTTAAAATTGTTCATCCAAACAATAAACCTTTATGATTTTTTTGAATTAATCAAAACTTATAATAACACTTTTTTGAATTTCTAATTCTTAAAGAAATTGTTATCCTACATCACTAAATAAAATAGTATTTAATTCACCAAAATTAATTATATATCCATCTATAATATTTTATATAGTGTCTCTGACTTTAGAAAAAACTAAATAATTATCTGAAATCAAATGTAATTCGATTTCAGAACCTGGATTATCTATTTACTCTATCCTAAACAGATTATTAAATTTCTATTAAATTGATTTGATATTATTTCTCACAAATTTTATAAAATCTTATTTCACTTTATATTGATGTCTGTATTAAGCTTCACAATATAATTTAACTTATTATAATCCCAATTATATTAATATATTATTACAATTAGTTAAAGCAGAATTAACAAAATTTATAGATGGCACGCCTAATTTTAGAACTCTTTTATAATCTTTTCTCTAATTTTTTATACGATAGAGTTACTGTTATCTATATCCAATATGATGTTTTCGATTTTCTTCTATTAAAAGTTACTCTACTTTTGAAAATACATCAAATTTTGGTTCATATAATATTGATTTAGAAATATTAATGGATTTTATTTTTGAACTCAATCTAGATAAATCTAATTCTGTAATAAACTGAGTTAAATTCGAGATTTGTACCGAATCATTAATATGTTACATAATCATTTTTTTACCATCCAAAATTGTATCATTATATTACATATAAAATTCTTCTGCAGCTGCTTAATTATTGAAAGTTATTTCAGCATGACCTTTACAATGATATACAAACCAAGAGAGCTTAATTATATAAGGATGAAATTTTTTAGTTTACTCTTTTTTTATGTAAGTAGATGAAACTTTTATTATGCATCCTTAGAATTCTGTTTCATCAAGATCATTTATTATTTCTAAGGTTGCATCTTTGTTCCTCAAGTCAATTTAAGCAGTTTATTATGTTTTATATTGATTTAAAGTAATAGAATTGATTTAAGTGTAAGGTTCAATCAAACTTCTAATTTGGGCTTCATTAGTATCTAAACTAAGTTAAGAAATCTCTAAAATAGAGTTATTTGAATAATAACATTTTTCAATAGTACCTCCATTAGTTAGAATGAATCTGATATTTGAATTTTAATACTCATATTCTTTAATAGATTAACTAATTTAAAGTGTTAGTTTTGATATGATATTTAGTAACTCCTCTTCAACTTACTTACTATTATTAGAATAGATAACAAGATTATTTATATTGAATGGTTCAATAATGCATTAAAATTTTTATTCTAATTTAGATATTTCAGATTCTTCATCATTCCACAATAAATTCATAACTGCAGTTGATACATTTTGAATAATATGTTCTTACACTGAGATTTTCCTAAATTTATTATCTGCAACAGCTGAATATAGTACTTAATTTTCTTTAATTCCTAGCACATATTATGGGACATTATTCTTAAAGATTTTTTATAATGAATTTTTGTGCATTTTATATTCTCTTTAGATAGGGAATAATTATTCTAATTAATATTCATTATCAGTTTAAAAACCTTCTATACTACTGGATTATTTTTTTAAATTGAGTTATTAGAATCCATCTAATAAATCAAGATCAGGTATTTCATATAGAAAAGAATAGTATCTGAGTTTTGAAATAATTAATAATGCTTTGATTAAATTGATTGTATTATCATTACAAAACTTCTTAATGATGCTCGAAATTTTTTCATCATCAACTGAATTAAATAATAAAATCAATTACATAACTACATTATACCATGAATAATAATCTCCTTATTTTGACCAAAATTAACTAGCTTTGATGTTTAATTATTTTTATAAGTTTTATTTTTCAAATACTTATAGTAATTATCCAGACGTAAATAAAGCAGCAATCATTATTGCAAATTTTTATAAATATTTACTGTCTTCTTATTTACTTAGATTGCACATAAGTTTTTCAAAATTATTACTTTCAAAATCTACATTTTATGATTGTTAAGATTGCATAGGTAATTATAAATATTATTGTTCAGAAAAAGCATAATAAATCATAGTTCCTTCACTATTTGATCTTGAAATTTCTCTAACTTACAAATCAACTTAACTCAAAATTTAATATGAATATTCAACAGTATTATCCTCTTTTTTTTTTATTATTTCTCTCTAATTTGTATGAATTATTAATGTAATATTATATGAATCTAATTATTATGGTTCAATTAATAAATATACAGTGTTTGTGTTATTATGTTAATTAATGATTCTATCAAAAAGTTGATTAAATTCATTGTTAATTTTAACAATAACTTTAATTTAACTTTATTCAAATAGTATTCTTAGATATTCAATTTCATTAGAATCCACACAGTATATTAAAATGTCTTTTTCTTCGTTTATTTGTTACATTACAGTCTTATGAATCAATTATAACTTTTATTCTTAAGTATTGTAATCATTTAAAAATCTTCTTTATTCAATAGGTAAAATTGGAGTCTGAATTTCAATTATTTGAAAACCATCTGTTTTAATTTAATCTAATAATGCTGGATTAATAATAAGAATATCATATTTATAATCTACATTGTGAAGTTAAGTGCTATATTTATAATTTGATTTGGTATATTATTGAGGAATCAGTTTAACAATTTCAAGATTGCTAGAATCAACAACAATAGTTTTTTTATCAAAATTGTACCTATTAACATTATCATGAAAATTTTTCTATTGAGATGCGTATTTAAGTCTAACTTGTCCTTATCGAGTTAATTACATTAATTATATTCTTTAATAATGGATTTTGAAAAAATAGCTTAAGAAGTTTTTGAATACTAGAATTAAATTAGAATGGATCCTACAATAGGAATAGCACCTTTAGAGGCAAGACTGAAATATTTCAAAGGAAATATCTTACATATGCCTGGACAAAAACCCCTTTAATATAAAGAAGGAGCTCCTTGTGTTTAAGAATGTATTGATTTTTTAAAAGCATAACCACCTCTTCCTCCTTTGTAATATGAAAAAGGATTGGAATTGTCAGCTAGAGACCATGGAATTGACTTAGGTAATAAGAAATTAGATTAAAAATATATTAGGTAAAAGTGGCACCACTGGTCATACAGGAACTGATGGATCTAATACTTCTAAAAGAATTAGTAGATATGGATTATGGAAACCTGGACCCGCTGGACAAAATATTAGTTATGGTAAAATTACAGGTTAAGAAGGTAAATTATTATCTAATTTAATCAAGTCTTATTATAACTTATTGTTGATGATGGAAAACCTGATAGAGGACATAGACATAATGTTTTTGAAAAAGATTATAAATTAGTTGGAGTATATGTTGGAGAACATATTAAATTTAAATACATTACTGTTATGGACTACTCCAAGAAGTTTACTATGAAAGGTCAAAAAAAGTAAAAAAAACTCAAATAGGAATCAGAAGAAAATGAACTTATTGAGGATGTTGAAAAAATCAATCTTGATGAATAAGAACCAGAAGATATAGAATAAAACGTATAAATTAAAGAAGGAAATTTATAAGGTGAAGATTGTATTGAACTTGATCATATTGAATAAACTGATTTTTAATAGGAATTATAATAAGAATAACAAGAATAACAATAACAATAAGAATAAGAAATAGAAGAAACAGAAGAATAATAAGAATAATAAGAATAAGATGAATAAAATACAGATAAATCTACATCAAATAAAATTGTTAAACCTGCTGGATGCATTAAAATTGTGAAAAAAATTAAACAAGTTAATTAGAATGGAGTAAAAATGAAATAAATTACCTGTATTTTTAAAATGAAGGATGGAACAGAATAAAAATAAATTATATTAGAATGATTATGATCATTAAATAATTACAAAATTATTTTAAATTTATTTAAATCTTCTTTATATATTAATATTAAAAATAATTAAAAATGAGAGAAAAGTGGCGAAAGAAGAGAATGCGAAGACTCAAGAGAAAGAGACGTAAGGCACGCAAGTGATTTAAATGATTTGCACATAATCTAAATATATATGTTTCATATATCTCTTTCACATTATTGTACAACATCCATCATCTCCTTATTGCTTGTCTCTCATAGGGTTTGACTTGTAATCCTTTATTGTGTAATTTCCATTGAATTCACTTATTCTTTAATGAACTGGATGACTCTCTGTTGTTAATTCAAAATGTTTATTTCTTATTTCTGATATTTGATCATAAAGAGCTACCTATTTTTATTTATTGATCAAAGCAATAAAATTATGTTGAATGTAACAAATCACCACTAATACATCTTTCACTGCTAATTTCCCACTTAATAATTATAATTCTGGAATTTATGATTTATTCACAAATTCTTCTATTTAGTCTTTTAAACATTTGCTTTAGTATTTAAATGCATGTGATTAGATCTATTAAGATTCTTTTGTAAAATCAATTTGATCAGCACATTTTTATGCACATAATGCAATTGTCAATTATATATTATTTTCACATTTATTTGTTAATTAATTTTCTTTTATTACTTTTAACAATGATTTCATTCTATTTTCATACTTTATCATTTTTATCATCGTAAATGAATTATCAATTATATCATCTAAAATCACAAAACTATTTCCTAAAGATAAAATTTTATATATATCTTCATTTAAACTGATTATATCATTTTACAAATTCCCATATGAATTCAAATGATTTATCATTAAATTATAAAATACCAAAGCGTAATTATACTTATTTTAATCATTCTATTATTTATCTTAATTCCATTATTAAACTTATTTAATTAGATTATCTTTGTTAATTGAATCCCAAATATTCTACTATTCAATAGAACAATCTTAAAATGTTTTATTATTAAGTTATTATTCATAAAATTAAGTCTATTATTTTTATTGAATATCTGACATTTACTTATACAAAATATTGAGTTTTTTGAGTATTTCTTCAGTAGTATCTATTTTGATATGACAGATTGGATTCATAATGCAATTAATTTTTTCATCGCATAATTATTCTTATTATCTTATTAACTATTCAAATTCTAGTTTTTGCTTATCCAAATTTTAACCATGAGCAATCACTTTCTATATTACTCCTCCTTTATTTTCAAATTCTTGATTCAATCTTATTAAATCCTAACAATTATGCACAACTATAGGATTTATGGTTGCTTTATACATTTTCTTATGCATAACTATATCACTTAATTATTACATCAATTGATAAATATCGCCATTTTCTTTAATAATTTAAGCCTTACCTATAAATGATTAGATGCTAAATTTATCAATTAACAATATTTCATCATATAATTTCAAGGCTTCATCTTTCTTATCCAATTATCTCAAACATAAAGCTTTCAATCTCAAAGCATGAACATTCTAATTATCTTTAACTTAATTGCAAATCTAAATTGATTCTTCATATTTTTTTTAATCGTATAATATGCTTGCTTTAACAATAAATAAAGGTGGTAATTATTCATCAATTTAAAAACCTTATTCAATTATTTTTAATGCTTCTTCATACTTCTATTAAGCTCTTAATACTTTTGCTTTTGATGCATAAGCCATAACATGTTTATTATTGATTGATTAATCAAACAATTAAATTGCCTAATCGAATTTATTTAATCTAAATAAAACTTTTCCTCTATACCAAGTAATGATATAATTATCTGGATCTTATTTTTATGCACCTTCCAATAATTTGAGAATTTCATCTTATCTTTACTCTAAAATAGCTTTATTAATCTTAGCATATAAACAATTAGGATTAACTTTTAAGGATTCATTAAACCAAGTATTTGCTTAAATACTATTTCCTTTCATAATATATGCTTAACCTAACAATACATAATATTAACATCCATGTGTACTTTTTTCTAATTCCTTAATAGCTTTGTCTGGTTAACTTTATTAAATAAATATCCACGCTCTGTTTGCATAACATTATTATTTAAATTCATCTATATGATTTAATACTTAAAGAGATAGTTCAAGACATTCTTTATATTTCATTTAATCTTTTTTAATCAAACTTAAAAAATATTTACATGTCCAGTATTGATGATTCTATTCAATACAATAATTAAACAATTCTTCTGATTATTTTAAATCATTCAAATAATATTTACAAATAGCATCATAATATTCTAATTAAATACAATCTCTAACTTATTTAATTTCTTAGATTAATTAAACAGCTCTTTAAATTTCTTTTCCTTTTGGTTTACATGAGTATTCTCCCCAAGCATAAGCAATAGAATTTTCAGAATGAATTATCAAATATTTTACTAATGCCTATTTAGCACATTAATTATATGGATCATTTTTAATTAATTGTTCTAATAATTAGATACAATCATATTTGGTATCTTAAGTACCTTTCTCAACTTTAGCATAAAAACAATTGCTATTTAATTTGAGTGCTTCTTTCAACCATGTTTCTGCTTAAGCTTTATTTCCCTTTTTAAAATAAAGTCTGCTAATTAAAGTATAGTTCTAAGCATTTGGTTGAATATATTCTAATTCTTTTAAGGCTTAATTTAACTCATCTAATTCAATGTACATAACTACTCTCCAAAAATGAGAATCATCTTTTATTTATCCTGTGGTTACTTAACTTAATTTTTTAAATTCTTGGACAGCTTCTTTATATTTAAATTAATCTTTATGAATTAATGCAATATAAAATTGGGAATCAATGACTCTATAATTATTTTTGATACATAATTCAAAAAGTGTAATAGCATCTAAATTCTTATAATTAAAATAATGAATTAAGGCTTGTAAATAGTGAGTTGAATTGCACTTTGGTAATTTTTCAACATTTGCTTATAATTAATTAATAAATTCCCCTCTTGGTCTACAAGCATATTCTCCCATAGACTTAATAACTTAAACACTTCCTTTAGAGATTAAGGCATTAATATACTCTCTAATCAATCTGAAATTAGTTGGATCTTTATCTAAGAAGGAATTGATAATTTTAATTAATTGATCAATATTATTATCATTTTTAGCTTGATTGATTAATGCATAATAGCAACCTTAATTAATTTTCAAAGCTTCTTTCATCCATTATTGTCCTTATTGTAATTAATTCAATTTGAAATAAGAATCTGATAATAAGGCATAGCAATAACTACTTTCTCCTGCATGTTCTAATGTCTTAATTGCTTTTGAATATTAATTTAGATTGATTTAACATTCAGCTATAACTTTAAGTTTATGTTTCTAATCATCAATATTATCAAACTCTCCTAACGAATTGAATATTTTAAGTGCTTCTTCATATTCTTAAAGCTCTAATTATCTAAGCCCAAAATAAAACTTCTGCTCATCTTAGGTTCCTCCTAATTTTACATCTTTATCCTAATAATAATCTAAGATAGTATCTATTAAGTCTTTTTCTTATCCTTAAAGTTCATTCGAGAGTGTTTAAACTTTTGTAACTAAATCTGAATTCATTTTAGAGATACATGATCCCATAGGTATAGGGTTCTTTAATTAGTATAATTTAAGAAAAGTCTTGCATTCAATCAGTTTGTTAGGTTAGGAGTTCAAAATTTGAAGGACTTATTCATAATTTCCTTTTTTATAAGATTCTACAGGCGAATCCATTAAAATTTTAATAATGAGGTATTAGAAATATGGGGTATAGTATTTAAATAATAAAATAGTATTGCTTATTTGTAGGGGGTCTAATGGCAAATAGAAACTAATCTCTAAAAGTGCAAAATGATATCTTAGGTATGATAATAATGATTTAAAAGATTGAACTCTTGGAAAAGGAACATTTGTTAAAGTGAAATTAGGTTATCATATTATTTGTAATCAATTTGTATATCAATTCTTTTATTTAAGGTTGCTGTTAAAATATTATAGAAACATAAAATTGAAAATAATGTACATATTATATGAAATAAAAGAGAAATCTCTATTTTAATAAAAAAAGTTAATCATGAAAATATATATAAATTATATCTTGTATTAATAATTTATTACTAACTTAGATTCTATAATCAGATCACAAGTTCTTTTTCGTTTTAGGATCTACCAAAAAGGAGAAGAACTCTTTGATTACATTTGTATAAAAAAATTAGTTAAAAATACAATGAATATCTTTATATTGCCATAAATAGCTGCACAATTGTTTATTCAATTAATAAATGCTTTCATGTAATTGCATCGAGATTTAAAACCAGAAAATCTACACTTTAATGAATCAAATAATCTTTAAAATTGCTGATTTTGGACTCTGTGATCAATACAAAACCTATCAATTTACTTATATTTATATTTTATATATGTATAATTATATAACTTTATGCTGCACCTAAAATTTTATGTAATATCTTAATTTATAAATTATAGAATGAAAACATTTATTTTGTTGATAAAAGTGATATTTGGAATTATGAAATCATTCTTTAAGTTATTTTCTATTGTTTTTACATTTGAAGATCAAAACTAAAACAACACTCTATGAATTGATTAAATAATAACCTAAGAATATATAATTTTGCTAAAGATTTTTTAATCAATTTTTACTAAAGACTCATAACTTAGAATTAAATTAAATTACATTATTAACTAAAATACCACCACTTTAAAAATATGCTTTAAGACTTAGGATATGATATTTACGATCAAATCAAAAATAACAAAAATAACTCTCGTACTATTTTATTCTGGTTATTCAGATCATCTTAATAAAGACGTTTCAATCAATAATAAATAAATCAATTTAAATTATTCAAATTAATTTACTTAGATAGATATTTAAGTAGATTTTTAAAATATTCAAAAAATCACTAAACTAAAATTCCTGATTCAATTAAAAAATTAAATAGACTAAATGCTTAATCAGTTTAAGATAAAAATTATTTAATGATTTTTACATTAAATAATTAAATATCTAAAACATTCCAACTATTTAAAGAAAAAGAGTACAACTAAGTATATTGAAAGAATTCATTTTGCAAATAACAAAAAATAAAATAAATACTTAAATCAAAATGGCAAAAATAAAACTATTTCTCATTAATAAAAGTAGAATTTAACGTTGAGATATACTAATAATTATATTCGATTTATGAATCCTTAAAATAGTCTAGAATTAAAGTTACCAAAAATTAATTAAATTGAACAAGAAATTAAAGTTATCAGGATAATGTAAATAAGATTATTTATGAATTTTCAATTTTTACTAAATAAATTTTGTGAGAGATTAGATTACCTAATCATATATATAAATATAATGAATATATAATCATAATTACCAACATAAATAGTTCTTTAATTTATTTCTTATTAGTTTAGAAAATGTCAGAAATTGGAGACACCGTTTATTTGACAGTATTGATAATAATATCAGTTTTATCATTGATTGGATGTACAGTGTTGTTAATTGATTATCTTTAATAAAGAAAAAATGCTAATCTTGCCACAAAATTATTAGCAATTTTATCAATAAGTGATGCAATATATGTCATAGCTGTCGTCACTAATCCTACTCCATGTATCTAATGAAATATAAATTAGAGAATGATGGGGCTTTTTGTGTAATTTAAGCTCTATTTAAATAATCCTCAAGTCTTTCCACATTTATTGTAAATTTTTTCTTTTGCCTAACTACGTTTCTTACAATTGTAAAAAATATAGATATGGCAGATGATAATTATGAAAAATATAAGAGAAATGCGAAAATATTTTCTATATTATTTCCATTAGTGATTGCTATTATTCCACTTACTTATAATGGATATGGAAAATAGTATTATGCTTGTAGTCTTAAAAGTCAAAATGCTTTTTGGATAGGAGAATTAATATTATTTTATTTTCCTTTTGGATTTCTTTTTGGAGCTAGCATAGTTTTTCTTTTGAAAATACAAAACTTCCTAAAAGAAATTTAGCAAAATAAATTGGATTATGATGATTATAGAATTAATAGAAGAACTTTAATGACACAAAATAGTCAAATAACTGCAGGAGAATAATATACATAATTCCTATTTTTTTACACACTTGTTCATTTTTTTTGTTGGCTTCCAATAATTGTTAGTTCTATTCTAGATATAATACTATAAGAAGAATTATTATGGTTTGAAGGAACCAGTTACATATTAGCATGTTCATAAGGATTTTTTGATATGTTACTTTTCATGATTAGCAAAAGAGTTTCCTCAAAATAATAAGTTTATGAAAGAAACAATAGTTTTTTGACTGCAGATCCAATCGATATATATAGAGGATCTGCTGTATACAATTCAAGTTTATGATTTTATGTTCTTTTATAAATTTTATGATTATTCAACCTTAATATATATATAAATGTATAAGACAACCTAAAATATAAGTTTAAGATAATTATTTTAGATAAGTATAAATTGAAGAAGAAATAGACAAGATTTTTAAATTAAAAATTCTACTAAGTGAAAGATTTACTTTCAGTTTTATAAATATCTCTTTAAATAAATAAATGAATTTTATAAAGTCTTTGTTTTCATAATCTAATCCATAGTAAAAAAGAGTTTTGTAAAGGAATGCTGCCGAATCTTCTATACTTGATATACAATTCACCTAAGTTAGACTATAAGATATAAAAATAATAACCAAAGACTTGAGAAAATTAGAAGAAATTCTAAAATATTAACCAGAAACAATAAATGAACAATTTAAGAGATGTTATAGTTTTCATGTCATTTTAAGCAGTGATTAAGTTTAATCTATAGAAAAGATTGTCTAATATTTTGAAAATTATCAACAAAATTATTGTAAGCAAACATTTTAGAATACTAAATCCAAGACTATGGCTACATAGAATATTAATTAAACAAATATGTATACAAATGAACAAAAAATGATTACAGTTTAATACCAAAATTCTATGTTTCTTAATGTTTCTGATGTAATCATTAGAAATTATTGATATTTTAGTAAATTTAATTGTTTGAACAGATAAATTAAAATGAAAAAGGATTTATGAATATATATTTCAATTACATACAAAGAATAACTCAAAATAATGATATCTATACTTCTTGTAGATTTTAATAATACCCTATATAGGATGATGCACATAACCGTAAAATTTAGTTTATGTGGTTGTTTAAAATAATCAATTTACTAAATTTTAAGTTAAGCTTTATCCCTTACTTCCAGTTTAATTTTAAACATAAGACATAAAATACTTTTATCATTCGAGATATTGCATATTTAGTATATAAAGATTGTTTAGTAGAATATTCATTCTTAAGAAATGAAATTACTGATATGCTTGAGTCTTATTCATCATTTTAAATAAAAGAATGTATAAATTTAACAAATTTAGCACTTTAATTTTATGAATTAATCTTGATAATGAAAGAAGTTACAAATAAGATGAATATATTTTATGAAATGAGATCTTTATTTGCTCTCAATTCTGCATCAGTCAGAGATTTAAAATGGTTTACAATTGAAAAAAAATAGATGATAGAAATAGACAATTATATTTCTAAAATTAAATTACTTAATACATCATAATTTAAAAAGAGTCTAATGATTTAAAATTAAAAATATGTTATGGAGAACTCATAAAAAGCTTTTTAAGACTCTAATCAACTAGATAATTCATTTAAAAAAGTAATATTAAAATTCATTTTATAATAGGAACCAACCACTGCAAAAAACATAAAAAATTCTAATGAATGTTTATATTCACCTATAAATTTAAAATTATTCAAAATAGGAGAACATTCCAGATAATAATCAAGAAATTTTAAGAATCTTTGACTTATAAAAACTATAATTCAGTAATTTTCAATTGAATAAATTAAATAAAAATTCAGCAAATATTCAAGGAAGACTTCTTTATTTTACTAGTAGTTTATGATTTTCAACTCTATAAGCAATAGATTCTTCATCTATAAAATCATCTTCTAAATCATATACAATTGAATCCAATCTAAAATTATCACTGTTTAAGATTTCCTCAATAGTTCTATCTTTTACATTAATTGTTAAAATATTTAATTAATCTGGAGAATCTTCAATACTTCTTAAGCTTTTATTAACCCAAAGTGGAGTATGACAAAATAAAATTTCTTTTTGCCCTTTAAGTTGTTATGGCATTTTATGAATTTACAAAGTATTAAGGGAAATATCATAATTATCAATTTTAAACCAAGGATGCTTTATAGCAACTTCTGCAGAAATTCTTTATTTTTAATTTAAAATCAGCATCTTTTAACATAAATCTTTTGCTTCTTAACTTACATCACAAGATTCAAGTTTTAAATAATCAATCTTACCACAAGTATTATTTTTTAATACCTCTTAAGTACTCAATCCCTTAATAGCTGCTTCTCCAGTTAATAATAGAAACATTACAATTCCTAAAGAGTAAATATCAACCTTATAATCATAAAGTTTATCTTATAATATTTCAGGAGCGACATAACCTAATGAACCACATTTATTGAATAAATATTCTCCATTCTCTTGATAAAAGTCAGCTAATCCAAAATCTGCAATTACTATATTTGTTATATCATTTTCGTCTTTTAAGATCAAATTTTCTGGTTTAATATCTCTATGAATCACTTTTCTTTCTTTTATATAAATCAAAGCGTCTAAGAGGTTGTAAATTAATTTCCTTACAAGAGATTCATCGTATATTTTCACTTATTTTTCTATTTGAGATACCAATTCACCTCCTTTCAATAAATCAACTAGAACATAAACCTTTTTCTCGTCTTCATAAACTTCATGTATTTTAGTAATATGCTTATGATTCATCAATCTCAATATTTCGATTTCTTTCCAAAGGCTTTTCTTTAAAAAATATTAAAAATAACTTACTTAATTTTCATCATCATTTTCTTTCATTTTCATTTTATTAAACATTTTTACTGCATAAATTTCTTAATTTTCCATTTATTTGACTTAGTATACTTTTGCAAATGATCCTTTGCCCATTAGCTTCATAATCTTGTAATTATTCTCAAAATTCTCTTAGATGGTATATAACTTACAGTAATTATATATTTCATAAATTAATGGCACTGAACCAAATATTTCAAAGTTATCAAAATTATTATCAAATTATAGAAATGCCAAACTTTCCTATTAGCTCTAAGGTAGAATAATCTTTTTCATTTAAATGTTTTCCAAACTTATATATTTTTGATCAACTACTAAATATTTATCTTGAACATAAGAAAATTTAAACTAAATAATCTTTTTTTGACCATCTCTAATTTTTAAACCATTTAAAACTACTAGTTATGAACCAAATTAGACAGATGGATATCCTTTTTTCCATAAACTACCCTATCTATTACTATGAGTACTAAAACATGAATCAGACTTTTGCCTCATAGAAATTAATAAAAAATAATTATCGATTTCATTTATTAATAGTAATGGCTGATAAATAATTATTTATTTAATAAATATTAAAATTTATAATTAATCTTCTCTTTGTAATTGTCTCATTTCAGAAATATTTAAATATTTTCTTTATTCATTATTTTTATTACATGATGTGTTTATATGATGAACTTAAATGAGTTTTATTACTGAAATTAGATTAATTTATAAATAATAATAATTTTTATTTCAATAAAACTATTATGCTCCTATTACTATAAAATATAAACAAATCTTACACTAAAATAGTTAAATTAGTATTTTATAATTAATTTAGCACAAAAATTGATTATATCAAAATAATATAATTACTTTTTTGATAAATTGGATTTTTATAATTATATTATTTATACAAAAATTTATTATACATAATAATAGAATTTTAATTTATTAATATCAATCTTTTATTTATATGTTTTTCTTTTTTAAAAATATATCTTAATTATATATTTTAATTTAAGTTATAAACTAAATCTCATGAATTAGATTTTTATAAAATCAATTTATTATAAATCTTATTATATATATATATTCTGGATAAAAGCAAAAAGACAATACGATTTACGAGTAAAATAAAAAATAATTTATGGTTAATAAAATTTATTAATTGACAATTCCTAATGAATCGCAAATAAAATATTCTAAAAGATTGTTTTTAAAGAATTGAATTAAATTTAATTTATAATTTCTATATTATTAATATAAAAATTCAGTTTCAATGAATAAGTACGAAGTTAAAGGAGTAGTTGGAGAAGGAGCATATGGGATAGTATTAAAATGTGAAAATAAAGAGAATAATTAGATAGGTAGAGAGTTTATAATATATTTAGTGGCAATAAAGAAGTTCAAAGAGACAGAAGATAATGAGATTGTTAAAAAAAGTATATAGAGAGAAGTAAAGATGTTAAGACAATTGAAACATCCAAATATAATAGATTTATTTGAAGCATTCAAAAGGTATTAATATAAATATTGTACAGAAAAGGGAGAATCTATTTAGTATTTGAGTATGTAGAGAAAAACTTACTTGAAGTACTGTAAGCTTCTCCTAATGGATTAGATGTATTACATTAAATATTTTAAGTAAGGATATCTAAAGAGAATTGCATTTTAATTGTTGAAAGCTATGGAGTTTATTCATTATCATGATATAGTTCATCGAGATATAAAACCTGAAAACATTTTAATAGATAATGAAAATAACTTGAAATTAATAGATTTTGGATTTGCAAGAGTAAAGTTGAAAGTTATTTTTTGTAGAGCTTAAATTTACCAGACACTTTAACAGATTATGTAGCAACAAGATGGTATAGATCTCCTGAACTTCTTTTAAATTATTAGACATATGGGAAAGGAGTAGATTTATGGGCAATCGGTTGTTTACTTTGTGAATTAACTGATGGTGAACCTATGTTTCCAGGAGAGAATGAAACAGATTAATTATATTTAATTTAAAAGACTCTTGGTCCTTTAACACATGAGTAAATGGAAGTATTTTAAAAGAATCCAAGATTTCTTGGTATGAAATTCCCTGAAATAGGAAAACCTGAAACCATAGAGAGAAGGTATTTAAAATAAAATAAAATTTATAGGTATCTTGGTAAATTACCTTAAAAAGCTATTGGATTAGTAAAAGGTTTATTAAGAATGGATCCAAAAGAACGATTTACTTGTTTAGATGCATTAAAACATCCATATTTTGCAGATTATCCAGAAGCTTAAGAATATATTAAATAAATAGAGAGTAGATAAATTTAAGTTTAAAATGATGTGAATTAAAAAAGAGATTCTCTTATGAGTTAATAAAAATAATAAAACTAAATTGGACATACAAATCAAATTAGAACTAAAGTAATTCATCTGATGATTTTAGAACTTTAAACCAGTTCCTAATTTTTTAAGTAGTCATGTTTTAATGTAGAGTACAGCTTATAATTATAAAATATCTGATTAACATACTGCTGAGAGGGAATTAACAAATATGAAAAAGACAACTTCAGTAGATAAATTGCCATAAACATAATATAATGGTTTTAGTATTGGAAATGGGTTCTCATTTGCACCATCTAAAAATTAATAATTAAAAGCAAATCAACAATTAAAGTAATCTTAACCATAAATTAAAATATAAAACTTAAATATTATTTATAATGCTAACACTTACAATTACTAATAATAATAATAATAATAATAATAATAATAACAATAACAATAGTAATAGTAACCTTAATAGTAATAACGTAAAATTATTAAGAAAAAAAGTTGATTCCTTTTTGTTCTTTTATTAAAACTAACTAATTAAATTGTAAATTAATTTTATATAAGTTATAAAAATCATTCTAAACCAAATTATCCTTCTAAAGCTTCATGAATAGTTGCCTTTAAAAATATTTCCATTGTTTATAATTCTTGATATCTACAGAAGTTATTAAATTAAATTATTATTACTTTGGTAATTCTAATCTATTAAAACATGTATGTGCTTTAGGATAAGGATTTTCATTATCAAAATTACTAGCTTAAATACAAAAATATGAAATTTCTCCCCTGTTACTTTCAAGTTTGCTATTTATTAATAATTATCATATACCTAAATCCTTCTACTGGTACTCTGGTTGAACCTGTACAAAATCTTAAAAATTAAGATAGTTAGGCTTAATTCCAAGTACTAAGAATTTACCAAAACCATTAAATAAAATAATCTTCTGCAGAACAATCTTTATATATAGTATATTTAGACCAATCCTAAAGATCAATAAAAGGGAGACCGAATAAAATCATTTCAAATTCTTAAGGTTTGAATATCCTTAATAATGTTTTTGGAATAATTTAATAGAATCCTGTTAAAAAATCTGATAAATATGGTTCTAAAAATTATTAAGTGTAGTAGAATATACTATTAATAATGTTTAAAATAGAATACTTTAAATTTATATATTCCTGGACATTAGAATCTGAAACCTTAATTTCACATCCATTTTCTTTTAAATTAATTGTCTTGCCAAAATATTCTAATTAAAAGTAAAGATCTAATTAATCAATATTATTGTTTAATAAATATTACCATGAATAGAATAACTATATAAATATTTATTAAATAAATACATCTTCATCAAAATATTTGATATCTTCCAAAACTATTTTTTATCTCAAGATATGTTTGATAATTGTACGATCTAAATATGAACTAAGTGGAATTCTTTCAAAAAGACATTTTCCGACAATTATTCCTAAAAAGGAAAATAACTATCTTTTATCGAATGAATTTGATTAAACATTTGGATTAAATTTGTAAGTTAATTCTTTTGTTTCAGTTTTTTATAAATAACCTAAATTAACTAATTATTAAAGAATAGAAGTAGACCATTCTCTTAGTAAACCTCCAGCATCTTAAACTTTTTGATCTTCTTAAAAATTAATTTTTAATTCTCCATGTAAAAGACGAGATTTTAATTCCATAATACTCTCCAATGAAGATTCTAATATTTGATTTTAAGAAATAGAAAGAATTGTACATCCATTCTAAATTCAATTTTTGTATAATTTACTTGCCAAGGAATTCTTAGTTTTTCTAATTTAGCTCTGAACCAAACTTGCTTTTACCCAAAAGGTTCTAGTTAAATTTTCTTTTTTATTTGATAGAGTTACCTATTCATTGATTTAGAGTATAGGATTGTATTCTTTTAATATCCATTAAAATCCTTATTCATTTTAAACCTTTTCCCAATATTTAATTCCTCTGTAATCTTCTATTCTACTTACATTTTATTGTGAAGACATTAAACAATTATCTAAGTGATCATTAAACTTGAAATTATATTTTAATATTTTACAGCATGATTTGTAGTGTAAGATGGAAATACTTATTAACATTTAGGGCATTCAACCTCTCTTCCAAGAGTTGTTTAACTTGGAGATTTAATAGAACAGCAACACCCCATAAGATTAAATTATAAACTATAAAAATAATATCATTAGTTTTCTGCTTATTGTTATAATTCTTATTTTAAAGCTTCTATATTTAAAAAATTGATCCCTCTTCTTTTATTTATCAAAGTTCTTGCCTTATTTTATAAATATATAATAGCTGTCATTTATCCACTATTATATTATGTTTTAACAAATTGATTATAATAATCATGATGAAATTCAGTGTCTAATTAATTTTTTTTCTCTAAACTATTTAATAATAAAATTAATAATTACTCTTTTACTCCATATTTTAATTCAACACTAATCTTAGTAAGAGATACAATTACATCATGAAATAAATATCCAAGTAAACCATTCTTTTCTTCATATAAAGGAATGTTAAGAATCTTTAAAAAATTCTTTTTATTTGCTGGGTTCAACAAGTCTTTTCCACTAACTCCAAAACATATAGCAATTTATGAAGAAAGTTTCCAAAATTATTTATAATTCAAAAAACCAGTTCCATATGGATCATAATCAACCCAATATGACAATACATCATTTAATTAATATTTAGATATTGCATTCTATTCTTATTTAGCATGTTCTTCATAAGCTCCCAAAATTGAAGCTATAAATAAATTAAGCAAAACCAAAGAAAATATTAAGTGAAATGTAATAAAATATACATAAGCCAATTTCGTACCGCATCCATTATATCCATATTTTTGAAAATCTTCATAAGTTTCTATCTCTATACATGCAAAATCAGGACTTTAAATATGTAATGCATCTACCAATAATTCCCACCATAATTCTGAACTTGCAACTCTAACCAAAGAAAACATTGCAGTTGTAAATTTTCTAAAATGTACATCAAAATCATCTATATATTTCTAGGGTCTTAAATAACAAAATATATCTATTCCAAGACTTGTATAGATAAACAGGAATACAAACATTATGTATAACATTGATAATGCATTTGGTATTACAGAAAATATTGAATGAAATAATCTTTCTATTTTATTGAAACGTCTTAAAATTAATAATCTAATAATACTTAATTATTCTAAAGTTTCTTAACATTTATATTGCCACTGAAAAAGCCTTAAAACAACGTGTAAAATAAAATTCACCATTTCCATTTTCATCTATTATTCTTTCAGCTAAACATATCCAAATACCAAATATTTCTATTATATTTATCAATTCCTTAAAATATATTTTAAAATCTTTTGCTATAAATCTAATTACAATTTCAAATATAAAAATAATAATGCAAACAAAATTAATTATTTCTAAAGATCTTTTAAAATGGTATTCCTAATTAACATAACGTAAACTTAATGATAAAGTGTTAATAAAAATAATCATCAAATAAATTTTCTTTAGGTATACATTTTTAATTAAAAAGAATGCTATCTTCCTTATAAATGTTTTTGGTTTTCTAGATTTTACTTTTGGTTATAATTTATGTATTGATTTTTTAATATCAAACCATTCTCTTTGATTACTTTCCAATTCAAAAGTACCCTCTGCTTTTAATTTAGATTCATCATAAGTACTTACTACTAATCCAATAAACATATTGAGCATACATGTATTACCAATAAAAAAAATAACCTAAAAGTATATAGCCCAATATCTATTATAATTTTCTTCTGGTGTTTTGTTCTATCCTCTTATTGACCAAATTTATTCCATAATTGGAGACCAACCTTCTGATGTTACAGTTACAAATAAAGTTAAAGCACTATCCAAAATATTATCAAATCCTAATCTATGTTTTTACCATGAACCTCCATAATCCATGCAATCAATCTTAGAATGAATCTCATTTTCTTCTAATTCTATTCCAGTACAATAATAATTTAATCCTTTAAGAAGTTTCATTGCAAATGTTCCATAAAGTATAAAAAGAATAAAACAAAAAATACTCAATTATACCATTTTAACTAGAGCATTTATTAAAGCAATTTATGCATATTTTATGCTATGAGTAACTTCAGCCCCTAATTTAATAAATTCAAAAACCCTTAAACTTGAAATAAAATTAATAACATGATTTCTAGTTGAAGTTGCAACAACAACAATTTCAACAGCAGTTATTATAAAATTTAAAACATTATAAAATGATTATGTTAAAAAGGCATCTCCTTATCCGAACAATCCATGTGCAATTATATGAAGAACAATGAATAAACAATATAAAGCTGTTGTTATTATATACAAAATGTCTAAACTTGTATATAAATCAGAATGTGGATCTAACATTGGTGTCAATAAAATAATTCTTACAGCTGATAATCCAACTGCTATGAATCCTAGAACTTTAAATATTTTTGATTTAATTATTTCTTAAACATGCTATCGAAATTGATTATCTAATTTAAATAAATACATTGTTTTCATAACTTAAATTCTTGTCTAAATTTATTATTGACTAGTTTATATATTTTAATCCAATTGAACACTTAAATCTCTTGATCTTTATTAAATTGGTTAAGGTTAATGTAAAAATTCATCATTTTCATTTTCATTGAATTAAGGTTGATTAGGATTTGGCTATTATTCTTTTAAAAAATCTAAATTATCTAAATCCATTTGATTCTCAGGTTAGATTATTTTAGTTGGTCTTTTATTTAATCTTAAATTTCTTAGAATTCCTTATCTAACATTAGATATCAAAGATCTATTACCTGGAAAGTTAGACACACCTCTTGCTAAATGATGAGAAGATCGTAATTAGCTTGAAGACTATAATAATGAATAAAATTTGATTACAGTAAAATTTCTTATTGTTGTTATTAACTCTATAGCTGTTTATTTATATTCAATAGGTCTTACATTTTATTCTTATATTTTTACTTGTTTTGTAAATTCATTTAAAAATACTGCTGATAATAATTTAATGAATATAACCTACCCTAAAAGTATAAATATTATATGATAAATAAAGGAAATAGGAGTTACTCTTCCATATCTATACATTGTAAGATGCCATTCTTCATTATAAAATATATTGAATGCTCCCATTAATGAATTACCAAAATCATTATAATGAATTACAGTTTCATGATCAGATAATTACTACTTTAATAATGCATTCCCCAATAAAGCTACAAATATAGCAAAGACAATCCATAAAGATATTATTGATTTGAGTTTAGAAATTGTCTAAATAGCAGCTCTTGTTAATATACTTATATGATAAAATATTTTTGCTGAGTATGAAAATTTTATTACACGTATTAATTTAATAGCCTTAAACAATTATATTGTTCTATTTTAATTTATAATTACATTCTCTTCTAAAGCATATAATACACAAAATAATATCAATTATGATATAATTGCTAAGAAGTCTAAATAATTAACTTATTTTTTAAAATAATTTCTAAAGCCTCTTGCAAATAGAAAGATTAATAATTCAAAATAAAAATAAAGAGTACAACAAAATTCAATTATTTATAATTTAACAAGTGTAGCATCATCAATTCCATCATAATCAATAACAATTGAGAGTGTACATAAAATTATTACAACATTATTAAAAAAAGCAAAATATATTGATTCAGACAATTCATTTGATATATTAGTAAATGAAATTCTATTTTTTATCCCTAATGATTATTAATCTTAAAAATAAAGAGTAAAATTTGTATTTTGAGTTTATTCTTTTTTCATACTCTTTCTTTTTTTACTCATAAGAGCTAATCTATCAGTCATTTATTATTATTTTTTTTGTTAAATTTCAGTTTCAATTTATTATTATTGTTTTTTAACTTTTAAGTGAGAATTTTTAATAGATGATTTAACAATGAAAGATTCATAAAAAGTGGCAAGTAATAAATTTGAAAATATAAATGCTAAGAAAACTAAAACCATAAGAAAGAAACCAGCTGTAAAATATGTAGGCATAGCTTTCCAGAACTAAGATGAGAATAATAAAATTACCATATAATTAGTTTCTGACCATCCGATTAAACAAAAATATGTAAAGATTACTAATAATGATTAAGGTAAATTATCAAATCTAGAAAAATTCCACATAAATTCTTCAGAATCATTTTCTTTTTCATTCCATTTTAAACCATATTAATATGGACTTCCACAAGTTAAGTGTTCAGGACATTCAAAAATACCACATAAATGAGGAGCTTCTTCTGATGCTTCCCATTCACCATTTTCATAATCAGGTTCAGGAGTTATTCTACATCTCATTGTTGTTAAACCCATAAAAAAATGTAATCCTATTACACTAAAGAAAAGCAAAAAAAATATAAAAGGTACTATTACTATTCCTAATTTAGAAAAACTACTAATATATGCATCAAGTTAAATCTTAATTGGGGTTATTTCTACTGGTAATCTTATTACTCTTAATAATCTTATTGCTTTAAATATTTTAAATATTATATGATCACTATCAAGCAATATAAACCATGAAAAAATAAAAGTTATGAAATGAATAAAATTCCATTTATCTTTTAAATAAGTGTTTTCTTCAAAGATTAATCCTTAAGAAATCACTCTTAAAATTATTTCCACCCCAAAAAATATATTACAAACTACTTCAATTCCAATAGATAATTTACTCTAAGGAATACAGTAGGCAACAATATTTAAGATTGTTATTCCTATTATAAAATTACTTAAACCTCTAATTATAGAACTTATATTACTTCTTGCTTAAAAATGTGGTAACGTTTCTTCTAAATGGATCATCTATTTTGAATAAAAACAATGTCTTTTTAGCACTCAACTTACCAATTTATTTTTCTTCTTCTAATTCTGGTTAAATCTAGTCTAAATTTACACAATCAACTAACTCCGGCTTTTAAAGTAAATTATTCCAATCAAACTATTCACTCTCTCCAACAAGTATCTGTTCTAATCTCATTGATTAAATTTAAGCAATTGAGTCTGAAATTTAGTCTTTCGTAAATGGTTTAAATTCAATCCCCAATTTTCTGTAAGTTGATGACATTTTGATAATTTAAATATTTAGACAATATTAATTATTATTATTATAATTCAAGAATTATCAAATCTCTCGTTATCATTTTATACATTAAATCATTATTTTAATGTATCAATATCATTATATTTTATTTCTTTGCTTTTTTTATTCAATATTTTTCCTTTACTTTACAAGAAAATCATAATGCACAAATCTTTTTTAATTTTATATAGTGATGCTCTAAATTCTTAACATTTATAAGTTTCTAATTCACAACTAATAAATAGATATCGAATAATACTATTTTATCCATATTATAGTTCTACTAATAATCTTGTTATAAATATAATAGCATCACGAAATCGTTTGTCTATATTATCCATAATTATATAATGGATTATTTTAGTAACTAAAGAAATTCTTTATTTTCTCCAAATAATTTTTTTTACTGTAACTCAAAAATTGATAGTTATATGAAGATAACTCCCTGAATTATTTTAAATTTTAATATCCAAACCCTTATGGATAAAATTTCATTGCAATTATATTTTAGAAATATCCTTCTATCCAAATTTAGAATATTCTGAATAAATAACTAAATTTAATGCAAAGAATTAATGTAAAATAACAAGTGAAAATATGACATAAATGATATAGAAATAATTTACGCCCAAGTGAGTATCACATCTAATTATATTCTAGAAAATTAACTTCATCATTTTTCAAATAAATGCATACAAAAAAAGAGTTTCTGATTCAAACAGAATCTATAAACAAAACTTACTTACAGAGAACATTATATTTATAAAATTTAAAAATCCAACCCTCCATTTTATCCAAAGGTCTAAGTTAATCAAATAAATCCTTTCCCAAACATGCAAATATAAACATAAATATGAACATTTTAAATAATATAGAAAAAGAAGGTACAACAGAAATTATTGTAGCAAAATAATTTTTCTATTTCAGAAAAGGATCTAATAAAAATAGTACAACTTATTTTACAATGTAATAATTTCTGATTAACTAAAATGCAACCAAAAGTGCTTAAAATCTTTTTTGAAGATAGATCTAATCATTCATTTAAGATATACTGAATTAATTTACAAGATTAATTATTATAACGAAAATATCTACTATTATAAAAGGATTTCGATCATAGATGTTAAGAAATATAGCAATTACTCTATTAAATGAAATTATCTTACTAATTCTAAACCAATTGAGCTATTTCTTTCCCAAAAGGATATCAAATATTAAGATTTAAAAGTTATTGCTTAAATTTTATTTCTTTGAATCTTCTATTGTTTTATCAAGATTTTTGACTCAAATCAAATTATATCTATTGATTCTTGAAGAGGTTTTTGCCAAAAAAAAATTTTTTCCCTCTGCGATTAATATTTATTCCTTTCTCATTTCTTTTTTAAATTAAATTGCTTTATACCATCAAGATTAAGATATTTTCTTATACTCAATCCCTAAACTTTTAAAAAGTTTATGAAATTGATATAAAAATAAAATAATTATTATAATTTGATGAACTTTATTTTATATTTGTGAGAATAAATTGACTTAATGTTTTTAGTCATAATCAAACATTATGAATACTAATTTGAATTCATCCCCTAATTGTTTTCATTTCTCATAACTTTATATTCCGTTTAAATTTAATTCTAAAAATTCCAATTTATCATCAGATAGAATAACTTTCAAAATTATAAGTTTTTCTGTTTTAATCGTAACTAAATTTTTTTTTTTTCTAAATGGAAATTTAAGTCTCATTAATTTTATTATTTGAAAATTAAATGCCCGAAATATTTGTAATTTGTAAATAGCCTTTATTTCTTTATTTATTATCAAATTCAAAAATGAGATTTTATTATTCACCATTATATATTTAATAATATAATTAAGTCATCATTATTTTCAAAAGCTTTTTAAATTTAATTGCAAAATTAAATCCGTTAAATTAACTTTTTAATGTGAAATTGTTTTAATAGGTATGAGTTCTAATTAATAAATATATTAAAAGGTAATTTTACATAATATCATGCTATATTATCTAGAATATTATTTATAAATTTATCTATAATCTAATTGATATTAATAATAATTTTAATTCAAAAATATTTATATAGTTTTAGTAATTAAAAAATTAAAAAATCGATGCCTGTGAGACTCGAACTCACGCGGGAAATCCCAACGGCTTAGCAGGCCGCCGCCTTAACCACTCGGCCAAAGCATCTAACTTATTGAGATTATCAATTCTTTTTATTTATAGTATAAATGATAATCAATCTTTAATTTCTCGTAATTTAATAATTTAATCTAATTTTTAATTTTTATTTAATTCTATTCAACTTTCATCAAAACTTTTTATTTAAATTTTAATACGACATAGTTAAGTTAAGTCAGTATATCCATAATTATGGAATATCTGACTGTGGATAAATCTATATATTTTTTTCTTTAAATTCAGTTCTACAAAATAGTCAATTTTTTATCAATGCCAACATTCTTAAAGACAAACATTTAATAATTTATTATTAGCTTTCTTCATTGATTCTAAACAAACTGCACATTCTTCGAATTATGATAATCCAGGATAAGTTGTAAGAAATTTATTATAATAATTTGCTTTAAAATGATCTTTAATAAATCTTATTTAGAAACCTTCATAATATAATAATGAGTATATATACCTTTATAAATAGATGGATTTGCTTATCTAAAAGGAGATTGTTAATCTATATTTCCTTATTAATTTAAATTCCTGCGAATAGCTTCCTATACTTATTTTCGAATTAATCTTTTTTTTCTAGTTCTTAATGCAGATAATCCTATTGTAAATAATAAAAGAGCGGCAATAACACAAACAGTTATGATAATAATTATTTTATTGCGCTCATAAAGAGACTGATCATCTTCATAATATGTAACAATTTTAAATTGTAATTCAATAGGGTTAGTTTGATTATTGTAGAGACCAATATAGATTACGTCAACATTAAAATTTGATTAATTAGTTATTAATTATTCTTATACATTTACTTTAGACTATAAGTTTTTGCTGTTTTACAAAGTAGGAATTTTAACTTAAGGTGTTTACTTAAAAACTAAACTATAATCTTGAATAATTTAAATTTATATTTACATACATCTGCTTCTATGGACAAACATTAAAATTCTAAGTTAGTTGTACTTAATTCATATTCTAATTATATCCATTGATGAGATTCTATTTATAATTTAGATAAAATATTGCTATATATCATAATTGATTAAAATTGGCAATAAAGCCCAAAAGATTAATCTAAAAAGTTAGATTAAATAGATTCTTTTTTAAATTAATTACTAAAGAATTAAGAAATAATTATTTAAAATTTAGTTCAATTGTTAGTTCAATGGTTTTAATAATGATAACTATAGAATTAGTTTTAAGAATCTATTAAACAGTGTTAATTAAACTAGATGTCAGAATATTAAACAAAAGATATTTTTTGTTATGGTACAAATTATTTATAAAAATAACACACTTCTTATCCAAATCCAAAAGTCAAACTCTCAATTATTTATATTAATATTTTTAATTATTTAAATATTTAAGAGAAATAAGTTTTTGAAATATTAACTTATTTAATGATTGAATATATATTCATTTTGATTTAGATGCCATATTTTAAGTAATATCATCAAAAATTTAATTTAATTCCATAACTCCCAAATCTAAGAATAAAAATAAATATCACCATTAAAATATTCCTTATAACTTTGTAAAAATGATTTTTCTTTAAATATTGTAGCATCTCTCAAAGGCCTTTTTACTCTAAACACTACAAAAACAAAGAAATTGGCTATTTTCTTTCTGAAAAAAATGAAGCTTATAAAAGATAAAATAAAGGTGCCATATCCTAAATAAGTCCACAATAAGGAAACTTTAGAGTATTAATTATTTAACTAAGAATAATGAATAATAAATACAATTCCATCAGAATTTATGTCTTAATTGATATTTGTGAATGTAACTATATATATGTAACAATATATAGGAATCATGATAGTTTAATAAACTAAAATTAAATATCTGAAAAGTTAGAAAGTAAAAAGTTTATCACAACGATATTCACTTAAGACACTAAATTTATCGTAGTAATAGATAATAATTTATATGACTAAACACCATAAAATCATAGTAGGATTAAAAAATAACATTACCATACCAGTGCTATAAAGATATAAAATAAAAAATAATCTGCTTCTAATAGGAAAGAGAGGTGGAGTTAATAATTCATTTAATTTCTTTTAAAACTATGATGTGGGTTAAAATTTCTTAATTATTTTTTTCTTAGATATTTTGAATCTCAAAAGTTTTTGATGTAGTATATGAAATATTCCTTTAGCAATAATTCTAAACCTGACTAATTTAGTAAGTTCCATTAAAACATAAATATGATTTAAGGCAGCATGTTCTTTCATACTACTTAAAACAAAAATAAATGGAAATGCAAAAATACAAACTTATTGAATTGGTGACATAAAAGTGATAATATTCTTCTCCTATTAAGAATATGTAAATCTTTATGCTCTCTTAGTCATAATGATAACAAGTATAGTCGAAAGGATTTAAAGGATAACAGTAAATATAATGATCAAATAAATAATTAATTTACTAACCCAATCAGTTTTATCTTCCAAATTTTTTTGCCAGACATATAATCCTTCATATATAGCCATAATTATGATACCAAGTATTAAGGTTACCATTGTAGTTAACAATCTTAAATAGAATCTTTTTAATGTATGCATTCCAATATTCTCCCACAATATCTCTTCTTATCGAAATCCTTTTTTCAAATGTAAACCTTTTTTCTCATTTATAATTGAATTTTGTAAATTTTATTCTTATTATTCTTCTACTAGTTTCAAATCATCTTACAACTGATACTTAAACATTTCAGATTAATTCACAGCAACTTCTTCTGAGAGATCTGATTAATTGAGAATTTTTGGTATATCCAAACTTTTAGCTTCAGATTTTTCTAGCAGTTATGCCTATAATTCAATTTAATCTTTTTTGAATTCTTTATAATTTTATGCAGATTCTTTTATTGTGTCAATTCTTATAAGTAATTTATTTAACAATAATTTATTAAAATGTTCGTAAATCAAATTTGTTACTTATTCTGAATTAAATTTTAGGATAACTTTTGATGTAAATGGTAAACCATATTACAAGATTTTAAAAATATCTCTTGTTTATTTCCTTAATTAAAAAACTAAATCTATCAATTATCCTTTTAATTCCAATTTTGTTTCTATTTAAAGTTAATTAACTATTTATAATATTTATAAATAGGTATCCTTTCTTTTTTCATTTAAGACTTTAATTGGATGAATATCATATATATAAACAATCTCATCAATAATTTTTTCTCCTATTTTTTCTTTATAGTAACTAGAAATTGCATTTTACATCTATTGTTATAGTTCTAATTCGTTAAATTTTTTTGGAATATGTTTAATATATAATGTTAATTTAGGAATACGAAGATGATTGAAGGAATCATAATTCCAATATTTGATCTATTATAATCTCAATAGAATTTCATGCATAAAAGGAGTCAACATCATAATTAAATAAGCAATATATCCCAAGATATAAAAGGTTTCCTGATCATCATAATTTTTATTTATGATTTCTTCTTAATTAAAACTATATAATAGGAAATGTTATGCTGCCAAGTAGGAAGAGCAACATTATTCATAAAGAGCATTTTCTGTATAATTTTATCGATTAAGCATTCCACAATATAACTCGGATAAATAGCAATAATAAATACCGAAAATACAACCTATTATTAATAAAATGAAAAAGTGCAGTTTTATTATGGAGAAATATAAGGGAATACTAATTCCATAATCTCCTGCAAAAATACTATACATATCACAAGTAAATATATTGTATCTATTTCTTCTAATCATTTATCCACAACAATCACAACTTATTAGTTTAGGGTTTTTATTAAGAAATTTTTTATTAGGTTGAATATAAAAACTTTAAGAATGAATAATTGATTTTTCTAATGAAGATGGAAATTCAAAATTTCTACTTTGAGGCATCTTAATTTACTATATTAGAGAATCCACATCGTCAAGTGTGATTAATTGCTTTTTGTTTTGAGAAGACAATATATCAGGCTCCTAGTTTAATTTATTTGAATTCCTATGAGTTTTGTTAAAATCTAAAATATCAACTTAATCAGCCATTATTTAATTTATAGAGAAGTATAATCTATTTCAATGATTTATATAATAAGATTACCACAATATTTAATCTGAATTACCAAAACAAACATTTATGAAACAATCATTTTGTTTCACGATTAATCGACTTTAGGATTATTTTATAATTATAAAATCCAAAAATATGATGCACTTTAATTCAGATGAAGATATTTATGAGAATAACAAGTTTTTTAATTTCCAAAAGAAGAATAAAAGAATGAAATAAGGATAGTGGGGACCTTTAATATTTAACTTGATTGTAATTTTTTTATTTTATGAAAGAGGACTAAATTTTTTATTCTTATCTAGATTTATAATTAAAAAATTGATTTATTTTTAAATCTTGTCCTGCTAAAAAAATTCTTGCAGCATACCAAATCCATCAGTGACCATGGGTTTTAAATTCCTTAAATTTTTTAGGGAAACATCAATGTAAAAATTGTAATAATTTCAATTTAAAATTATTAATCACAAAAACTGCACTAATCTTAGAATTACATATAAACAATATTGCTTTTCATTCTACTAATCCTAAATTAAAATATCATCTTATCTAAAATTCCACATTTAATTTTGCCTTTATATTCTCCAACTTTTGTGAAAAACTATAAAACAAAAAATAAATAAGTGAAAAAAAACTTGAGCAAAAAAAATTTTTAAGTAATTTAAAACTCAATTTTTATCTATATAGATTTAATTTTTTTGATCACGCTTATGAGTAGAAATAGATTTGAAAAACCTAATTATGTTGATCAAATTTATAAGTTTAAATTATTCTTAATATATTTAAGAAAATGCTCAAAATCACGATAGTCTTTTGACTCTCTAGATAAGCTTATTGCCTTATCTATAAGTAAATCTAGGGCTTTATATAGTTTACAAAATTAAGTAATATCTTCAAAAATTTAAGTTAATTCCTTAACTCCCAAATCTAAATATAATAATAAAGATTACCATTAAAATATTCCTTATAACTTTGTAAAAAGGATTTTTCTTTAAGTATTGTAGCTTCTCACATAGGCCTTTCTATAAAAAAAACAAAACAAGAAACTTTTAATTGATAAAATATATCTTTTATTCAAAAAACCATAATTACGTTTTAACAGATTACAAAATAATAAATATTAGATTAATCAATATGAGCTAATATATTCTATATAATATTAAAAGAAATATTTATTTTTTTAATTAAAAAGATTTATTGAGAAAGTAAATTAAAAAGTAAGTTATTTTAGTGTATTAATTAATATAAATGATTTTTTAAATTT